CATCAATAAAGTAACGTAAAAAAAATCCATGTTGATTTCACAAAACGTGAACAATTTTTTTCTGACTCGTCGTTTCTTCGCAATCAATTTGAAGTTTAATTTTCTTCCATATATTTTTTGTTTTCATATATAAATATAGAAAAAAGTATGAAACACCTCTATATTATCAAAAATTAAATTCTGTAATTTGTAATGTTTTAGAGAGTTCAAAGTTTTAATATATTATATTCAAACTAAAGCAAATACTTTGTTTTTAAATGTAATATATATTTTTTATTGTATCTAGTTTTATAAAAATTTAGTTTTGCGTTATTTTTCTAGTTTTTGCCTCTTTATATCATTTATTTATGCAAAGAAGGAACTTCTATTAATTTTTCTTTTTAATAAATCTCTGAAAATTCTTATATATCCAGATAAGAACTTTGTTTGTCTAACGAATTTTTTATATAGACGATCTATGCATAGAAAACTGTTTAAACTCAGCTGCGTTGGGCACAAACTAGAAACAACGGCGCTTTTCTATGCACGCGTAACTTTTGTTTGGCGATTGTAGCCTTAGAGACGAAAATAAAAGCCGGCGCGTATTCGAGCGCCAATATTAGGAATAGTTAAATATTTTCGTACAGGGCACGACTTCGTTGTTACCTGACTCGATGTGTAATCGCCGGTCACACATCCGTGGTATATCACACGTGTGTTTCTCCACTGGCGTTTACTGCGCGAGAAACACGCCGAGTTGATTTTTGACTTTCCGCGAGTTTCAAGTTACGTGCTTCGACGAGTTCTTACACGAGATCGACGTTTCCGAATCGTCTGTAGGAAATGTCTCCCTCTACCTTTTTCTGTATTTTTATTCACAAAGGTACACGGAGAGAATTTTCTCTCTTAAAATTTACTCCGAAAATCATAGTAATCGTGGGACAATATATGGTATATTGGAAGAATTTTGTTAAAAGTTTCTCTGGTTAATATTCATCACAATAAAAAATATTAATACGTGTTTCCGAATCGTCTATAGGAAATGTCTTCCTCTACCTTTTTCTGTATTTTTATTCACAAAGGTACACGGAGAGAATTTTCTCTCTTAAAATTTACTCCGAAAATCATAGTAATCGTGGGACAATATAGTATGGTATATTGGAAGAATTTTGTTAAGAATTTCTCTGATTAATATCGCAATAAAAAATATTAATATGTAGTAAATTTTACTATGTACATAGTAAAATCAAGCAAACATATATTTGTTGTAAATGTGGTAGATATTCGTATTTTTCACAATCATGTGATTTTCAGGGTAAATTCTAAAAGAAAATTCTCTTTGTGTAGAATTCTAATCCTCTCATCGGGATAATCTTCCTCTAAATTCTAAACGTATAATTTATATATTTTTTCCTTTACTAATATCTTTTTAGATAAATCACATGTTTTTTTTTTAAAGTATTATATGTATATTATAGTATTATAAAATCTCTCTCTCTGTCATAATATTGGAAATTTATTGTGGAAGATAATTGTAACATATTTCTTAAAAAATCTTTTTTTACACCTTTGCACGAAAAAAAAATCTATTGGAAAAGAGAATTTTTTTATGGAATAAAAAGTAATTGTTTCAAAAAATAAATCATTTCATAATATTCCATAATTTTGTTATCACTAAAGGTGGAAATTAAATAAGATTGCAAAGATTATAGAGCTATTCCTTCAAAGAAAAGATTTTTTTTTTGCAAGACCCTTCTTTTCGTTTTTCTTTTAATTAAAAAAAAATCAAACAAATTCTTATTTGCTTTTAAATATTTTTTTAACGAAAAAGATGCACTGAAATTTTGCTGTCGCAGTATATTTACAAGTGAGATTAAAGATTGTTTATTTAGAGCAAAGTCAACACATTGAACTTTGAAGATTCCGATAATTTCATCAAAGCGTAATTAAAGATTACATTCAATGTAAATAAGAATTACAAATGTAATCTTTATTTCGTGAAAGTTTTTTTCCTTGATAATGTACAGACATAATTCTTTTAATTATCTAAAAAATTAATACTCATTTATCCGCGTATGTATATCGTGTGAAACATATCAATCGCACTAATCTATAGTAATCGTGCAATAAGAAAAAGTATTTTCTTTCATGTAATCCACTAAAGTGATATGCGACTAATCGCGCGTTTGCGAATGGCGAACAACGCGATGAGCCGACGACCAAGGTCCAGATAAACTGACGTGACGTATGGTGACGAGAATGGTAAGATTCATTAACGAATAAATCGGCCAAGGTGGATCTTGCGCCTTTCATGTATATATATACACATACATATATACCTATGACTGCATGTGTACAAGGCAAAATGAATAAAGCCAATAAATTGGACGATATTATGCAAATATAAATTATGCACAAACATGAGTTATAAGATCGAAAACTGGAAAAATTTTATACGTTATACGTATATATAGTAAAATAAAATTTTATTCTGATCTTAATTCATTTAATGTGTGATAATTAAATACTCGATCCGCAAAAACAAAAAATCCAATTGTAACAAAATTGTTTGTACCAAAATCTAATAAAGTGTCTCGAGTCATTTTCTCAATATATATTTTTACACTGACAATTTAATTTTATTTAATAATTTAATTATTTTCCACAGATAATTTTAATTGGTTTAATCTACGTTAAATATTAGGAAGAAATAACTCATTTCTACATAATTTAGTAATTCTTGTACTTGTAACTTTTGCGCGAAATTCGAATGAATAGAAAAACAGGGACGATATAAATAATACGAAAGGTATAAAGACGGGGGAATTTTTCCGTAGGAGGACAAAATCCGGGGATAATGTTGCGTCCGTATCGATTTTCACGAAACGCTAGACGGTGGACAGTTGACAGTGGAGTCAATCGCAGATGCTGTCCCGTCCATTAAACGCCGCCTTATATCACGCAGCCGATATAGGTCGCGCACGTGCAGCCGCACGCGTTCTGCGAATTTTCGCGAGACTCGCATCGAGTCGAAAACCAGATGACGAAGTCATCTACGATCTTTCGCGTCCTCCGCCTACGCAAAAATAAGTCAAATTTCTCTTGCACAGAGTGTCTCAACTCGTTGCGCGTTCAATTTAACTTACGAACTTTCTGATTCATTTCAGACTGATTGATGAAATTATGAAATGTATATATACATATAATGCAAGTTTAACGTTACATCGTTAATATGTACAGGATAGGTCACGCTTGTTAAATCCATTTTTTAAGCTATGAATACTCCAATTAAAATTTACCAACTTTTTCTCCAAGTTAAACTTTGGAACTGCAAATTAAAATTTCTCACGTTCCTCATTTAATTTCACATAAACTTCGAGATTCAAGATATGATTACTAATAAGTAATATTAAAAATTAAAATGTCATTCGCTTACTATACAATTAATATTTTTTTGACACTTTGTTAACAAAAATTTAGTTAAAAAATTCATGTAGCTCGTTTACATGTTTAGTAAACATCTAATATATGTATACATATATGTACGTATATCTAGATTTTCTCTCCCTAAGACTGAATAGTCATCATGCTCAGTCAGCTATTTTTGTCTAATTAGATAAAAGAAAATCATGTACATGCTCAGTATATTTTGATATACATACACTGAAAAAAATTTGTTAATTTGACTTAACCGTTCAACTAAATTACTATTTTGTTAATTGAACACACACATAAGAATATTTAAATTAAATATAACATATTAAAACTATTAAACAAAATGTATTTGTCTTAAATACTAATATATGTTCAATTAACAAAATAGTAATTTAGCTGAAAGGTTTATTAGTCAAGTTAACCAATTTTTTTTCAGTGTATTTATCATATCCGATAATCAATTGAGTAAAAAATATTGATATTCTAGTTTTAGTTCTCTGTATTTTTTAATGACTAAATTTCAAAGAAATTTAGCTGATTTATCATTTTCCTAATTGTTTCAACTTGCAATAATTCTGGATGAGTGCAATAATTCGTCATAATTGATGTGTATTTGCGCATATTATTGTATTATAATTAAATTTAATAAATTTAATACCTAATTAAAAACTTATTGTTGCTCATAGCAAAATATATTAAAGGAGAAAATATGTAAATTAATATAAATTAAGAAAAATTATTTTTCAAGTATATTTAATATTATGATTTTAAATTGATCAAGTTGAATAACTAAAAATGTATCGTTATTAAAAAATAGCAACATGTTGAAGAAAATATATGTAATATTAAATATGTAAAGTATGTAAATTTATATAAACTAAGAAACATTATTTTTTAAATGTCTTTAATATTATGATTTTAAATTGATCAAGTTGAATAACTAAAAATGTATCGTTATTAAAAAATAGCAACACGTTGAAAAAAATATATGTAATATTAAATATGTAAAGTATGTAAATTTATATAAACTAAGAAACATTATTTTTTAAATGTCTTTAATATTATGATTTTAAATTGATCAAGTTGAATAACTAAAAATGTATCGTTATTAAAAAATAGCAACACGTTGAAAAAAATATATGTAATATTAAATATGTAAAGTATGTAAATTTATATAAACTAAGAAACATTATTTTTTAAATGTCTTTAATATTATGATTTTAAATTGATCAAGTTGAATAACTAAAAATATATCGTTATTAAAAAATAGCAACACGTTGAAGAAAATATATGTAATATTAAATATGTAAAGTACATATGTAAATTTATATAAAATAAGAAAAATTATTTTTTAAATGTCTTTAATATTATGATTTTAAATTGATCAAGTTGAATAACTAAAAATGTATCGTTATTAAAAAAAAAATAGCAATATGTTGAAGAAAATATGTAATATTACATATGTAAAGTATATAAATTTGTCTAAATTAAGACGTTTTGTACATATATTTAATATTCTATTAAATTAAGTAATGAAGAAAAATAACAATATAGCAATCTATCGAGGGGGAAAAGTAGGGACTCACCCTTGTACGAATTTCGGACGAGAGTCATGCTCATATTCGTGCGAGCCGGTGCCTCTCGGGGGTTACGTCCGGCGGCTTTTCTTCCTCTTCTTCCTCCTCCTCCTCCAGTTCCGGCTTCGGCTCGTCGACGTCGCGGCCAGGTTCCGTCCTCCGGCGTGACACGTCAGCTCGATCCTCGCCTCACGACGACGAGTTCGTTGTCCATCGGCGTTCTAAGGCACAGCGGCGCATCATCATCATCGCTGCAGCTTCTCTTCTCTCTCTCTCTTTCTCGCGCGTCTCTTCCCTTTCAACTTGCCCGCGCGATAACTCAACTTGGTCGCGGAGGCGCGCAGCTCCACCGTTTTAATCACTCCTCTTCCTTTCTTCTATTATTTGGTCATCCAGCCTCCCTTCGCCACTTCTGTCGCGGCTCGAAACACGGACCGAGACGAAGAACGACGCACTACCAGGCGACGATGTGCGACCGACACCGGACATTTGAAGACACGTGCGACCCGTAGGTTTGGTTGTCACTATCTCGGAGCTTGCACTTGGCTCTTGTAAGAAAAGCTTCGCGCTGGGAGATCCTGACGGGACGGAATCCAACAAAATTCCAGAAGGGCGTCCGTTCCTCTTCTTGTTCGACGACGACTGATGATGAAGATGATGATGATGATGATGATGATCGAGAGATGTGGGTTTTGTACGGGGAAAGAGCCAGTTCCAGCTTCGTGATCCACGAAGAGATGAAGAAACGTCAGTTATTCGTGGGTACTTGCTCCGACTTCCTCTCCTCGTGATTGCGATCGTTGTCGGGACGGTGTTGAAACGCGACGATCGCGGCCAACTACGCTTTGTAAATAATCATTGCACTCCCGCGTATTCTCGGGCGGACGCGTGGAAACGCCGAAAAGAGAGGGAGGGAGAGAGAGAGAGAGAGAGAGAAAGAAAAGGGAGAGGCAGCTCGATGTGCACGATGGGTATCTTTACGGAAATATCGCGCACAAAAAAGTGTACGCTCCTTTTTCTTACTCTTCTTCTTTCTTCACCTTCTTCATCTCCTCCTCCTTCGTCACCTTTATCTTCCCGATGAAGAGAAAAAGGGAGCACTCCCGAACTCCTCGATACGACAAAAGACGGACAATGAGAGACCGAGAAAAGGAGACACACGAAGGCGGAGAGATATTCTACACGGTGGAGGCTGGGAACAGGAGAGAAAGAAAGAAAGAGACAGAAAGAAAGAGAGAGAGAGAGAGAAAGATGCGGAGGAACGGCGGTGTGTCAAGACATAGCAAAGAGGATAGTGCGATGAGTGCACAGGCAGGTAACAAGGCAGAAAACGATTCGGTGCGTTACTAGCAGCCTCGCGCCGAGTAGAGAAGCCAGAAGCACCGGTAAAACACGATTCCCTAACTAACACACACGGAGACAGATCGGGGACTGCTTTGGAGTTTACTATAGGATGGGACGGATGGTGATGGCGGCCGTGTAGCCAGAGTAGTCGGAGCCACCGCCCCCATCGCTTCATCTCTGTCGGCGGAGAGAGAGAGAGAGTGCGCGCGAGCGCACTCCGTTTTCCCACCACGTCGAGTCCGAACCTCCTCTTCTCTCGATATCGAGATCAGTCTCCTCTCCCCCTTCTGGTCCGATGTACGACGATGGACACGCTGGAATCTCTCTGTCTCTCTCTCTCTCTCTCTCTCCTTCTCCCTCTTCTGACGCTCTTAACCCTCGTGCGCTGTATAAAAAAAATATGTAAAATTACATAAATAATAAGTGGAAAATTATCGTATTCGAGGAAGTATAGTACTACGAATAAAAATGACTATTCTATACAAAATATTAATTAAAATAAAAATTAAAATCATTGAATATTTTAATAAATTTCTAAATATATAAATTCTAATTAACCTAAAAAAAATAATTATTCCATATTCAGATAAAAAAATTAATGTAAAACCTTCTCTAAAATATTCAATATTAAATCCTGAAACTAACTCTGACTCACCCTCGATAAAATCTATAGGACTTCGATTTAATTCAACAAAAATCCTAATAAAAAATATAATAAATAAAGGATATATAACTATACTAAATATCATAAATATAATTGACAATTAATAAAATCAAAAATCTCTCTATTATTAATATAATAACTAAAATAATTAAAATAAATCTTTAGCTGTGTGAATCAGCTCAATCACCCTATAAAAATTATTATATACCATATCCTCTAATATAGTTATAAAAACAATTATCAATAAAGTAGAATAAAATTACATATACGATAAATAATAGAAATGTTTACCTTTTCATTATATATCATGTAATTTTACATATTTTTTTTACAGTGTGGCCGATGAGATCCTCCACCTACGGTGTGTACCACCTCTCTCTCTCTCTCTCTCTCTGGGGCAGGGAGATGTTATCCTCGAGCGATCCGTGCGTGTATCCGTCTGCCGTGCCGTCGCCACATCCCCTACCTGCGTCGCGTCGCGTTCCCCTGCGTCAACGTCGCCGACGTCGGCGTGCGCGTCTCGCGATCAACGCTAGGAGCGTAACGATAGTCCGAGCGCGCCCTGCTCCTCGTCAGATTTATTCCGTTCGAGTGCCCACGGCTGGACACGCCGCGTTTGACAGGCCTAAAACAGAGAGTTCGATTGAGATCATTACGTGCGTTTTCGAATTTTATAATCGAGCGGAAGTGGAATTTACAAAATTCACATGACTTCACGCGACTTCAGAATTTGTGTATATGAATTCTGTAGAATATTGATATATAAGTAGAAGAATTGCACGTTACGAGATGAAACTTCGAAATCCTCGGCCAAAAGAAATCGTGAATATATGTCATATTATAATAAATATATATGTATATATAAACATAGTCTATTAGATTCTGTATAAATATTAAAATGATTTTGATAAAATATACGCAGAGAGAATTGTCTCTTAGAATTTACTCCGAAAATATCATGGTTAATCGTGCTTGGAAGAATTTTATGAGTTTCTCTGATTAATATATATATATTGTCCCACGATTCCCATGATTTTCAGGATAAATTCTAGGAGAAAATTATCCTGAAACTAACTCTGACTCACCCTCAATAAAATCTATAGGACTTCGATTTAATTCAGCTAAAATCCTAATAAAAAATATAATAAATAAAGGATATATAACTACTAAATATCATAAATATAACTGACAATTAATAAAATCAAAAATCTCTCTCTTATTAATATAATAACTAAAATAATAACTAAAATTATCTCCTAATATAAAATAAAATATTAATAAAATTATTCGTCGACAGTAAATTTACATATGTTTCTCCAAAGTGTGCTCCAAATAAGTAAGATTTCGTTTCTTCGTGATTATTTTGATATTTGACATATTGCGTTTTTTTTTTAATAGTATTTTCTAAACACATCGTCATGGAAACAGTGAAATACCGAATCTCTCGTAATGAGCGCAGATTGGAGAGAAAGCAAATTTACGAGCAAATTTCCGGTATAGCGGTGGCTCCGAGTGGCTCGTTCATGGATTTATCGACAAAGCAGCTTCTTATCGCGATGCGCTCATTAACCGGAAACCACGGTATCTTTGGCTTCGGCTGACACGCAGTCGTTGTTGCTCCGCTCTTTATCTAAATAACAAGTGAAAGGATGCGCATGCCGGTATGGTTGCTTCCTACGAAGCGATATTTTCTCTCTCTTTCTTCTGGTCGGCTCCATATTGGGAAAAAATAGTGCGCCGAAAGAGAGAGAACTTTGATACGGACTGACCTGCGTGCTATCATAATGCGGGAATTGAACAGAAGCTGCTTTCTTTAACCCTTTTGAGATCAAAGGTTCCACCGTGAACCGAGTTGTTTCTACATATATACGATTTAAATATTTTTCCTTACGCGATACTATATGTCTTGTAATTTTTTAAAGGTGGTCCTACGTTTTTTCATATGACCTAAAGTTGATAAGAATGATTGCGAAGCCTTCTACTACTATATAATATAATAAGTTATCAGAGTAGTTTTTTTGATAGTGGTGAAAACACAAAAGATAGCTCTATATAAACAAAAAATTGATAATGAATGGGTCCAGCATATGTTTCTTCTAGATTCTAGACTAAATGATTGAAAGGACTTTTCTCTTTAAAATGATATGAATAAAGCTCGTGAATATATAAATATTAGTTCTGTTTTTCAAATTCTTAAATCTAAAAAAACCGTGCATATCACAAATTGAATGAAAATTAAATGTACAAATGCAAATAATTAAATTAGAAAAAAATCGGGGCACGTAAAAAAAAAAAAAAACTGTGTTTTAATAATTATTAAAGATTCGATGAATTTGTTAGTAGACTTTAGATTATATGCAAATTGCATATTTGTTAATTTTTGCATATTCTACGAGAACATTAATAATGTGAACAAATTATAATGTTAATTAATTAAAAACATAATTTGTTTACATTATTAATATTTGCATAGAATATACAAAAAGTAACAAATATGCAATTTGCATATAATCCAAAGTCCATTTATTTTGCATTTAATTTTATTTAATTAATCATAGTAGATAAATATTAATCGAATCTTTAATCTCATCAATCTAGTTTGCAGCAATATAGGTATTAGCACTGCGTAGAAATGCGTTATAGAGAATGCAGGATCGATTTTTCTGAAATATTTATACGATGCGCATGGCACGTTTAACGAGGTTAAACGCATAACGTTAATTATGCGGTGAGAAGTGGCGCACGATAACGTCAGCGCTTATCAGCATTTAATTCCCTTGACTTTTCACCGCAGTGAAGTCCGCACGGAGGGATTGCTTTATGTATGCTTTATAATTCGCAATGTGCGTCAAACGCACGTCTGTCTCAATAAAATCTTTTACTTATTCCTTCATTTCGACGAAATAGCAGTAGCCATTAAGCCATGAGCTTCTCGATGACATTTCTTTTTTCATATAAACATCAGACAACAATCACATATGTAAATTTTATTCGAAAATTCTAATTAAAATCTTACATTTTATATGTCATTTTTGTTATTTTGTTTCCTTAAATTTTCATCAATCATATTAAGTTTAGAGTTTTTGATATTAATTTAATAATATTAATTAAATTCATATTAAAAACTCTAAACTTAATATGTGATTTATGAAAATTAATTTAACATTAATTTTTAATATTAATTTAATGTTATCGAAATCTAAACTAATTTTAAAGATGATATTTACGACGTAGATGACAATCTCTCTCTCTCTAGCATTATATTAAAAAATATTTATTTCGAGCTCTAAATGCAAGTCTCAAAAATATAACGATGTGTTAGCTTTTAACTACAAACAATATATATTACTAGAATCGGTTTATATAATACTATTGTGTTCTTCCTCGAATTACTGACTTTCCGAGAAAGGAATGCAAACACATTTTGCTCTATAAAGAAATGATCCGTCTTATACAGATGAAACCGAGCGTAAATAAGATAACAACGTGAATTGCATTATCGCTCGTTGTCAATAGGTGAAGTCGCTGGTGCCTTATTAAGACCTTATCTATATATTGCCATTAACGTATATACGATTTATAATTTACGTATGGAACGTACAAGAGATAAACCTTCAATCTTTTCGACAAAACTCCATCTTGTCATAATGAAATAATATTCTGAAAGAGGTAGAATCTTTTTTCTTCGATACGAAGAGATTAAATATATTTTCCATAAAATATTCCCACAGAACAAGAGGTTTCTTCCCTCCCTACATAAACGCGTACAAACTCCGGTTCGTTCAAACTCCGATCCCGTCCAAGCGATGACGTAGTTGATCAACCGAGTCACGGCTTCTTCCAAATTCAGCGATCGGAATCAATGTAACGATTCAGCTTCCCTCTCGACGTCTCTCATCTCGCATCGCGATCCTCCTCTCCCTCTCATCTTCTCGAACACGTCCGCTTGCTCCGCGTTGTTACGTCGAACGCAGCGAGAAGCGTGGTAGCGACGCACTGTCCGTTACTATTATTAGTGTGCAGCTGCCTGCGAATTACTGAATGAAAACGGAGGACCGCTTCGGAACAATGTCCGAGAGAAAGAGAGAAGTGGACTCTCTCTCTCTCTCTCTCTAGTCGCGCGCGCGAATGGCATTGTTAAACAACAGGCAATGATCGTAATCGGAGCCGAACTGCTCCGTCTCTCCTGCGTGATAGATATATTGCGGATTAATTGGTCCCCGTTTGCGTACTTTCTTCCCCGGGTCCTTTTCTCTTCATCATTAAATTCATTTTTATCGCGAATGTACATAAGAATAGGAACGATATTTAAACTGCATTGAACAAAAATTTGTTGACTTGAATTATAAATTTTAACTGCAAATATTATATTTTGTTAATTGAACATAGAAAAATATTTAAATTAATGTAACATAGTAAATCTTACGAAACGTATATATTTGACTTAAATATTAATATATGTTCAATTAACAAAACAGTAATTTAGTTGAAAAGTTTAGTCAACTTGACAAATTTTTTTCAGTGTGATTTTTATCGCGAATGTAAAAATAGGAAAAAAATGGTAATTAATTTTAAATTCCGAGAACCTAATCTGCGATATATTTTTATTCTAATTTTCTCACACTTTGAAACTTTGAGCTTTTAGAGTGACTTGTCAAAAACCTGACATGACAAGTTAATCTGTTTCGAAATATAGCTTCTTAAATCTTTTTGAATTTTTTCCAAGCCAATTTCTCGGGTGTGTCAAATGTAACTTAACTTTCAAAGGATTAACATTTCAAACAGCATCAAAGTCGAAACGTGTCTAAAATCGAGGCATACATCTTTAAGATGTCTTAGGATATCTTATATCCCGACTTTGGATTTGCTGTCTATTGTATATTGCTAATCATTTGAAAGTATTTAAAATATGCACACTAATCACTCAATTCAGGGTGCTATTGTTAAAGTACCATGCACATTATACTAAAATTGTCTATTGTAGTTAGAAGTAATTAATTTTCAGAAAAGTACACGCATATGTTTTAAATATTTACAAGTAAATATCACTATTATTATATGTATAAATTTTTGTTATCAAGAGAACCACCGATATATGTATTTTAACTAAAGCAGAAAATACAGATAAGTCAGAGCAATATAATACACAAACACTAATTTATTTTTATTTAGAGTTTAGCTTATCGATATTCTGTCATTGTAAAAAAAATCATAAACATTTTCTTATCTAATTTATTTTTCAATATATGTATCTTTGAAAAAATACGTCTAAATATCTTATGGAATATTCTACATTCTAATGTTTACTTAGGCTTTCCTTAACTGCAAGCCGAGATATGCAAAGGATTATCAGAGTTTGTATGTTAGTCAGAAATCCATCAGAGAGTGATTACGTTTTCCTCTTTACTCCGAAAATAACGCGTATGTATATATCTCTCTTTAAGGAAATTAAAGTTTTCTTCTCTAGATTCGTGTTGCTCGGTGATTCTCTTTCGAACGGAAATTTTTCCTGTAAATACTGGAAAGATACAACCTAATGAAATTAATAAATACTTATTTCAACTGTCTAATAAATCGTTTATTTGAAACCAAATAAATATTTTCCACGTCAAATCAACATTATTAGTTTCAAATAAATGATTCATTTGGCATTATTGAAATAAATACTTATTCGAGTTCAATAATATTTTTTTCCAGTGCATCATTTATAATAGTGTCAACTTTCGTCTACTATTCTTTCATATTTTCAGCCCTCACTTCGCATCTTGCTTCTTACGCCGGTACACAAACATATCGCGCAATCACGCTCATTCTGAGGCCCCATATGTCGATCTATACTCGCGAGGGCATCGCTTCGAGGGCAAAGATGGCCTGCGGAAGATCAACGAGGCGCGTTGCTGCGCAGACAAGCACGACGGCTGAGGCAACGGCCGAACGAAAATGTATGACACTTCTTCTTGCGTATATTTTTTCGTGTCGGTATGTTAAACGAGAGGCGTCGAGCGAAAGCAGCGATCGCGCGCGATACAGAGTGATAGCGAGGCAAGCCGAGCCGAGAAGAGAGGAATGCATCGTCTTCTATTCGGTCAGTACAGGCAATTAGAGCCAATAGCACCTCCTCCTTCTCTTTCTGTCTCTCTCTCTTTCCCTTTTCTCTCTCTTCGATTCGTCTCGTCTTTAATCACGCTGCTCTCGAGGTGTTGAATTTCTTGGTACGATGTTAATCTTCCCCTTTCTGTTAACGATGCCCGTCATCGTCGAGAGACGTCTTGATGAATAACACCGACTGATTGCTCGGTCGACTAAACGCGCGATTTAAGCGGGATGCGATCGATAACGCTCTACCGAGAGAATCGTATGTATAAATTTCCTCGTGAGACATATATCAGATGTATTTCAACAGAGTTTAGAGAGAAGGAGAGATATTAATGATAGAGAAATGATTCCCTAAGCTAAAATATTATTTAGCTCCGGTCTTAATTTGAAGCTAATTAAATTTACTACATCGCGGTATGCAATTGAATCTGAGCATTTCTTGCGCAGCACATTATAGACTTCCAAGTATTATTCTGATGTTTTGGGAAGGGAGAAAGAAAAGGAATATATAATACATCGTTTTTTCTCATTATATATGTATATAAATTAAAAAATAATTAAAATTAATGCTAACATCACTATGCAACAAAATTATTAAGCAGAGATTGCAACCCTGCTCTTCGCATGATTTGTGATGTTGATTAACAATATCAGCAACAATTATTGATTAATAATAAATAATTGTTAATATATTATTTAGAGGAATCAATATTTTTCCTATACATATATTCTCTCTCCTCCTCCTTTCCAATTTCTTTTTTTATGTATTGAAATGTATACAGGAAGAGAATTTTCTCTGAAAATCATGATAATCGTGAGAGAAAAAATGTTAATATATACATAATAAAATTAATCAAACGTATTTGATATCGTCTCGTGATAGAATATTAATATTTTTATTGCGATAAATATAAAATTCTTCCAATACCATGATTTTCAGGGTATACGTTCTAAGAGAAAATTCTCTCTCTGTATTAGCATACTTTTTCTCGTATGCATCTTCTACCTTGGGATATTCGCGAACGATACAGCACTGATCCTCCTGATCTTCGGCACGTCGTGGTCCAGACGCGATGCGGAGATCACCGAATGCGCTCGAAGCTCACCGAGCTTGGTAGGAGAAGTAGGTGCGGCATAAAGTGGGGAAACATCTCCCTCTTCGTCGGCACACAGTGTCATGCGGCAGAGGGAAATTTCCCCCGGTCGGTGCCGCGGTGGCCACTCTGTGTCCCTTTTTGTTGCCGCCCATTAGGCGCCACCGCAGCGTGATTCGCAACTGTGTTTCTTTATCTTCGCCGTGTAGAATCGAGGCTCCGAGAGACTATATACGAACGATTGTACGCATTTCACCGCGTACTTCTTTTCCTTTCTCTAGCCCGTTCTAACCCGGGTCTCGATCTCTCTTCGTTACTTCCTCGCTCACTCCATCATTGTCTGTTTTCTTGCTGTTAATCTCTGATTCCGAAGCACCGTATATTTTCTTGTTTTTTATTTTTTCCATTTTTTTCTCTTTTATTTTTTCACGGAATATGTGAGACAATGACCTCGTGAATCAGTTGCAGGTATGACAATTTTCCTTGTTTCAACATGGAGATGAATCGTCCCGCCACACGCAGAGATTAAAATGTATATACTTCATAGTTTAAAGTCCTTCAAGTTTCAAGCACATTCCGTCGCAGATGCGTACTTTGTGCTTATGTGTATACAGAATATCGTGTTATTGTCTCCGATAACGCGCGTTGTCTTTGTGTCGGTTTCGCCTTTCCATCTCGTTCCAGGTTTCTTCTTTCTTCATCTTGGTTGATATCTCATCGTAACACATGTCGCGTGCGCGTGGGAGTCACCGACGACAAAGAAAGATCAATGATTCATGGAACTTAAATTTAAAGATTCGTGACGCCAAAAGTTTCTTTGGATTTGGAAAGGTACATCTGTCCGAAACTGTTATCTCAATATGCTCAATATTGTGTAAAATAGACACAAGACACTTATTTTTCTTTTTTATAAAAAATAGCTTAACCCGTTCACTCCGTGAGATACGTGACTATTTTGGGGTATGTATATATACCTATATCATATGCCTCATGGTTCAATTTATGACATTAATTACTGGAGAAAGAAAAGGGAGCGAGAAGACGAAGAGGATGACTCCGAAATTATTTTGTATAAAGTTTGATTTCAGATCTCTCCTTTCTTTTTCTCTCTCTCGATCAAAAAATGTTCACGATAAATCTGGGACATCTTTTATATGTATATATTAGGATTTTGTTGAGAGAGTCTGGACAATGGATTATAAACCAAATTCATACAAACAATGAAGCAGATGCTTTTTAGCTGGCTCATGTTTATCGTTCATTTTTACCTGTTCATTGTAGAGTTGTTATTAGAAAAAGGTATCCATTTTTCTTTTAAGGCTATTCTTCGAATGGTTATTCGACGAATATTCGTGCCCTGAGCTGACTTTTATCCTCGTTTTTCGAAGACCGATTCAAATTTCATCATACTTTGTGACCTTTAGTCTCCCTCGGTTCCGGTCATCTATGCAGACTATACGTGCACCTAAAATGTGACACTTAATATAATTTGTTCGTATAGGTAAACATGTGTGAAATAAAACGCGGCAGGTCAATATAGAAAATCCTCCTGGCAGGATCCAAGAAAGTAAAACCAAAAGCAATGGACAAAAACCTGAGATCTTGACAACTGGGCACCATGTGTGCACCACATTGCGCCTTCCTCTCCAATTCTTCTTCTCTTTCTCTCCTTGCATCATCATCATCATATCCTCTTCTTCTTTTCTGTTTCTCGCAGTTTCTTTCTTCGACAATGTTTTTATAGTCTTTCTATGGCGTTTTTATCTCACGTGTGAGCGACAGCAGCACACGATTGTTTATTATGCACTATATTTTATTATCACACTAGTCAAATATTATCTATGAAATACATATACACACGATAAAAGTAAAATTTTTCAATTTATGGTTTGCTTTCCTCTAACTCTTTTCTTGGGATATTGAATTATAGATGCAGCACAATATTATATCTTACTAAATATTATTTTTAAATAAAAAAATATGTTAAAAACAATATTGGAGTATATAAGCAAAATTAAATTCTTTATTCTTTAAGATTCATAATAAATTTGATTAAGCGAAATTGAAAATCGTATCGCCAATTGTTTTAAAATTTAATTACAAATATTAAACGCGTATACATATTTTTACGCACATTAAAATGAAGAATAAAGCTGCATTTTTAACTTCTGTCAAAATAATTTTTTTAAAATTGAAATATTTTTTCATTTTGCATACTTCTTGTAACTATAATATTTTATTTGAAAAGATTGAAGAATACCAGAAAATTGAAGTTTCTGTTTTTCATAAATAATATTTAATTCATACCAAACAATAAATATAAATCTTCTCAAGCTCCGATCAATAAAACTGTACATCTGAAATCGTTATTATTCACTGTTATAATTTTATCACGTGACTAATCGCGCAACGGAGGAACACGTGGATCGGTCACATAGGTTTCCTGCATTCTCTTATCTGTGCCAAAGGTTTAGATTACGCGCCATACATTACTCATTTTATATGGCTAAGCGTGTGGCTATGAAAATAAGCGGTATAGTCAAAGCCAATATCTCGCACTACTTATATGACAACACACGAAAGACAAATAGAAATCCGAACGCCGTGCATCCGCACGCACTCTCGGTCGTAACAAATATTTGCCTTTTGACTCCGAGACACAGAAAAAAGAAAGGAGTACAATATATTTAATACTTACAACCTGGGCCGTCTGCGGCCATAACTTATTGCTAAATTTATCTGGCAAATAAACGAGAAATATCTGTAAGACACTATCATAGATAGTACTCTTCCTTAATATATGTACATATATTATATATTAATGTTTATTATATATTGTATGTATATTACATATCACATAGGATGCGTCACATAATCCGAAATATTTTCTAGAATGATTATTTCTTTAAAACAGAAATGATATTTCTTATTATATATGATTCTATACGGACGCAAAATATGGTAAGATTTTTTGTATATACTATAAAATATAAATTCAACACATATATAATTCATTCTTTGGAAACATAATTAATTTGGGAAATGTGTTTAAGATGTTTAATTTGAAAAAATATAATATATCTTAAAAGCTTTTTACTGATTCTTAATGTTAATAAAATTGAAGAGAGATGTATCACCTTTGTCTTATTAAGAATTATTCTTCTACAAATTTATGATTTGGTAATGATTTAATATGGATTATTACTTATTAATATTGAAAATTAAAAGATTTTATTAAACTGTATTCAATTCAAGATGAACAAAATAACTTTCACATTAATGTAACTAATCATATATTAATATAATATATGTTAAAACAGATAGAGAGAACAGAGAGATTATCGATGAAAATATATAATAGCCAGTCATTCCACCAATTTTTATCGAAATGTGAGAATAATTTTAATTTTATTTAAAATTATAAAGTTTTTTCCTCGAGTTATATATACTATGGTTTTTCCCGTTTCCGTTTCTTTTTTCCTTCGTTATTCTTGCGCGATGACGTTTTCTCCTATACAAAAGAGATAAACTCGACGATGCGAGATATCACGGTCACATATGATTTTTTTACTGTCAAAGGTAACGTTTCGAGAACTATTTCTAAGCTTGCTTATCTACTTTAAAAATGTCACGTGTGGTTTATTCCAATGTTGATTGGAACGAATGTGAAACTTGAAACTAGAGATATAACGATTATATATTTTTTCAGCAGAAAAATTTAAGTTTCAAGTCCGGACAAAAAAAGAAGAAGCTATTTATAAAATATTATCAAGAGATATATATGTGAAAGATGTAACGTTCTTATTTTTCTTTTAAGCGATAAGATTCTAATCTCTATTACTATTATTTTATTTTATAATTTGATATTTTACTTGGCCATCAATTTCAAATCTGCATAATAAGAGTTTTAATTAACACGAATATAATTTCGAGTGTAAATTCATTTTTATTCTCGCGAGATTCTAGATTTTTGAGGATTTTCTTGTACAGTTTTTATTAACCTCGTCGAATCGAGCATGGGTTTAATAATGCAGGTTCGTGTATAAAAAAAAAAAGGTGAACAGATTGAATATAATGTAATCGAGAGAGGGAAAGGGAGTATACGGAAGGTCAACCGGAGCAGTTTACCTATGGGTTCTATGCCTCATGTATCGCCATATGGGTGACAGCCTGGAGGCTTACGTTTCTAGTACCTAGGTACTCTCCGCATGTGAACTGCATTCGACAAGGTACCACGAATGAATACACTACGCACCCGTAGTAACCTTCCAATCTCATCCCCCACCTTCCTCACCCCCCGGGAAAACGATTCTGCAAAAACGAGATCGCGCATGTGAGTCATCGATACATCCGCCCCGTTCTATCTTTCCCACGATGCATTCTCCGTGGAAAGAAATGGTATCCTTTCTCGTATGTAAACTATAGGATTAACTTTGCGTCACTCGGGTAAAAAGGTTGCCTCACGCTGATGTGCTACGTATCAAAACGGGTATCTCTATGCATATGTAAGTGTAGTCATACATATCAGAAATGATGTTAGTCATCATAAGATAATTATGTATATGACTACTTTTTAAAATACTTATTATTTATTATAATGACGTGAGACGTAGAATTAATGAAATAGGGAAAAAGGGAAAATATTTTGCGAAATTAAAAGATCGACATACCACTCTGGAATTATGTAACGCCAATTACAAAGGACGCAACACAGTTTGAACTTAATTGAAAAGTGTCGCACGTACACACGGACTGATAGCCATAAATTTGTCGGGAGACGCGTACGAATTGTGGATATAGGGCGTGTTTTATCGCGAGCGACAGGCATCGCGGAATAGATCTTCCGTTAATACGTGACGAATCGCGGGCACGTGTATCGCGATAAATTTCGATTTCGTTGACACGTGACGTTTACAACGACTACAACGGCGGTGCATTATTTGAGAAACAATCGCGATAAATTTATTACAGCAAGTAACGCATATAAATAATAGTTGTTGAATTTTCTACGTTTTGTATTAAATTATATCAACTTCCTTATCGAAGATTAATATTTTTAATTTCATAAAGATTTGAAAAGCAAAAATTCAAGTTATACAGTTTTTCAACAGTACATTTTTTTTTTATTTTTATCTCATATTTTTTTATATAAAAATATTTAATTAATGTTGAAATACTATTAAAAAGAATTGCTATGTGATGATTTCAATTTACTTTCATGTTGCTAAATCATTGAATTGCACTTTAAAAAATTTAGTTGTGTTAGCATCAGTAATTACAAGATATTTTACAAAGATTTGCGTTCACTGCATGTATTATAATTATGATACTTCGAAAGATCGTTGCTTGCTGTGTTAACGAAATCTCTATAATTACATCGAATTAATTTAACGCAGTCTCTCTGAATCAGAACATTTTGTGATTTCTGCAATGCACGTTAAATTCTTCTGCCAATCAACATCGATGATTTATCGTGGCAGAGAGTACCTGTCAGTGAGCGAATTCGTTTGACATATTCCAGATAACGAGACGAACACTATCACGAAATTGTATTATTGTGCAAATGCCAAAATGTGACGCAATAAAAACGTGAATAAAGTTATATTTTTTAAATTTGTTTTAAATACAAAGTCACATTTAGCCTTCGTAATTTGCGAACGTATATTCTTGTTTCGAATATTCAATTTAGTAATTATTATCGATGCATGTGCTAATTTCTATGAAAACAATTATATTTTATTATTAAAAATATAAATAGTGCATCACATGATTATATATATTTTTTCTAAAAGAAATATTCCATAATTTTCAGGATAATTTTAATATCAGTAAATGTTAATTAAGTATATAATTTAAGTCTACGAAGTAGACATAAATATTTCTGTAAAAGACAATATGATTACTGTGTTTATAATTTTTCAAAAGTGTATCTGTCACATTTAGAATATCTGGAATTATTCCTTTAGCTAAATGGATTATATATATTTTTTTCTAAAAGAAATATTCCATAATTTTCAGGATAATTTTAATATCAGTAAATGTTAATTAGTATATAATTTAAGTGTACGAAGTAGACATAAATATTTCTGTAAAAGACAATATGATTACTGTGTTTATAATTTTTCAAAAATGTATCTGTCACATTTAGAATATCTGGAATTATTCCTTTAGCTAAATGGATTATATATATTTTTTTCTAAAAGAAATATTCCATAATTTTCAGGATAATTTTAATATCAGTAAATGTTAATTAAGTATATAATTTAAGTCTACGAAGTAGACATAAATATTTCTGTAAAAGACAATATGATTACTGTGTTTATAATTTTTCAAAAGTGTATCTGTCACATTTAGAATATCTGGAATTATTCCTTTAGCTAAATGGATTATATATATTTTTTTCTAAAAGAAATATTCCATAATTTTCAGGATAATTTTAATATCAGTAAATGTTAATTAGTATATAATTTAAGTGTACGAAGTAGACATAAATATTTCTGTAAAAGACAATATGATTACTGTGTTTATAATTTTTCAAAAATGTATCTCATATTTAGAATATCTGGAATTATTCCTTTAGCTAAATGGACGGTCTTTAACTCTAAAAATTCCACACATACAGATTACGTCGGCAGTATGAGAGATGGAATTTAAAGGGATTCAGCGGTTATGCATTCTGGGAAGGTGTGCACTGCGAAATGCAGCCGCGATGGATATTGGATGTGGATGATGGGGTAGCCGCGTTGTTCCGCGCTCAAGGGGATGAGGGGGCGGCAGCTATGGGGTAGCAAAGCTAAGCCAGTAATGCAATAACTTGAATAGAGGGGCACGCAGGCGGAAAGAACATAACGTACCCCTCTGAGCATCCCTTTCGCCATCTCTCCCTCTCTCTCTCTCTCTCTCTCTTTATCTTCAGAGTACATGGGGTACATATGAATCTGCGCACGTATAACCACTGGCACGGTGCACGACGTGGCTCGAGGGTGGTTGTGGGGTTCTTCATCCCCCTGGACTAGGAAGGTACCCCACGTACAGTCGGTCACGTTAAAAGGCTTTTAGTACTCACTCGTTCGCCGTTATTGAATCTCGAGCTCGTTTGGGGCTGAGTAGTAACTGGAGGAATCGCATTCGTACATTCGCTGGATGCATCTTCATGTTATCGTCTGAAAAAGAAAGTCGCGCTATCAAATTTCTCATAAAAGATTTAATATTTTCATCAAGAGATCGATACTACATTCGTAAGTTCAATTTTAAATGTTTTATAAATAAGATATGCACATATATAATTTAATTTTGATATTACATAAATAAGTGAACATTGATAGATATATAATTTCCAAAGTCTATAATTTGAAAATCTGAATTTATAGATATATTACTTATAGATATTAGATCGACTTCATATTAGATATTTGACGATATAATATTACTTACAATAATTTAATCTCGCTTTCATGTTATAAAGTACGATAATTATCTTAAAATCTTTCTATATCATCTCATACTCAATATTTGATATATATCAAATATCTTCATAACTCTCACAAATTAAAATTCTGTTTTATTTTATTTAGTTTACGACTAATTATTGATTATAAAAAATTCAGCTTTATATTATCGATATAAAATCGATAAAAAATTATATGCATTATATCTGTAAAATAAAACTGTTTCTTATGAAATTAATGTTTCGGAAACGGGAAATAAACGGTAGGCGAAAATGATAAAAGTCATCTCGCACCCAATATGAGACTTCATCGCTCATCGTAATCGTCGGTATTACAAAGACTCCCTAATGAAACTTAGAATTAGTGACGCGATTGACTGTACCTGTACCGCAGGAGGGTGATCCCGAGAGTTAAACCCCGCGACTCAGAAATGAAGGGGGAGAAGGGGGAGGGAGAGACGGGAGATGGTCGATGCTCTTCCAGTCAAATACGGAAGAAAAAGACAGAACGAACGAGTGAATGAATGGCTACCAATCTGTTCCATCCCTTTGTTGGAGCGGCTCGTGCCGCGTGTGCAAATCTACCCCCGTTTCACCCCTCTGGCCCTTTTCTCCTGATCCCCTGGTCAACCCCTGCGAATCCTGCCATTGCGCACACGCCTCACACCTGAGCACAATGGGCGGCCGAATTCGTTTCTCCCCCGATTCTACCTCTTCGTGTTTAAATACTGACATGCCGAGTCTGTATATACGTCCGCACGTATATTTCGTGTCTTTATTTCTCGATTTTCTCTCGGTTTTCTGCTCTGCGAGAACATTGCGCGCGCGTCTCGATACATGTATATTGTGACAGTAAAGTCAAGTGAAAATAGAGAGAGAAAGAGAGAACGAATATTCACTGAAATATGTAAAATTATTCTAAAATTCTTAAGGATTATAATATTTGTTCATCGCCAAATAATATAATTTTGACCTCGATTGTATTGATTTCTGACCTTTTTATATGAACGGCTATTATAATTGAAACTCAAGATATTATACATAATTTTTAAAATAAAAATGAAATTTGGAACAATGTCTTTTATATTTCTCTAGATATCTCCTATTCTTTAATTATAAAATCTCTTTCCCATGAAAACTCTATGTATAGAAATAAAAATCAAAGAAATGTGCTTCATTATAAAAATCATTTTTTTAATAATTAAATATTAAATAATATTTTATCACTTTTTTAGTCAGAATTAAATAAATATTGTATTTCTTATTGTAGAAAGTCGTAATTTTCATGGATTCATGAAAATTATTAGTTTTTGACACAATGTAATTTATGTTGTGTTACAGAGCGATTCGAATGAAAGAGAATCAGAGGATGTTGCGGCCAACGAGGAAAATAAAACGGAGCTTATCGCTATCAACGTGTGCAGAAACGAGCAAAGGTGAAGGCATGTAAGTTGTAAATAAAAATTATACTGCGTATATCTATGGAATAGACATTCAATTGAAAGATGCACGATATTAATTCGTTCTATAAAAAAATAACTAACTGTTTTGCTTGATTTACATTTCTATATATATTGCTTGAAAATAATATGAAAAGAAAAAAATAAAATGAGAGAGAAATTGGATAAAAAATAATATAAATTAATAAAAAACCCTATAAAAATTTAGTATCAAAGTATAACTAAAAATTTTTCTATTAACGTCTCTTTTAACTTTTTTTTAAACTCTAATAGATTAATCTTCTCAAGTTCTTGAGAAAAACAAATTAAACTATTATTACACGAAGAGAAAACTATTTTAATTATTCTCGATCGCATAAAATTTCAACTTGTTCTCTTTATTCATCTCTATATTTTTACATTTTTTTCTCTTCTCTCCTTTTATTTTTTTAAGTAAGAAAAATGTTTTACGTGTTATTCTTTCTCCCAACGCGGATTAATATCAATATATTCGCTTATCTCAACGCATATTTCAGACGGTCAAATATTTTAGTATGAAATACTACAGCGGCGTTTTTCGCCCATACATTCATCCACTATATTATAATAGTAGACTTATCGTCAATCTTAATTTTAGTAGCGCGTTCATACGATCTATGATTCATAAATTTCGATATATGTGGGTCCACGTGTACCTGATCAAAGACTATTTAGTTCAGTGTGCATCTTAACAGTTCGTAGGTGCGCACGAATGATGATCGTTAACGAACATGCGGGCACCGCGGTGGGAATTCCACTCAATTTAAGTGTAATTGTTTAATTGAGGATCCTCGCCGAGGCGCGCTCACCGCATAAATTGGTCGTTTACGGTTCCGTTTTCTCGTCGCACATTTTCGAGAGCTTTACAGCATAGCATGAAAATTACGATCGAAATTTCATATTATTTTTCTTACGCAATTTTTCACTTCTTCCTTATTTTTATAACAAGGAGCGCATTAATGATAGGTATATTAATTAATCAATTTTCTGACTTCTCTTAATTCGTATTATTGATATTTTATCTTTAACAGAAAAATATATAAGTATAAGAAAAATATTGTAAAAAAATAAAGAAGAGAACAATATTTTTAATTCTGATATGCATAATGAATATTATTTTAATTCCATTATTAAACTTATAAAGAGTTTAATTCTACTTCGTAATATATTGTACATAATGTACAGTATTCAAATATTTTATGCATGTTTAGTGTTCTGATGTATTATAAGAAATCTGAAATAATAAATGCATTTTTAATATCTGTAGCTTAAAATTCAGCTGCACGTTATTCGTGATAAATAAATTATTTTGACATAATTGATGAAGTAAAAAATTACGACATATCATCTTTAGTATGCTTCATCTATATATATATAGTATTATAACTAATATATAATTTTATAAAATGTCTCTCAGATATTATCTTTCCGTATTTGAATATTAATATCGCGCAGGAAGAGATACAAGGAAGAAGAGAAATTGCGATAAGACGGAAACGGCACGAGCGAAATTTCCGCGATCGTGGAAAAACGATATAATATATATTTCAGGAGGAGAGATCGTTACTAAAGAAGGATATAGCGAGACGGGGGTGAAAATCGTGCCACGTGGCCCGCGGGTACTCCAGGAAGAACAAGGGGAGAACTTGGACTAGCATTACCGGCCCCGGCTCTGGCGAACGTGAGTTACCTTTACTGCGTTTGCTATTCTCCATTGTGCATGACTACGATACGGGACCGTGTAGGGGAGGCTGCGAGAGAGATCGCATGAGTCATACCGAGGCGAGCTTCGTTCGCATTGGCGTAGCATTTAAGTCTTCTCGAAGGGTAAATCCTGCCTTTCGACATTTATTCGTTCACAATTTGCTCCCAGACAGCACCAAGCTCCAAAATTGGCACATAAGATATCATTAAGAAATCTTGAAGACAGCTTTAAGAAATTTTATGATATGATATCTAAAAGACATCTTAAAGATATCTTAAAGACATATCTTTTATGCGCCGATTTTTTTTTATTTGATCGTCCCATACATGCCTTTTTTACTATATTTTTGTTGTATTTATATATATTTTTCTCTATATTTTTATGCAAAATATTCAACTAATAATGTGGTTTGTTATGTTAATATATACGGATTAAAAATTGTTTTAATTAAATGTGTTAAAGATGTATTTCTCGTGCATAGTAAAAAGCAGTATGTGGCAATAAAAAATTGAAAGAATAAAAAACAATATTAAAGAACTTGTAAATTGTATAAAATATATATATAAAAAATGGTATGAATAATACTTGACAAAAATATAATATTTTAAAATTAAAATGGAATTTAATTACATATTAATATTATTTTATCTCTAATTTATCTACCTTGTATCATTGTATAATATATACTTTAAAAGGTGATGTGGAAACTTTTTCACTGTCGAAATATAATATAAAAATATAAAATATAAAAACTTGTAAATATTTTTCATCAAAAGATAGATTAAAAATTTCATCTTTTCGATTAAAAAAAATTTAATTTTAATATAAATATAATAAATATTTCTCTCACTCTCTTTCTTTCTTTTTCTTTTAGTTAATATAGAAAAGGCAATTTTTTTGTGCGAACAAAATCTTTTAACTTGCAGAATATTATTCCCACAATAATATAATACGAATATAACTTGAATATTTTTTTCGTTCAAATAAGAGAGACAGTCAAATCAATCAATTAACCAACTACATATTAATTAAGAAACCACGCAGAGAAAACTAATTCAACACAGAGAGAATTTTCTTTTAGAATTTACCCTGAAAATCATGATAATCTAAGACAATATAATATTGACAGAATTTTATAAGAGTTTCTTTAATTAATATTTATCATAATAAAAATATTAATATCTATCACAATAAGATATAAAATATGTTCGATTAATTTTACTATATACATTAATATTTTTTATTGTGATAAATATTAATCGAAGAAACTCTTACACGATTCTTCCAATATCATATTGTCCCACGATTACCATGATTTTCAAGATAAATTCTAAGAGAAAATTCTCTCCGTAAAGAGATCTACGCGATTAATTACATTTATACATATATATATGAACACACTTTTGATATGGAAATAATTTTTAATTTTATTCGCGAGCATTTGCAGTACATTCCTAATTAATCGAAAGGACGTCATCAGTAATCTCGAAAAATCAATGAATAATCGTGCAAAAAAAAAAAAAAAAAAAAAAAATTCGTCGCGTACCTACGTCACTGCTCCGGTCAATGCATCAATCCGGCCTGCATCTGTATGTATTTACGCTTCCGAGGAGGAGGGAGAGAGGGGGGTGGACGGGGGGGGAGGGAACCCCTATGTGACATCATCCCCCACGCGCGCCCGCTTCGTTTCGCTGGCTGACTTCTGTCGCCTAACTCCAAAACACCCCTGGACCCTGCCACCTCCCTTTACCTTTAATCTTTATCAATCCACCCAGCCGAGTCGACGAATCGAACGCACGAACGTGCACGAGACGAGATGACGCAGGAGATGCGGACGCCACCGCGCATTATTCACGGCCGATAGCGCCTTCATTCCCACCCCTTCTTCTTTCACCGCTTGATCCGCGTCCATCTCTTTCACCGACTTTCACCCTCTCTTATTCATTCTCATTTTGTTTCGCTTGCGTTGTACCCTTCGTAGCTTATTCGTACCCTAAACAGTTCGACGAATTGTTAATTGCGAAATGCAGCTTTTTTTTCTTATTTCTTCAACCGTATAAACATTCATTTCGATTTATATACATGTGTCATTTATTATAAACAATTAATAAGAATTCGGAACAATATATTTATTTTTATATCTTTCTTCGTTGCTTTCAACATTTAATAGCGAATTTAATTGTTTCGACAAATAAAATTTGCACTTACCGAGAGAAGAACTTTTTTCTTCATTTCGTGCATTTTCTTCAATACAGTAAGATTTTATTCGTATAACAACGTCGAACGTACTTATTTTATCAAATTCATTGCTACTGCAAGAGACTTTTGAAAGTAAAAAGAAATCTTTTTCTACGATACCTCTTTAGCCGTTATTCGCGCGACGAACTTCTCGTTTCAATAGATGTACGTATCACCGCGAGATTTTGGACGACTATATTCATGAAGAATTGAAGATGGTAAGGTGTGAGAAATTAACTAATCACGGTTCAACCTCGAAAAAATAATCGAATATGATTGGCCAACTTCTCGCGCCAAATTCTCAGTGAAGATATCGTTTTACCTGCAGATGGCAGCATTATCACAGTTTCATGTTTCTAAACTTATTTCATCCCTGCCCTGCCCCCTTTTTTCTGCCTCATTTAACGATATAAATATGTTAATATTTATATTAATATTAATATAATATAAATATTTATAGTAATATTATATAATATTAATAAAAATATATATTAATATGAATATAAATATATTAATATTAGTATCAATAATATATAAGAATTTCCGAATGTTAAGCATTTTTATAACCTTCCTGGATATATATTTCTTATATCCTTCTTCGCTGTTTTCGATGTTTAATAACGTGTTTCATCAATTATACTATACAAATTATATTTACACTTATAAATATAAATATATATATATATATATATCGCATTTCATTTCGTGGATTTTCTTTAATACACAGCAAGATTTTATTTGTTATTCGTATAACAACGTCCAGCGTACTTTTTTTAACAAATTCATTGGAAGATACTTTGAAAGTAAAAGAAATATATTTTTCTACGATACCTCTTTTTATCCATTTTATCCGCACGACGACCTCCTCCTGTCAGAGTTTAGACAACTTTAGACGAATATATTTATAAAAAATTGAAGAGATGGTGATGTAAGAAATTAACCAATCACGGTTGAGCGTGAAAAGAATAATCGAATATGATTCGTTGACTTCTCGCGTCTCTTTACCTGCAGATGGCAGCAGTATTGCAGTTTCTGGACCTGTCACTCTATTATTTTTGCTCATTGCTTAAAGGAGACAGTTAAGTGGTGATGTTTGCTTGTATTGGAAATTTTGTGGCGCCAATCACGCAATTATCTGATTTTACGCAGTTTGTTTAATTATTTTCCAAGATGCCGGCGTTTTTGAAGCATATCGAAGTCGAGAACTTCAAATCTTACAAAGGAAAACTCATTATCGGCCCGCTGAAATCCTTTACGGCAGTTGTTGGCCCTAATGGATCCGGTAGGTTACTTTTCTCTGTGTATCAACAATGGACGCGTTCAACGAATGTCACAGCAACGGAATTATTAAATAATAATCGTCTACACGACTGGCAGATACTTCTAAATCTATTGTGCCAGATCAGCGTTTTCTAAAATTCGATACCAGTTGCATTCGCTGAAAGCATGATATGACACTTTACCTTACAACTTTGTAAGATTTGACAAGCCCTACATGTATTGTAACACATTCATATTATCATATAGGAAAGTCAAATTTTATGGATGCCATAAGTTTTGTTATGGGTGAGAAAACTAGCAGCTTGCGAGTCAAGAGATTCAGTGAACTCATTCATGGTGCGTCTATTGGGATGCCAGTAGCACGGAGGTATATCATTTTAGATACGACCCTAATGTATTAATTTAAAGATACTTGGATGTAATTTAATCTGAACGCTTTGAAATGTATATATAAAGAGTTGTAAACTTTTTGTGGAATATAGTGCTTCAGTGACAGCTGTGTTTGAATTAGAAGATGGAACGGAGAAAAGCTTTATGCGTTCTGTGCAAGGTTCTTCTTCTGAACACAGAATAAATAATAGTGTAAGTTATTACTTGAATAACTATACATGCATATAATTGAAGCTATTAAAAATATTTTTTTTATTACAGCTTGTCAGCAGCCAAGGATATCTTAGTGAATTGGAGCAACTTGGTATTAATGTTAAAGCAAAGAATTTTCTAGTATTTCAAGGTGCAGTTGAATCCATAGCTATGAAAAATCCAAAGGAGCGCACTGCTTTGTTTGAAGAGATTAGTAATTCTGGTGCATTAAAAGCAGAATACGAAAGGTGTGTTGAAATGTTGTTATATAAAATTATATCTGATAATTTGATTACAATAAAAGTAAAATTCTAGATTAAGAACAGAAATGTTGAAAGCTGAAGAAGAAACTCAGTTTTCATATCAGAAAAAGAAAGGAATTGCTGCTGAAAGAAAAGAGGCAAAATTAGAAAAAGAGGAAGCTGAAAAATATCAACGTCTTAAAGAAGAATATGTGTGTACATTCTTTAATTTTAATATAATACTTAATATTCTACAATAATGAAAATTGTATATATAATAATTTCTTCATGCATTTATATAATTATTATTAAAATTTTTATCTTTTATATTTAGGTGGAGAAACAAGTAGAATTGCAACTATTTCGATTATTTCACAATGAGAAGAGCACTGAGAATTTTGAAGTTTCTCAAAAGAAGAAACAACATGAAATTGAAAAAATTGAGAAGAAAAAGGAGAAAGCTGAGGAGTTACTGAAAGAGAAGAAAAAGGATGCTGGTAAATTGGGAAGAGATCTGGCTAAAATAGAGCAGGATATTAGAGAAGTGGAAGTGGAAATTACGAAAAAAAGGCCGACCTTTATTAAAGCCAAAGAACGTGTTGCACATATGCAAAAGAAGATGGAATCTGCACGTAAATCTTTGGCTCAAGCACGTATCGCAGATGAGGCTCATAAGAAAGATATACACGAACTACAGGAGGAATTAAGACAAGTGGAAGAAGCTAAAGCTGCTTACGAAGCAAGTATAGCAGGACAATCGCAATTGCAAGGAAGAGATGTGCAATTGGAAGATGAACAGGTAATACACATACATGAATTGCACTATTATATAATTAAGTTTACATAACAGTGTGAATTTAGACAATAAAATAATTTTAGGTGCAAGAATACAATCGTTTAAAAGAAGAAGCTGGTAAACAATCTGCGAGATATCTTCAACTTCTCGATTCAATCAATCGTGAGCAAAAATCGGATCAAGATAGACTTGACAATGAAGGCAGAAAGAAAACCGAGATAGAGAATAAACATAAACAGAAGGGTCATATGCGAGACGATGCTCTCAAACGAATAGAGAAATTAGAGGAACACATAAAAACGTCGGAAGCTGCATTAGAGGATCAGAAAAAACTTAGAGCCGATTTACAGTCTGATGTGGGTACATCGAAAGATAAGATTCAAAATTTACAGCGAGAGTTAGAGAGTATTTCGGAACAACTTGGTGATGCTAAAGTTGATAAACATGAAGTATCCAGAACCAAGAAAAAGACGGAAATTGTAGAAAATTTTAAGCGTCTGTTCCCAGGAGTGGTGTGTTATCATTTTCTTTTTATTATCTCTTATATTTTATATTATCTCTTATATTTTATATTATCTCTTTATATTTTTATTATTCTTCTCAATATCTGTAAGTAGAAGCAACAAATTTACATTTTTTCTTTTCAGTATGATCGCATGTACAACATGTGCGAACCAATACACAAGCGGTACAATGTTGCTATTACAAAAGTACTTGGCAAATACATGGAAGCTATTGTAGTGGACACTGAGAAAACAGCCAGGCAATGCATCCAATATTTAAAAGAGCAATATCTTGAGCCGGAAACGTTTCTTCCGCTTGATTATATCCAAGCTAAACCATTAAAAGAACGTCTTCGGTAAATAAACTGAATATTGATTATGTAGAGTTTTTACAACAAAAAAAAAATATAAAAATACTATTTTCATATCGTTTAGTTTTGTATGAATCTTTCAATAATAATTTATATTATTTTACAGTAATATACAAGAACCTAAAAATGTGAAACTGCTGTATGATGTTTTGCATTTTTCGCCAAAAGACATTGATAGAGCAGTTCTTTTTGCGACTAATAACGCTCTTGTATGTGAGACACCTGAAGATGCAAATAAAGTAGCATACGAGATGGATAAGAAAACCAGATACGATGTAAATATATACATGATTTTGGCTTATGAATAAATAAATAAAATAATATAAAAAACATGTGATATATATGATGAAATATTTATAGTGCGTCGCATTAGATGGTACATTTTATCAAAAAGCTGGCATAATATCTGGTGGCAGTTTGGATCTTGCAAAGAAAGCAAAGAGATGGGATGAAAAACAAATGTCTCAATTAAAGGCGCAAAAGGTGGCGTATCTTTTTTTTCTTTATGTTATGAAAATATGAATATTTTTTATTTTAATTTACAGGAAAAATTAACAGAAGAACTGAGAGAATCTTTGAAAAAGTCGCGCAAGGAATCTGAATTGAATACAGTTGAATCTCAAATACGTGGCTTAGAGACTCGCCTAAAATACAATAAAAGTGATTTATCTGCAACAGTAAGCATTACTCATTGCATATGAAAAATATACTTATTTAAAAATACATTGATAAAAATTGAAAAATACGTTTCTAAAATTATAAAGTATTTTGATTAAATTTTTTATTGTAGCAAAAACAAATTGCGGATCTTGAGATGGAGTTAGAGGGTTTACAAAATGAATTAAACATGTTTGGTGTAAGTTGCGACATATTTTATACACATTTTTATTTATTTAATTTTTATTTTTATATATTTGATAAATGAATACTTAGATATTTTTTTAATCTCTTATGTGTAGCCAGCAATAGCTGCTATTGAAAAAACCATGGCTGAAAGAGACCAAGAAATACAAAACATTAAAGAAAAGATGAATAATGTTGAAGATGATGTATTCGCCAGTTTTTGCGAACAGATAGGAGTTTCCAATATCCGTCAATATGAAGAAAGGGAATTAAGGTATATATATTAAAAAGCTACATATGTCATTGAAGAATCATATTATCTTATTTATATGCTAAGATCGAATATGCTATTATTCTAGATCACAACAAGAAAGAGCAAAGAAGCGTTTAGAGTTCGACAATCAATGCAATCGTATCTATAATCAATTAGATTTTGAGAAGCAACGCGATACAGAAAGTATGTATTGTAGATTATATATTTTATATAAAATTTAATATCATGGATTATTCTTTTTTCACACATTACATTACAAAATGGTAATGATTTAATCGACTCTGGCAAATAAGTAATTTTATTGAATTTTACAACGTTTCGGCCGTGAGTTTCGGCCCTTATCAAGTGCTATGTTCTTAAAACAAAGTAAATCACAACTTTTTTAAAAAATAAATTCGATTCTTGAATATGACATGATATAATAACATGATAATATGAAAACGAAAATTATGTCGATAACATAGTTATTTCGTTTTTATACTATCATGTTATTATATCATGTCATATTCTAAGATCGAACTTTTGTTTTTTAAAAAAGTTGTGATTTACTTTGTTTTAAGAACATAGCACTTGATAAGGGCCGAAACGTTGTGAAATTCAATAAAATTATTTATTTGCCAGAGTTGGTCGATTAAATTATTACCATTTTTTAATTATCGTCTGGTGACTTTATAGTTTTATATCGTTACATTACAAAGTTTTCACATTTTGAGTAATCTCTACATATTAACTATATAATTAGTTTTTGCATTATTTAACATTATTTATAATGCAGGCAATGTTCTGCGATGGGAACGAGCGGTTCAAGATGCAGAAGATAAGCTTGAATCTGCAAGGCAAACTGAGCTTAATCAAAAAGCGGAGATCGATCATGACGAGCAGCAAATGGAGCAATTGAAATCATCTCGAAATGCTAAGAAGATGGAGGTTGATCAGAAAGAAGATGAAATCGGTAAAGCCAGACGTGAAGTAGGAGCAATCGCGAAGGATATTCAGGCAGCTCAAAAACAGCTGAATGCGATTGAAACGAAAATTGAACAGAAAAAAGCCGAACGGCATGCTATTCTGATGCAATGCAAGGTTTGTTGAATGTGCTTTATAGGAGATGATTATTTCATTGTGTATATATTGTATAGGTTATATATATAGATTATTTTAAATTACTAAATGTGTGTATTTAACAATATATTCAGATGGAAGACATTGCAATACCTATGTTGCATGGTAATATGGAAGACATAGCAGGTGAAACGAGCACGACGAATGGTAGTGAAACAAATGCTGATTCGTCAGTGAGTACACAGCAACAATACGAACGCGAAAGAAGGATTACTATAGATTATGCGCTTTTGCCGGAAAATTTGAAAGATATTGAAGAAGAAGATATCAAAAAGACAACTGATAAGTTAACAAAAATAATCAACGATTTGCAAAATACAATACAGCGCATACAAGCTCCAAATATGAAGGTTTCTAAAAATTATATATTAAACACATAACATTAACACACACAAAAATATATAAAAAATTTTAAATTATAAATATATATTTTTTCATAGGCAATCCAAAAATTGTATTTGGCAAAAGAGAAGCTACAAGAAACTAATGAAGAGTTTGAGCAATCTCGCAAAAAGGCAAAGAAAGCAAAGACACAATTTGAGAAGATAAAAAAAGAACGACATGATAGATTCATGGCATGTTTCGAACATGTAGCGAACGAGATTGATCCTATTTATAAAGTATATGGATTAAATTTTTATTTATAAATTGAAATTGTATAAAAATATTTATGTGCATTTTCAACATTTATAATGTGCTTGTTCCAGAGCCTAGCAAAGAATCAGTCTGCACAAGCATTCCTTGGACCAGAAAATCCTGAAGAACCTTACTTGGATGGTATTAATTATAATTGCGTGGCTCCAGGCAAACGTTTTCAACCTATGTCTAATTTATCTGGTGGAGAAAAAACAGTTGCGGCATTAGCTTTGTTATTTGCAATTCACAGGTACTATATATTGAATATGACAAAAAGCAAATTACAACATTTCAACAGACAATTAATATTTATCCATGTGTTTGTCCATATTTAGCTTCCAGCCTGCGCCATTTTTCGTTCTGGACGAAATCGATGCAGCCCTTGATAATACTAATATAGGAAAAGTGGCGAGTTACATTCGTGATAAAACGACTTCACTACAGACGATCGTTATATCATTGAAAGAAGAATTTTATTCACATGCAGATGCACTTATTGGAATTTGTCCAGACGTAAGTAAATTATTCAATCACGTGAATCACATTACATATATTTTCGTCGTACAGTTGATAATAAGATTCTTATTTGTATTTCAGGTGGGCGAATGTTTGGAAAGCAAAGTGTTAACGCTCGATTTAACTACATATCCTACACACATTAATTAACTGTTAAAAAATTATTTAAGGAAGATTGTTGTCTTTTTCATATATCTTTGCAATGGATGATTTCTAATTTTTTGAAATCATGAATCAGAAAATGAATATTAGTACGAAATACTATAATTATTATTTAAATCTAGATTTATGTTATTTTTTATTCATCCTTGATATTTAAAGATCATTAGAAGATCTTAGAGATCATGCTTTTAATAGATTAAATAGTATACATCTTTTTTCAACATACATAAATCAGGTTAAGAGTGAGAGTAATTACAAGTGTGAAAATTTTAAGTTATGTTATGATTAATGTAAATAACTTATATAAAATTTGACTTTAATAAAATCTTGTGAATACAATTTTAGACAAGATTTATTACAATTAGACACTCATTTTTGAATGCACAATTATGATATATGTTTTGTAATAAGAAAGTGATTTTGAAAGTAATTGTAAATTTATATAGTTTTAATTCGTAAATATATAGTTATAATTCATTCATTTATAATTCATCATGTAAATTATTAATCTTTTTATTATATCATTATTTTCGTTGTGTTTTGACTGTGTTGAATAATGGCGCGATAGTTTGAATGTAATGTACTTTTGTCTGCTAAATGTTGATAACCAATCAGAGCAATAAGCACAGTATACTTCTAACCGCCTTTTGTTTTCACATAATGTGGTTATACTGTGCTTTCCGAGATCGCTAAAATGTCGATTTCTTTGAAAGTTATTACGCCTTTTAAGTCATTTTTAGAAGCAAAATAGCATTTGATATCGTGCAATTTTTTACAACTAATATTCGTAATGGATTTGGTAAGATTTTTCACGATATTTTTTACTTTCAATTTGATTGTGAAGAATATATTATTTATCATCCTGATGTTGTTCTTTTATTTTTGTCATTTCTTCGAAATAAAACTAATACACAATCTAAATTCAATTAAAATATTTAAAATAAATTTATACTCTAATAAATTTGTAATTTTTTCTTCGTTTATTATATGTATATATATATATATGTTTCTTATATATATTATATATATTTTTATTTTATTTCTGTTATTTGTATATTTTAATTAATATGTGGAAGTACTTCATGTATCTATTTTAGGAAAATCAAATATCGTAGATGTTATAAGTTTTACATTAGGAAGAAAATCAAATACTTTATTGTGTTTCAACAAATATCTTCCTTCCTAAAAATGCAAAACCTCAATAGACTTATATACATGAAACTTTTATTGGAAAGCCAGCACTAAAGAAGTATTACAGATTTCTTTATATCTGAATTTATAAATAATTCTTTTTTTATGTTTAATGCTTTAAAATCATGCTGTAATGCTTACATAACATCAATTTATATTGGATTTATATTACAACAAAGAAAAAAGTTTTACAAGAATGATACAAGAGAGAGATCGTCAATATGATATAGATGGCAAAGTAAAATTCAATATTCGCAATTTTTTAAAGTTGTTATATCAGATAGATTGTAAACTATGTAGATTGGAACTTTTATGTGACTGACTGAAAGAATTTGGTTTAAACATAAAAAAAAATGTATGCAAGGCTATATTCAATATTTTACAACAATGCCAAAAGAATTGATCATTGTTTGAAAAAATTAGTAGATTCAATGTTTACAATATACAAATTCTGTTATATAAGATTTTATAAGATTCCTGTTTTAATGTTATGACAGATTATAATTGGAACTCTCGACAGTAAAAGAAAGTAATTGTATAAACTTTTTTTATTTACAGTTATAAACCAACACAATTTTTGATTATGGATGAAGGTGACGTGATATTAGATATTACAAATACTAGGAAGGTTGTTTGGTTCATTCAATCTGAAATGAATAATGCACAATTTATCATGGTAATTTTAAAAGATCAACTATCTTTTTCTGCAGACAGCACTAGGAGTTACCATTCAAGTAAGAGAGAGTTGACAATGTTATACATCATATATGTATATATATCTATACGTTATTTTAATCTTCTAATTATCTATTTTATTGTTTATTATTATTAAAATTATATATACTAGTATGTACTAATGATAATTTTTTAATTACTTTTGATCAATTTTAGTTTAGTTAAAGAGATGAAATGTATGTATGTATTTATATATGTCTTGATATCTTGATCACTCTTCAATTATTTATAAAATTTATTAAAATTATTAAACTAATTTAATATAATTAGTATATACACTAGTAATGCCTTTGAATTGTAAACATTTATTTAGTTTTATTGTGTTTATAAAAACACTGACCATTTCAAGTGTTTAACATTTAATTTACAATTCTTTTAAAGTATAGATATCCCTTTTAAAAATTTTCGAACTTTGCATTCTTAAATACAATAGTACATTCGGCTTTTTTGTTCTATTCTTTTTGGTATATGCATCTGTATACTTTATGTAGATATAGATGTTTTATTATCGTGTAAACTCTTGAAATACATTCAACTAATTGTTTTTTGGTAGTTTCTAAATTCTTTTTTAAATTGTATATCTTTATATAAGTACAAAATTCTCGTTTTTTCCTGCTCAATAGCTTTTTAAAAAAACAATGCACTATTTTATAATTAATTGTAAATAATATTTTTAATTCAAAATTTCAATTTTTTATTCATTGTTATTCACAAAATAACAACTTACAAAAAGCTGTACAAGTAGTAATAAATAAATAAGAAAATATAAGCAATCAATTATATTTTGAAAAGCAACGGAACACAGAAAGTATATATTGTATATATCATCCCAGCAAACACTAAGTAACAATTATATAACTGTTAATTATAATTTTCCACTCAACACCTGTGTTATATTGCATTTACATTGTTAAATGGGAAATTATAACTAACAGTTATATAATAGTTACTTGGTGTTTGCTGGTATAAATTTTATGTAAATATACCAAAATTTTATATCATGAGTTTGTTTTTTTATCACACATTACACGAAGAAATTTTTATTTTTTACACAGCATATACATATCCAAAAGATGTTCAAAAGATATCCCAAAGATATCTTATCACCTATAAAGATATCTTCGACATATCTTCTGAATGTCTTTTGGATATGCATGCTGTGTGGGTTCGTACGTTCAGAAGAATATCCTATTCTCTACATATCAACTATATTAGTTTTTGCATTATTTAACATTATTTATAATGCAGGCAATATTTTGTGATGGAAATGGACGGTTCGAAATGCAGAAGATAAACTTGAATCCGCAAGACAAAGAGAGCTTAATCAAAGCGGATCGATCATGATGAGCAGCAAATAGAGCAATTGAAATCATCTCGAAATGTTAAGATGGCGGTTGGTCAGAAAGAAGGTGAAATCGGTAAAGCCAGACGTGAAGTAGGAGCAATCGCGAAGGATATTCAGACAGTTCAGAAACAGATTAAAACGAAAATTGAAAAAAAAAATTGAACGGCATAGTATTCTGATGCAATGCAAGGTGTGTTGTATGTTCTCTATAGAAGATGATTATTTTACTGTGTATATATTATATATTATACTATATATATATTATTTTAAATTATTAAATGTGTGTATTTAATAATATATTCAAATGAAATACGCAGGATTAGCTTTATTGTTATTTGCAATTCATAGGTAATATATATTGAATGTACAAAAACAAATTATAATTTTAATAGATGATTAATATTTATCCATATGTTGTGTCCATATTTAGCTTTCCATCTGCCTCCATTTTTCGTCATGGAAATCAGTGCAGTCCTTGATAATACTAAAAGCGAGTTATACAGTTGTGAGAAAACGACTTTACTGCAGACGATTGTTATATAATTGAAAGAAAAATTTTATTTGCACGTAGATGCACCTATTGGAATTTGTCCAGATGTAAGTAAATGATTTGATCACATGAATACTACATATATTTTTGTCTATAATTGATGATTATAAGGTTCTTATTTGCCTCAAACAAGCGAATGTTTGGAAAACAAAGTGTTAATACTCGGTTTACATATTCTGTGCACATTTAACTTGTAAACAGTTATTTAAGAAAGATTGTTTTTTGTCTTTTTATTTCTTATATTTTTGTAATAATTGATCTTGATGGAAAAATGAATATTGATGCAAAATGCTATAATTATTATTTAATCTCTAAATTTATTTTAATACATTCTTGATATTATTTTTAAGATTACTTCAAAATATTAGTTAAGTCATATTTTTAATAGATTTAGGCCTGATTGCACAAACTTAAATCTGTATCTATCTTTATTTTTTTCTGCAAATAAAGATAAATACATTTAAGTTTTGCTTAAAACTAAAATGACATTTGTGCAATCAGGCCTAAAAGTATACATTTTTTTACAATGTAAATTGGGTTAAGAGTGCAAATGTGAGAATTATATAAGTTACGTAGCATTCCAATAACAGCTCCATGTATAAGTTCATTGAGGTGCTTAACATGTAAAGCAGGTGATTTTGCTTCTAATGTAAAATTTATAGCATCTACAATATTTGATTTTCCTAAAATAGATGTATGAAATATTTATAAATATAATAAAAGTAAAATAAAGATGAGTAAACAAAAAGGAATAAGGAAAATTAATAAAAAGGAATAAGGAGAATTATATAAATAAATTATATATTAAAATTGAAATAAATAACTTGTAAAACTTTAATAAAATTTTGTGAATAAAATTTTAAGCATATAAATAAGATTTATTCCAATTAGACACGCATTCTTAAATGCATATCAAAGTAATATAGGTAATTAGTATAATTGTAATGCGTTTATTCATAATAAGTGAGATAAAAATTATTCTTTATATCATTTCTTAAGTAATTTGTATGAAATATCGATTCTGTTTTAGATTGATTAATGTTTTACGTTTAAATAATTGTGCAATAATGCACTTTAATAATTTGAATGACAAGCGTGAGTGCGGTAGCCAATCAACGTACCGCTTTTTAATAAGAGGTGTAAGTTTATTGGCTATCGCGTCGCCCCGTCCTGTGTGTTGGCGCCATTTGTCGTTCACAGTCAGCAGTCGTTTGACTTAACCAATCGGAGCAAGAAGTACAGTGATGCTTTGTTCAGTTTGAGAACCAATCGGAGCAATTCATTTCTCTTATCTAACAAGATTTTCAAATTTTAACCGAAAATTTATAGTCGTTCACTCGGTCAGAGCTTTGATCAACAGTGCTTTTCAAGCTCGCAACAAAATGCCGTTTTTTTTGCAAAAAATAACGCTGTATAGCTTTAAGTCATTTGAAGGCGAAGTAATAATTAATAAGATTGAACCTTTTACGATTATTATTGGCCCGAATGGATCCGGTAAGATTTTTAACGATATTCTCTACAACTTTCAATTTGATCGTGAAGATCTTTTTACATCTTTTCTCTCATTTTTCCGATTTTCGCAAAATAAATAAAATTAAATATAGTCTAAAGTGTATGAAAATCTTTGAAATGAATTTAATTTCTAATTTTAATAGATTTAATTTATATAATTTTTTCTTGTTTTTATTATATATATTAATTTTTCTTATTCCTTTTTGTTTAGTCTTTATTTTACTTTTATTATATTTATAAATATTTTATACATCTATTTTAGGAAAATCAAATATTGTAGATGCTATAAATTTTGCATTAGGAGCAAAATCATCTGCTTTACGTGTTAAGCACCTCAATGAACTTATACATGGAGCTGTCATTGGAATGCCACGTACAGAGATGTATTACAGATATACTTTTTATATACAGATATATTATTTTAACTAATTTTTTTATCATGTTTCATGTTTTAAATTTCTGCTGCTACAGTGCTTATGTAATATTACTTTTCATCGGAGATCATAACAAGGAGAAAAGTTTTAAAAGGGAAATAGGAGAGAGAGGCAGCAGTCGGTATGCAATAGATGGCAAGGTAGAATTTTAGATTTGCAATTTTTTTAAATTGTTCTTAATACAAATTAATATGATCCTTATCACACAGATTGTAGACTATAATTATTACATGAGTGAATTGAATGTACTTAATTTAAACATTAAAGCAAACAATTTTTTGATGCCGCAAGGGTATATTCATAATTTTGCAAATATTTTGCCAAGAGAATTGACTGCATTGTTAGAAAAATTTAGTGGTTCCAACATCTACAAAGCTGATTATGAGAGGTATATTTTTTATTTTTAATAAATTATACAAATTCTGTTATAAGATTTTATAAATTTATTAAATTTTACTTTTATGTTATTTTGGACTGGTATTATGTATAGATTACAATTAGAGCTCTCAAAAGTAACAAAAGAGATACAGTTTATGTATCAAAAAAAGAAATACTTATTAAGTCAAAAAAAATCTGCTGTGGCAGAACAGAAAGAAGAAGAAAAATATTTACAATTGCAAAAACAATACGTATGTCTCACATCTATTTTCAATTTATATATTGATATTTTCAGAAGTTATTATGATTATCTTTTCTCATTTGATTCTAAAATAATTTACTTTACAGATGAAAGAAAAATCGAAGTCTGAAATAATTAAGTTAATTTTCATTACAAAAATTATTGCATCTTAAAAAAAGAAAAGGAATGTGTTAAATTAGAAATGGATAAACACTTGCAGAGTAAGGAAACTTCAGTGTCATCATTAAAACGAATTGAATTACAAGTTAATTCATTATCTGATTCTTTGAAAAAATTGGAAGAGGATATTTTGCAACTCGAAAAGAATTTTCAAGAAAAGACTTTTCAAAATGTTATTTTAAAAGATAATATTTTATATTTTCAAGAAAAACGTACTTCTGCTTACACATCATTGGAAAGTGTAAATAATATGAATAACGCACGTGAAAAAACTATACAAGAACTTAGAGATGAATTAGAATCTCTAAATAAGAAGTTAACAGAGTTTGAAATAATTCTGGAAAGCATTGCATTAGACCACGAGCAGGTACTATATATTATTACAATACATAAAATATTTTAGAAGTTCATAAAATATTATTTTTTTATATTTTTTTTTTACTTTCTCTGAACTTTTCACTTTGAATATATAAAAACAATTTATTTAAGGTCAATCGTTACATGATTTTGACGACGAAAGTGGAGTGTCTATTAAAAGAGTCTTTAGATCATATAAATAATAAGATGCATGACAGGCAGACGGATCAATATAAACTTGATAATGAGAACAGGCGTAGAGAAGAGATTATAATTGAACAAAAAAGAGAGAAATTAGAAAAAGAAAATTTTCAAATACGATTTGGAAAATTACAAACTTTAAGTGATCTTTTTAAATCAAGTTTAGAAAAAAAAATAGCAGAAAAGCAAATATTGCAAAAGAGAATCTCTGACATAGAGGCAAAAAATACTAATATTATAAAGATTTCAAATAAACTGGCTCTGATTGAGATAGACAATGATATTATTTTACAATTAGAGAAGAAAGTTGCAGTAATCAAAAATTTAAAAGAAGTTTTTCCAGGCGTGGTATTATTCTTATCAGAGAGAATTTAAATAATATTAGAACAATATTAATTATTTAAAAGAGAAAAGAATTTATATATATATGTATGTATGTATGTATGTATATATTTTACTTTTCAGTACGATCGCTTATCGAATCTTTTCAAGCCTATTCATTCTCGTTATAATGTCGCTGTAACCAAAGCATTCGGCATATATATGGATTCTATTGTCGTTGATACTCAAGATACGGCAAGAAAATGTATTTATTTTTTAAAGCAATACAAACTTGGGAGGGAAAAATTTTTACCACTGGATACGATAAAGTCGAAATTTCCAAATGAAAAATTACGGTAAGTTTATAAGAGAGATAAAAAATGCATCTATTTATATTATTATCCTGTAATGTTAAAATATAAAATTATTTTACAGTACTGAACTGGAAGATACAAACATTAAATTATTGTTCGATGTATTAAAAATATCATCTACGCAGATAAATAAGGCAGTTTTACATGTTATTGCAGACATTTTAGTTTGCGAGACTGCTACAGAAGCAAGCAAAAAAGCATTTGAAAGTGATGTAATAAGAATTATGCTTGAAATATTTTGTATTGCACTATTGCATATATATATATCACACACTATTATGTTTCAGTGTGTTTCATTAGATGGATGTTTTTTTCATAAAAGTGGTATTATATCTGGAGGATTGACTGATCTTGCTAAAAAAGCAAAACTTTCAACTATATCTGTACTGAAAGAACAAAAGGTTGCAGATTTTTTATAAGATTTATTGATGGATTTGTTTATGTGTATTAAATGTGTATGATTTTAGGAACAATTAAAGCAAGAATTAAAAGATTTGCCTAATATAACTCGTATGCAATTTGATCTTGATACAATTAATAAGGACATAAATCAACTTATTGCTAGAAATGAAGTCATTGAGGAAGATATAAAAGAAACTGTAAGTGATTTGTGCGTTTGTGTGTATGCATGCCTGTGTATGTATAGTTAAAATACAAAGAAGTAATTTATATCATATTTTTAATGAACATCTCTTATTCATTATAATATACACAGTTTATATTTTTATAGAAAGAAAAAATTTTGACACAAGATATAAAATTAAACGATCTTGATAAGAAGTTAAGTTCACAAGATGTATGTACTAATATATATAATATATTTTTTTTATAAGCTAACAGAGATATAACAGAAAAAGATGTTTTTATTAATCACATGCAATTTTTAGATAATAATATCAGGAATTCGAAATAATATACAGGAAAAAAATAAAGAAATTAAAATTAGAGAGAGAGATAATAATAAAATTAAAAGCAAAATGTTTGATGATTTTTGTAAAGAGAATAATTTACCGGATATTACATATTATGAGAATAATTTATGGTTTGTTTAAGCTTTACATTTTATATGTGTATACAAAAATTTACAACATACAACATTTGCAATATTAAATTTTTAGCTTATATAAAAAGCAAGAGAATAAAAAATTGGAACTTTTAAATTTAAAGGCTAACATTGAAAATCAATTGAAATTCGAAGACGAATTTAATAGAGACTCTGAATTTAAAGGTAAATTTGTAAATCACATTTGTTAATATATCATTTTTAATATATTGTTTTTAATATGTATATAATTAATGTTTTTATATATTTTTTATATATTAATTTATATATTGTATATATTAATTTTATATATTAAATTTTGCATGAATAGATAAAGTTTTGAAGTACACGTGCGTTCTAAAGCAAGCTGAAAAAGAATATAATAAGGCGTGCGAACAAGAACGAGATATGAAAATTGCTCTCGATCAAGAAGAAATAAAAATTTCGCACCTAAAAGTAAAGCACACTGAATTAAAAAAGGCTTTACAAAAGGCCAAAGATGAATGTATTCAATATAAAGCACAAATTAATATAATAACTGAAACATATTTAGAAAAGAAAAAAATTTACTTGAAGATAGAGCAAAGCATAGCCAACAAAAAAAATGATTGTTTAACAATAATAAAGGAGTGCAAGGTTTGCGATTTAAAAGAGATATCCACTTTAAAAGATTTTTATATGTTAAATGTCGATTATTTTCAATAATACAATTATTTTCACAGGTGGAAAATATTAATATTCCTATATTGTCGGACTCGCAAGATGATTTGAGCACGCCTAGTTCTTATTTAAGCACAGAGTCAACTTTGCACGAAAAACAAATAAATATTGATTTTTCAAAAATTTCGAAAGATTTTCGAAATTATAATCAGATTGATTTAGATCATTTAGAAAAAATTATTCAAAACTGTGAAAGAAATGTTACAGAACTGCAGAAAAAATTGCAGACTTTGAAAAAACCGAATTTAAAGGTATAAAAATAGCTTTGCACAATATATATTTGTATTAGATATTGTAAGAATCAGTTATATATATTATATATATATATATATATATATATATATATATATATATATATAACTTATATATGTATATATATATATATGTGTGTGTGTGTGTGTGTGTGTGTGTGTGTGTGTGTGTGTGTGTGTGTGTGTGTAACTTATATGTGTATATATATATGTATATACATATATATAAATTTGATAATGACAATTACAGGCTCACGAGAAAGTTGACTTAATAGTACAGCAGTTGAAAGATATAGCAGAGAAAAATAAAAATTTAAGCACAGCATTTAAAAATATAGAGACACAATTTAAACTGATTAAAGGAAAAAGACATGAACAGTTTTCTGGTTGTTTAGAATGCATTAATGCAGAAATAGATTCTATATACAAAGTTAGTATTTATATATAATTCACGCTTATGATTTCATTTTTTGAAATATCTTTATATATACATCACAAAATATATAATTTATTTCCTATGCAGAATTTGGTTAATGATCCGTCGGCTCAAGCATTAGTTATAACGGAAAATCCTGAAGAACCATACATGGGTGGTATAATTTACAGTTGCTTACCTCCATCGAAACGATTTGCACAAATACAATATTTATCAGATGGAGAGAAATCGCTTGCGACCTTGGCACTATTGTTCGCAATGTTGCGGTATATCATTCTTATTAACTGTTTATTAACATAATTTTATGTATACGCTTTCCACCATGCAGATAACATCCGAAAGTCAAGAACTATTGCGAAGAAAATAATTATATAAATACTTTTTTCATTTACAGTTACAAATCACCACCATTTTTCATTATGGATGAAGGTGACGCAGCGTTAGACCGCGTAAATGTTGAGAAACTTGTTTGTTTCGTTGGAACTGAAAAGAATAAGATACCATTCATCATGGTAACTTTAAATGATAACATTTCTTCTTCGGCTGACGTAGCTATAGGAGTTACAACAAATGTAAGTTGATGACGTTATTATATAGGTACATATGTATATGTTAGTTTAACTTTTTAAAATTGCGTCTGTTTTATTGTTAATTTTAGCCTAATACGGAATGTTCCCAGAGCAGGGTATTTGCTGTGCCGTTACAATAAATACAAGAAAATTTTTATCATAAATATATATCGGAGACCTAATATATAATTATTATATATTTATATATATTAGAATTGCGATATACATATATTTATGATGAAAATTTATATTAAATTCTTAAAAAGAAAATTTATATATATATATATATATAGATATATAATTATTAGTATTATTCAAGTTCTTATATATATATTAGTATATACTAAGGATATGTTTTTAATTATTTATCTTTTTATAACTAATTTATTATTTTTATTTTAGCGCTAAAATATTTGTATATTTTATATTTGAAATCCAGAAAAAAGTTTTCTATTAAAATTAATGAGTTTACACAGAACGAATCTGTAATTAATTGACTCAATTGTATTATATTTTCTTTGATAGCGAAAAATCTAAATTTTTCTTCTGTGAATAGTTTGATTTAAAAGGCGATTAAAATAAATAATAAATAATTATTATATACTAATAATTATATATAATTATAAACTTAATATACGAATATTTTATCGCTCAAAATATATGTAATTACATACATACATATATGGTATGTGTAAGATTTTCAATTGGATGTCAGCAAATTGCAATTCTATGTCAAAAGTGTGCTGATTGCATTGTCCTGGTTGCTTGCATTAAACATAGTAACAATTCTGATTTATAGCTGCTAGTAATGAAGACAGCACGGGTCAATGCAGTCTATTGCGGTTAACGCTTTGTAAAGTAAGACACGCTCGTAGAATGCGGCCAAAATGATGATTGTCGTCTAATAAACTTATTAAGGAAACGGCCGCGTCTCGGTATCGAGTACTTCTGTCGCTAACTGATTAAAAGAAAACAGAACGCTTGTCACAAAGTAGGACGTTACAACTTCTATCTTAATGGAGCGTACGCACATTTGACATAAGAATTCATACAAGACAACCAAAGCAAAAGACTGAAAATAATTTTGTGTTAAAAATTTCATAAGTTTTAATATCTGTTGATTTAATCAAAAATTATTTGTTAGTATTTTAATTTTCATAGATTTTAATTTTGATAGAAAAAGACTTTATTTCTAGATAATTTTTTTACAAAACATTTTGTTTCACACAATTGTATTTATGTAACATTTAGCAATTCATTAGCACTTATAAAGATTGCAGTAATATAAACAATATAAAAAATTTATTTTTGCAAAATTACATATTTTTAAGAATAAGAATTGCTTCGAAAAAGTGTTAGTACATTATTGAACAATGTAATTAAAACAAAAATATATATACTTGTATATATAAGGAATATCTATATTTTATTTCATATATATATATATATATATTTTTTTTTATATATACAAACATATATATATATATATATATATGTTTGTATATATAAGAAGAGTTTTATCTCTTAAATTTGCACTATTATATTTTCGATTAAACGCGAATAAATTATTATCTTGTTTTTCCTTTTTATATATGTATATAATAAAACAAAAAATATCCATTGATAACAAATTAAAATGAATCACACAATTAGAAATTAGCATTCGCAGAGTCCAATTTATTGTGTAAAAACAAAGTGAATAAGTTTTGTATTATTTTCTGCATCAGAATATAGAACAAATTTATGTTGCGTGATTGAGTATCAAGACGCTTCGAGTTGACACTACGCAGAAAATTTATGTTTAATTAAAAAAAAATGAGTATAAATGTGACGACATCGTGATGCATGTCGCATGCAACCCTTAAGGTGATGACCTTCATGTTACACGTCGCATCGTCTTTAACGATACGCGGAATAATAGTTGTATGTTGACGATACTGTATTAATACATGATTTTTCATGTATTAATACAGTAAGTCTGTCGCTGATTATAAGAAAACGGAACACTTGTTGCAAAATAGGACGTTGTAACTCATATTTTAATGAAACACATTTAACACAAGGATTCGTAAGAAACAGTCAAAGCAAAAGGTAGCTTGTAAAAAATTATTTTGTGTAAAAAATTTCACAAGACTTTCATGTATTAATACACGTAACATAAATTTGTACCCATGCTAATACGGAGTATAATACAAAACTTATATTCGCTTTGTTTTTGCACAATAAATTTGATCTACGAGTGTTAATTTTTAATTGTGTCATTTATTTTGATTTGGAATAAATATATAAGTAAAACAAAAATTATATACTTGTTCGTATAAGATTTTTATCTCTTAAAACTATACCGTGTATTTTCTATTGGACACTAATGGATTTACCTTGTTTTTCTTCTTTACCTTATATAAAACAAAAAAATATTTAGCGTGAATAAACGAAGAAGGAAACGAACAAGTGTATAGATACAGGAAAAGGGAATGAGGGGGATGATTGCGGAATAAAGCGACGGCGCCTGCTAAAATAGAGGATGATGACCTCCCTTACATCATGCAGTGCATCTGCTAAATAGATGATACGTCGGTTGCCACGAGTCTAGTTGTCCTCAGCCTCCCGATAGAGACGAATCGGGAGATTAGGATTTGTATTTTCCTTGTTCTTCAGTAGAGTCTACTATTCCACCCCTGTCGGATAGAGAGACGTTTCTCGATGAGGCGGCAGACCCTACAGCTGGTCACGGGGCTTTTCCTGATCCACCTGCTGCTGCTGAATCAAGCAAATGCTGTGAAAAATCGGCCGAGAAAACAACGGTCCAGGTCAGAGAGACCGCAGGCGCAGCAGCCTGACGATTATAATTACGATTATTATGAGAATTACGACGACTACGAAGAAAAAAATGGTGAGTGTGAAAAATTAAACAAACGTGATGATCGAAAAGGAAAGAATTGAAATTTATCGTATTTTTTAAAATTAATTCCTATATTTATTGAGGCAAAAACATACATATATATGTAGTATGATAATACATACTTAAATAATATTTTTATTTGTGATGATTCTTATTTCTACAAGGAATATAACGATTGATAGTAACAAGCCATTAAATTATATAATATCTACATAATAACGAATATTTTATTTCAATTTTATAATTAATGTTAGATGCAATAATTTTGAGAAATAATTTATATAAAAAAATTTATTAAGATTTATTAAACTGAAAAATATTAGAAAAATTTTTTCCATGTAGTTCAGATTATATTATTTGGACAATATGAATTTTATATCAATTTATATCATTTCATATCAATCAACTTAAACAATGTGACGTTATAATTTACAATGCAATGACTCACATTATAAGATATAAAAACGATGACCGATGTAAGAAATAAACAATTTTCTGACAATTATGTGTCTATATTTCAGTATTTTCTATTCTGTCGAGCCTCTTATTTGAAGAAAGAATATTATGAGACTACAAAATCTAATCTTTGTAGATCTGCAAAACACTTAACACATGAATATTGTACACTTTTCTTAAACTTCCTCGTTAATCGACGACAAATACATAAAAAATAATTATTTTACTTAAATTTTATCATGTAATAGCAATATATAATTTTATCTTATTTCTATATAATAATAAATTATAAATATAATTTTTTAGTTATAAAAAAGAATTCTTAACATATGTGGTAAAATGGTAACTAGGTCATTTGTGACAGTTGTCTCAAAACGGCGGAAGTCTTGTGTCAGAGATCAATCTCGTTAAGTTGCACAAAATAATTAATTGCTCGTGTTTTAATCGGGGCAATGCGTTTAATATCATTCGTTTCAATTTATTAATTACGAATGCGCTTCAATATAATTTACAGCTAAAGTATATCATCCGGCACAGCTTCCTTGCGAATAATAAAGGTGCTAAAATTTTATACTAGTGAATGACATATTGTTGCAATAATGAGTTATTATTAATATCAACAATTTATTTTTTTCGTTTTTGTATTAATAATAAGAATTTGATTTTATTAGAGACGACCACGACAACATTGCCACTTCCTGTGGTACCATCATCAAGCACACGAATTTCAGGTGAACATGTGATTTGTGCTTATGTATCATTTTAATTTAAAAAAAATTATTATAAAAATTAAAGAATTAATGATTGCATAATTATTGAATATAGGATATCATGAATCATCGATAGAAAGTACGGCAACTTCGTATAAACCGGAAAGACCTACGGATTTACCAGCTCCAACGACAACTCTATTTTACGGTCGTGGTAAGTGACAAATTAAGTATTTTTTTATTTTTATATTTAGAAAAAGATAAATAATTGCACAATATAATGTAATTGATAAATAATTAATGTTAAAAGTAATTATTCTTGGTTTTTAAAAGATAAACGTCTGTATTAAATTAAAAATCTATTTCTTGTTAATCTATATCGTATAACATTATTTTATATTTATATATTTATGTATTACCATGTTTTCAGATATTATAAAGTTATATATCTCTTGAATTAGTTACTTAATAATTTTCTTTGCGCAAATAGATGAACATTAGTGAACAAACAACGCTCTGAATAAAAACAGAAAATAAAAAAGAGAAACAAGTAAATAATTAAATTAAAATTTTTTTATTCGTTACATTTTTCGTATATTTTTTAAGATTTGTTTGATTATTTGCACATTCTAGATTTAGAGCAGACTAATGCAACATCCGAAGATCATTCAGTAAGTAATTTATAGTTGAAAAATTAAGTTGAATTTTGTAAAAAATAGTTTTTTCTTGTGTTTAGGTTTCGTCCACAGAAATTTTACCAGGTGAAAGTAATATATACAATTCTGTCGCTGGTCCACGAGTAAGTAATCGCAAAATTATTCAAATTAAATAAACTGTTCTTCAGAAAATATTGACAAAAATTAAACATTAACAAAAAAGGGTGAACCTGGTAGACCTGGAGATATTGGTCGACCAGGTGATGCAGGATATCCTGGACAACCCGGAAATCCCGGAATTCCAGGACCACCTGGACCTCCAGGACCTGTGCCTGATGTAAGAAAATTGTTCTATAATTTAAAATTGTTCCTATTTCCTTTTTATATCATGTAAGAGAATTATTGTGAATAATTATTTTTGATCGATATATTTATTATGTATGTCTCTTATTATAATAAATATATATTTATTATAATAAGTATATTAAAATAATATTATATAATAGCATATATAAGTATATTGTAATAAATATAATTTATATATAATATCGATGATATAACAGGTATCTTTATATTATCAACAACTGGCTTTGTCTCAAGCAAATCAAGATAAAGGCCCAACAGGTGCAGCTGCACCATTATATGGACCAGAAGCATATTCTTATATTCAAGCACAAGTAGGTCCAATAGGTCCGCGAGGTCCTCCAGGTAAATTAATAATTTTAATCTTTTTATTTAAATAATAAACAAATGTTAATATTTAAATAATATTTATTTTAATAATTCTATCTTATATATCCATAAAAATATATTTTTACTTCAAATCTAATATTTAATTTGAAATCTAATATTTATATAAAAATTATATTTTCTTTATATGTTTATTTATAGGTCCAACTGGTGCTCCAGGTCCTCAAGGTTTTCAAGGTACACGTGGTGAACCTGGTGAACCGGGATCTCCAGGTTCTCCAGGTTCGCCAGGACCTCGAGGCTTACCGGGATTACCTGGAAAAGACGTAAGAGAGTATATATAATAACAATTCTTTATTAATACGAAAAAATATTAAAAGTTCTGTAACATCTTTTAACGACAGGGTATCAGTGGAGAAGATGGCGAGACCGGTCCGCCAGGATCAGCTGGTCCCGTGGGATCACGTGGACTTCCAGGAATGCCTGGACTTCCGGGAATAAAAGGTCATCGTGGTTTCCCGGGTCTGGACGGAGCAAAAGGTGAGCAAGGAGTTTCTGGTGAAAAAGGATCTATGGGCGCATCAGGACCAATGGGGCTGATAGGTCCAATGGTATGTAAATAATAATGTTCCAAATATGAATTTCTGAATGTACAAGGAAGAGAAAAATAGAAAAACATAGAAAAACATTTTTTTATTAATAATAAGTTTTTTAATGTTTAAGTAAATATTTAATGCTGAAGAGAGAGAGAGAGGGAGAGGAGGGAGGGAAAGAAAAAAGAGGGCCGAGGGAGGAAGAGAGGAGATAGAGAGAATACATTGTTTTTTGCATAAATGTTATTGTTGGTTATTAACGCAGGGTCCAGCGGGGCCACGTGGTGAGAGAGGTAGAGAGGGTTCATCAGGCCCTCCTGGATTAAGAGGCCCTGATGGAATTATTGGACCACCCGGGCAACCTGTAAGTTAATTATTCAATTCATATACGAATTCGAAGTTTACATCTTGAAGAGACTTATTATAAAATACACCTAAAGCTCTTTGCAAAATTATAATACTTTTTTATTTATGTTGTTATTCTGAATAAAGTATACAGTATATTTGCACAATTTACTATTTAAGTTATAACATTGTCATTTACATATAGGGTGCTGTAGGAAAACCAGGTGCACCAGGTTTTCCAGGCAATCCTGGGTCTAAGGGTGATCAAGGATCACAAGGACCGAAAGGAAGTCAGGGTTTACAAGGCCCGCGAGGTGAGATACATTGATTGTTATCTAAATGAAGACAAAAGTTGCATCTTTTCTTATAAATGTGTTTATATATTTTGAAGGAAAGTAATATTTATTTTTTGATCTCTTAATTAATATTTTTTACAAAGGTGAAAGTGGCCGTCCAGGACAACCTGGAGAGACAGGTCCGCAAGGTATTCAAGGCAAAGATGGAAGTCCCGGCGAGAAAGGAGCTACTGGTGCAATAGGACCAGTTGGTTTACCTGGATTTCCCGGTGCTCGAGGTCAACCTGGAGCAGCGGGTAATCCTGGTATTTCTGGAGCCAAAGGAGCACCTGTATGCATTATTATCGTACAGTTTATAAACTATATGAATTACGTCTTAAACTTTGTATAAAATTTTGACGATATTTTTACAGGGCCTTCCTGGTGAAAGAGGGTTTAAAGGCGACTCCGGCGTGAAAGGTGACCCTGGAATATCCGGTCCACGTGGAGTTCCCGGACCTCCTGGGAATGAAGGCAAGAGGGGCAAAAGAGGTGTGCGTGGACCGATCGGTGTCGCGGGATCTCCTGGAGAACGCGGTACACCTGGAATGCGTGGTCTTCCTGGGCCAGATGGTCCGGCTGGACCTCAAGGTATTTTATATATTGTATTCATTAGATCATATCATTAAATATAATAATTAATATATTAAAATATATATGTATACATAAACGTTATCATTATAAAGATTTTCAAATAATGATATAAGCTGAGAATATATATTATAATTATATTTTGTTATATCACATTCCTTGGAAAAGTGTTAATTAAAAAAAAATATTAATTTCTTGAAAATAATAATATGAAAATAGAAGTTCGATTAGATTTATAAAATTATAAATAATATTTCAATTTATGATATCACAGTCCAAGTTTTATGAAATTTAGAAATTGAAATTTAGAAGTTTATTTTTAATGTAATTAAATCTTTTTATTTTATTACAATCTCAAAAATTCTATGTTGAATTGACTTCACATTCTTTTCTTTTTAAACACGCATACATATAAAAATGCAATATAAGAAATATATTAATAATCATGATTATAAATCATTGTCAGGACATCCCGGTGACCGTGGTCCAGCGGGAGCTGTTGGGTCGAAAGGAGCTACTGGGGATCCTGGACGACCTGGACCGCCAGGATTACAAGTTTATAGAAATATTTTAACATTACGATTTTTGCAGTGTGAAAAGTATTCAGTAATATATAAATGTTTAAATTTCAGGGTTTACGTGGTTTGATGGGTAAATCAGGAGCTCCTGGAAAACCAGGCAATCCTGGCGAACGTGGAATTCAAGGTGCAGATGGCAAGCCTGGAGAACAGGGTCCACCTGGACCTCAAGGTCTACCAGGACTATTAGGGACGCCAGGAGAGAGAGGATATCCCGTAATTGATATTATTGATTCTTTTCTTAAAAATTAACGTATGCGCGATACTTTCTACAGAAAATACATTTTCACAAAAAGATATTTTCTATATACACATATTTAACTTTACGCAATAGACTGGTATTGTGAGTATTAATATTAAAAATAGAATTAAAATGTATAAACGTTAATATCGTATTCTAATCTTTTATTGTATTTTTCCAAATTTTTTTGTTGCGTTAGGGAGAACCTGGAAAAGATGGTGAGCCTGGCAATCCGGGTTTGCCCGGTCCGAGAGGAGATACTGGTAAAGAAGGATCTCCGGGAGTACAGGGTCCACCAGGTTCACCGGGAAACGACGGTGCGCGAGGTCCTCCGGGATCAGTTGGACTTAGAGGTTTTCAAGTAGGCAGCATTGAAATATATTTACGATCTCGTGATGCAAATATGAGCTAAACGCCAGTTTTAACGTGTTAATAATACTTATGCACAGGGTCTTCCAGGCGCCACTGGTAATCCAGGTATTCCAGGCAAGGATGGAGAAGCGGGGTTACAAGGACCTCTCGGTCCGCCAGGACCAGTCGGCAGCAGAGGCGAGCGAGGAATTCCGGGAGAAAGAGGACTTACGGGATCTCCAGGACCTATAGGTCCGAGAGGAGAAACTGGAACGCAAGGCCCTGATGGTCTTACTGTAGGTTATTATCTCATTTATATGTTTCAATCAGAATTCGAATATTTCGTTATTTTTCTTTTTATGATTTCGAATGATTTAATATGATTTTTAAAAATAAGCTCTTTAATTTAATTGCAAAATTTTATATCTTTAAAATAAACTTAAATTTACAAATTTACATTATATACATCATCGACTTAATGCATTTTGTTTCTAAACGCTTTGTATGATAATGTATGGTTCGAAATAGATCTCATGTATATGTATATAAACACATTATAATATTTACTTATATATTTTTTCAGGGCTTACCAGGACCTAAGGGAGAAAAAGGCAATTCCGGTACACCGGGATTGTTAGGACTTCCTGGCGCGAGAGGATTACCTGGAGAACCTGGACAGACAGGAGAGAGAGGAGCAGTCGGACCAATTGGTCCTGAAGGTCCACCAGGTAACATCCTACGTTTTATTTTAATGTAAAATCTGTAATATTTATATTGCAGAGCCTTGTTAAACTCTTAACTGTAATATTTATATTAATTTGCAAACTATTAATGTCAATGTAATATTATAATTTAATTAATAACAATTTATTAACAAGATATGATACTTTTTACTTAAATTTGCAGGACATATTGGAGAACGTGGTTTACAGGGAGAAGTAGGACCTCATGGCCCTCCTGGAGAACCAGCGGAACGAGGTGATCCGGGAGCACCTGGTCTTCCAGGCGAACATGGAGCACCTGGTAATCCAGGGGACAGAGGTCTTCAAGGATTGCAAGGTTCGCCGGGTTTCCCAGGTCCACAAGGATTAATCGGACTTCCTGGTCTAAAGGGTGATCGTGGATATACAGGTTTAAAGGGAGAGCAAGGAAATCCTGGACTATCTGGTAATGAATAGTTTTAAATTATTTTATAATTAATAAATTGGCATAGTCGCTCGTAAAATTATTGTGTGCTTACAATAATAATATATATTAACATATTTATTATATATATTTATATATTAAATATTTTATAATATACAGATTAGAATTATTTTTGACATGTAAGTATATATATAAATTACATTCATTAATAGGCAGTCCTGGCGAAGCTGGACCACCTGGACCTATTGGATTTACCGGAGCTAAGGGAATTAGAGGTGACCCGGGTGCACGAGGTGAATCTGGCTTGATGGGACCACCTGGTATCGCGGGACAAGTTGGTCCAGCCGTAAGTCGTTAATCTTTACGAATTTTAAGCAAATACTACATAATAATTAATAAAAAATAACATATAATATATAATAGAATATTAAAGATTTATACGATTGGGTATGTGTATTATAGGGCCCACCGGGGAATACAGGATCACCTGGTCCTCCAGGATTGCCTGGTGCCAAAGGCAATGCTGGCGATTCAGGACGTCCTGGAAATCCAGGTCCGATTGGTAATTCTGGTCTACCAGGAATAGATGGAAATAAAGGTGAAAGTGGATCCCAAGGTCCTCAAGGGCCGACCGGTCCTCAAGGACCTCAAGGTTTACCCGGCGAAAGAGGTTTGCCAGGTTTACCCGGCTCTCCTGGTTCTGTAGGGAGTAGAGGATTACGCGGGGCACCTGTAAATAAAAATATATATTATACTTAAACAATACTTTATTTAATTCAATATATATTGTTTTTCTAGTTACAAATTTTTTAAATTGTATTTCTTGCCTATTATAATTACTACTATTTTTTTCATTTGTAAATAATTTCATATGGCAGAATGATTAATTTTTTAAGGGTGAAACAGGACAATCTGGAAAACCAGGTGCAGCAGGTCCATCTGGACCTCCTGGATTATTAGGTCCTCCTGGTTTGCCTGGTCTCGTGGGAGAGGCAGGACCAGAAGGACCAACTGGAAAACCAGGGCTACCAGGAATAGCAGGTCGACCTGGTGATAAGGGACCACCTGGAGTACCTGGTGCAGCAGGCCCCTCTGGTTCACCTGGATTACCAGTGATCATAATTTTTATTTTTATTTTTTGTTTTTTTTTATATATATAAAAATACTATAATGTAATATATAAAATAAAAATATATCAGTATAAATATATCAATAAAAATGTATTTTTAATAGGGGCCACCTGGATCTACAGGACCTGCCGGATTCGCTGGGGAACCTGGTCCGAAAGGCGAAGCAGGACCACAAGGAGTAGAAGGTCCACAGGTAATGCACATTTATTAAATTCAATTAATTAAATAAATAAGTTTATATACCTATAATAAATTATGTATAGAATAACTTAATTTAAATTAAAGTAATAAAGTTGAAGAAATTAAGTTTGATTTTAATTTATGATATTAAATCTTACAGGCTTAAAAAGAAATAAAAATATTTCTTATATTATATAATAATAATAATAATAATAATAATACATATGTATATATAGGTAAATAAAATTCTTTTGTATTATGACATTTTTAGGGTCCACGAGGAAAACCCGGTCCGTCAGGCATCGAAGGCGCAAAAGGTGATCGTGGCGAAGAGGGACCGAAAGGGTTGAAAGGACATCGCGGATTCAATGGTTTGCAAGGATTGCCAGGAGCTTCTGGTTTGCCAGGGGAAAAGGGTATGCCTGGTCTACCAGGACTTCCTGGTAAAGATGGGGAGTCAGGTATTAGAGGTACTCCTGGGCGGGAAGGCAACCCAGGACCTATAGGACCTGCGGGAAATCCTGGACCACAAGGTCCACCTGGAGAAGAAGGTCGCCATGGCTCGCCTGGTCTTCCAGGACCTCCCGGACCACCCGGTCCTCCTGGAGAAATTGGTTTTGGTTACGATACCGCATCGCTAGCAGCATATTTACGTATGATTTAATTGACTGAAATCATAAGATATATTTGCACAAATATAATAAATTATAATTTATTATAGTTGATTTTTAGACTTCAGATACAAACATAAGTATAAAATTTTCTAAATTTCGAAAACATTGCTTATGTTAGACTTTCTTGATTTTTATTTAAGTTTTTATATTTTATTAACATTTTTTTAAAATTATACTATATTTACGTAGAAACTTTCTTATTTATCATACAGAACAAGGTCAAATTAAAGGACCAGATCCACTCGGTGATGAACCACCGAGAATATTTAGTAAAGATATTACTGAAGAAGAACGAAGAGAATTGCTTATGAAAGCATATGAAAAACTAAAGTCATCGTTTCAAAAATTGGTGAAGCCAGATGGTGAAAAGAATTCACCGGTCAAAACCTGTCGAGATCTATTCGTTGCGTATCCAGATAAATTATCTGGTGAGTCTTGAGAATCATTTATTTTTAGTTTCATAATTACTGCATACTTTCTGTCAATTTCCAATTTTTCCAATTTATTTTTTATGACAGAAATAATCAAATGTGTGTAATCAAATATATAAAAATAGCAACACTTCTCCTGAAACAAAAATGAAGCTAAAGGAATCTTTATAATCTAAAGAAGAGTATAAAGAGCGATGGAAATATATTATTAAATTATATATTTTATATAAATAAATCACATGTACAGTTACTCATAAATAATAATACATTACTTATAAATTAAATGAAATAGTTTATGAATAGAAATATTATTATGAGTCATATTATGTATAAAACTATTGCATATTTTTACGGGGAGTATAAATATGAATTAAAATAATTAAATTAATATAAATTTATACATATATAATAGGCGAATATTGGATTGATCCAAACGAAGGAGATGTGCGAGACGCAATCTTAGTGCATTGTGATGCTGAGAAACGTGCTACTTGCATTTTACCGAATCCCGTCCGTTCACCAGAGATCACTCACATCACTGATCAACAAGAGACCTGGCTGAGCGAAATAGACGATGGCATGAAGGTTGTTATATTCTATATACTTGTTGATTTCGGTTGTATTAATTATGTAATGAAAGATATAAAACGCATTTCTTAAAAATATAAATGCTTATAAAATGCCATAAAATGTATTTGCATTTGCAGATTACATACAAGGCGGATAATAATCAGATCAATTTCTTGCAATTGCTCTCGAAACATGCGCAACAGAATATCACATATCATTGTAAAAACAGCGTCGCTTATTTCGATTACGAGCGGAAAACGTACAGAAAAAGCTTGAAACTTCTGGCTTGGAATGACGTTGAATTGACATCACGTGGCAATCAGCGTCTTAGGTATGAGATGATAACAGACGAATGCAGGGTAAGTTAAATTTTTTTATTCTATTCACAATTTGTTTAATTCATTTTTATTATTTTTTTAATAAAACGAATTATAGACAATTTTAGATTATTTCTAATATATTTAACATTACATGTCATGACTGTTTTTTTTTATTTTTACATAAATACTTGTTTATAAAATATACAAGTATTTATGTAAACAAAAGAACAAACAGAATATATTTGTGTGGCTAAAATCATGTTAAAACAGAGACGTCTATTTGAATTTAAATAAATTAAATATATAAATATATAGAATATTAAACGGGTTATTATATATTTTTTCATAAAAAAAGACAACTTTATATTATTATTATATTACATAATTTATTTATATATACATCAATTCATAGCTTCATCAAAATCATTGGGGTAAGACTGTGGTCTTATATGAGACGGACAAACCCGTAAGACTTCCTATCTTAGACGTGGCTTTGCGAGATATCGGAAAACCCGAACAAAGTTTCTCCGTTGAAATTGGCGCGGTTTGTTATCAATAAAACAAAGTATAATTTTGGGATGCAATATTACAACTGTTATCTTACTGGGCTTATGAACTATCCATCATTTTCTATTATATAATGTTAAGGAAATGATGTCTTTCAATATATTGTAAAAAGATTAGATGACTATATACGTTAAAATTTCATTCTTTACAATAAAATTGCAATAACAATTAAACATTATATTTAATTTAATCTGCATAATGACCTGCATTGTGTATATCGGTATTTTTATTCAAGTTTTCTTAAATAGCAGAAATAATTCAAAAATACTTAACAAAAATATTTGTAAAAATTAATTATATTGAACCTGTTATATACATATATATTCTAAAAAAGAATATGTTAATTAAAAAAAATTGTGATATCTGAAGAGCGATACTACTTGAATATCAACGGAATTTTATCAAAGTACTTGAAATATTAGACATGACCAGTGACGTATCTATGAGGGAGGGAGAAGCTTCAAGTCTCCCCGAAATTCGCGAGATCTAACTAAGTTGTCAGCATTTTCGTACTTATAGAGCACTGTTTTATTAAGTAAATAAAATTACAATTCACATTGCTTAATGTTAAGTGTGAATTTGTTTTAATGTAATTATGTTCGTTCCAGCCGTTTCCCCCTTCCAGCTCTCTATTAAATAAAATATCCTAAATACGTCACTGTCCACAACTATTATCCTTTATGATACGTGGATATATCCATGTGTAAAAGATATTCGGGTAGTAATTATACGGATTTAGTACTATATATATATATATATTGTGCTAAAAATGCCAAAGTATTATTGTATACGTAATAATTGGATAAGTTTTATTTACGCAATATATATAGCTTGTAGCTGTTTAAGAAAAATTGTGCGTGCACAATTACATAATCAAAGTTACACCGATTTAGATATATTTTAGCGTAGTATTAAAATTTTTTGCATCGTGTAATTTTTTTTTACAAAAATTTATAACATTTCGTATTTATTTCTCTTTTAAATTTGTTAATAATAAATCCCCCCTTAATGCATTTTTTTACATTTGTTCTCTATTGTTTTTTCTAAGTATATATATATTTATATATGAAGATATATAGAACGTACATCAGAAAATATAAGAAAGAATAAAGAGAGTAGATAAAGATAAGAAATATAAATCAAAATAGATAAAAAGAAAGATTCGTTTGATCTAACAACGCAACTATTTATGGACTTATATGATGTGAATTGCTGCATTCCTCGTATAAATTTCATTTGATCGTAGATCTTGATACATTCGTAGCTACTGTTGGCGCATGCATAAATGGAACTTTCCTTGGTCAACAATGTCAAATACATCGACCAGTGCTGTATTATAAAATAGTGGCACCACTGGCACCTAGTATGCAAGATTGTGAGCTTTATATGATAAAATATCATACAAAATTCACATATTATATCAATGAATTAATATATTACATGTATTATTAATATGTTAATTATTTATACATATATTAATATTTATTATAAAATTTCAAATTCTTTATTATTTACATTAAATATATAGTAATTGTCACATACATATATATATATATATATATATAATATATTGTATATAATATAATAAGCATTATTATAATTATTATTAATTATATAAATATATATAATGCTATATGATATATAAATATATGTCAATTATTATATTTTTATATGTATAAATAAATTATATATTGTATAAATAATTAATATTATATATATTTTATAATGTATATATGTAATTTAAATATGCACTACAGCTATATATTTGATTAACAGGTATGCGAGGAATTTTTGTGCCCACTATGACGTCTATCTCTTACATCGTCCTTGCATGGCGGCATTTGTGTCGATGCAACGCGTCGCGTCACTATGGTAGTCACAGCGAAAGGGAGCAGTTCGGAGTTTGGCATCGCGCACCATAGTCCGCTCACAATCAGTCGTGCTCCAACCGTTCGTGTCGTCAGTCATTTGCGTGGGACACAACTTTGCGAGACCTTTAGCGAGTAACGAGACACTCGGAGCAGCGACCCAGAATTGCAGTCGAAGATCTTCGAATTCGCACGAAAATACATGTGCCAGTGTTTGTTTATTATTCCACTGATCGCGCCAATTCTGTCGGAGAAGTCTTGTTCCCTTTCGGTTTATCGATCCCTGGATACGTCGTTTTCGCGCGCAATTTCTTCACGAGTAACAAGCAGAGAGAAAGAGAGAAAGATATCTCTCACGAATTGAGAGATTGAGGTTAGTCTTATCATATTTACTGTTAGTGTTTCAGTTATTACTGACTATGAATGAAAGTCTTTGGCCGCTGATCCCGGCATTAACAGCATTATATAGTTAATTACATTTGATTTATACTGTTGTGTTCGTTGAAGCAAAATTCGAGAACGATTCAACAGTTTTGGAGCAGCACTGCGTCGAAAATGTTATAGTTATAATTTTTAATTATAAGTTGAATAATTAAGTAAATATGAGTTAAATAACAAAGAAATTTTATTCAAGATACAAATTATAAATAAAATTTTAATGGTTCTTTATTATTTATAATTATAAAAAATTTTGCACAATTAATTAGTTAAAACGCATCGTACATTTATGTAAAAAAATAAAAGTTTCGTCAACGTATCTTGAATAAATCACATGAATAAGTAATGATCAATATCTAATGCTAACATAATCAATATACGGGTCTTACATCAACAAGGCATGTTATTTAGATAATTCATCAGACAATCTGTAAATACTATGACTATAAAATACATGTTAAAAAATGCGATAGTTTATCTCGTATCACAATTATAATCATTTCGTGCGATTATAACGTTGATGACGTAATGAAGGACAAGGACATTACACCATATGACGTGAAATGACCATATGATATATTCGTTACAGCTAAATTTTACGTAATATATGTATAAATGGATCACAAAAATTAATAATAGTATTATATAAAGTTTTCGCGGAAAAGATAAATCTTTTAAAGAAGAAAAAAAATCGAAAAATATATTATTTCGCTAACGAAAAATAATAAGATCGAATAGTGCTGCTTCAAAACTTTTATATTTCTTCCAACGTAAATTCCATCGTTCGATATTCTCATGCGGCTCTTCCATAATTTTATTTATAGCTGTTATCGTTATATGCAACATTGTCTTCCAATTATCATGATTATGTGAAGACGAGACACACTGATTTCTTGTAAACTCTCAAGTCGCACATTCCAAAATATAACATAACTAATAAATTATTGCAAATTGTGAAATTATTATTAATTTTGAAATATCTAACGTAATTTTGTAAAAATATATCTTGCATTTGCAAGATTATATAATACTGGTAGCTTGTCTTATAATGCTGAGATAATCAAGGTAATTGTTTTTGGAAAAGATATTTTGGAATGTAGACAGCTGTACGCGCAAATGTTATAACGTGTCATCAGAGCGGATTACGATTTTAATTTTATCGGCCGCTTATATAGATATACATATAATACAAGTGATTCACGCGTCGCATGTCGATTAATATTTACGAGTGCAAAATTTTTACACCCGGAAGCATACTCTGTTAAGATAATTTAAGCTCAAATATTCTTATTAAAATGAAAAGACAAGGAACAGTGAATGACTAGTGTTGAAGAATATTATGTAATTGACAGATTTAATGCAAAGACTAGCTAATTCTGTTTTTAAGTATATAAATTAAAAATTTTTAATTTTAAAAATTACATTTTTCATATTTCGCTAATATAAAATTAAATTTATTAATTAATTCATTTTCTTCTATACACAATATTAATTTAAAAAAATGATTAATAATAAAAAAGCTGTTGAGAGTCAGTAGTTAACGTGAATGCAGTGAATTATCGCTTTAATTACTCATTAAAAACTTAGGATTAGTATGATTATATTACTTTATAGTTCAGTAATTATCCTAATAAGAGTCACTTAATAAAATATCTTATAATACAATTGATAATTGCAATAAAATTGGAACAGTATCTTTCAGTTATAATTGAAGATATTATATTTCTATTGCCACATAAAAAAAGAAAAAAAAATATTAGTTTAGTTTTGTGTTCTTCTTATCTTACGCTCGGTACGTGGTCGGCAAACAAAAGATTAAAATTGAAATGAAAAGATCCAACGTTAAGAACGTATAGTGTCAATGAACAAGTAAGCTTATTTGGATAAAGCTTTTGTCTTGAAGAAATTAATCATTTATAATTAAAATCAGTGAATGAATTAAAATCTGTCAAATATATAGTATTTTTCTCATGTCAATATTGGGTTAATATTAACTAATATTGACGAAATTATTTATGTTTGTCGCCGTCTTTAATTTTTTCCAAATATTTTTCAAGTCCATATAAATGAAGTTAATAGTGTTAATTTATTAATTAATCGATAAATCCATTATATCCTTTACGGAAGTTTTATAAAGACACAAAAACACATAAAGACAAACACAAATGTATTTCAAATATGGAAAAAATTGACAGATATAAAAACAAAAAAAAATCGAGAATAATATTTCTGGTAATATCTTCCTTTAATTATATCTTGAGAATTTCGTCAAAAAATGTTAGAAAAAAATCAATAATCAAGTTTCTTGGATATTCATACACAGAGAGAATTTTCTCGCAGAATTTATTCTGAAAATCATGGTTAATCGTGCTTGGAAGAATTTTATGAGTTTCTCTGATTAATATTCACTATAATAAAAAATATTAATATCTACCGCACAATGATATTAATTTTACTATGTATATACATATTAATATTTTTATTGTTTTTATAAAATTATAAAATTCTTCCAATACTATATTGTGCCACGATTTTCAAGGTAAATAAATTCAAAGAGAAAATTCTCTCCGTGTACCATTTTACACATGTTTGAAGTTTACATTGTCATACACACTATTACGTTCAGCGCGCCAAGAAAGGAAAAAAGAAATACATACAATTTATCGCGCAAGCCCGGCCGCTTCTATAATATCGCGACGATTTAAATATAGAATTTTCGTAGTATGTACGTGCTGCGAGTGTGACGAGCAAATGCCGCGTGTTTTCAGACAGCCTCGTGATCATCCCGGAGGACGCCGTGTCGCGGTCGCACGTCAACGCGCGTGAAACGTGTAGGAGGCCAAAGCTCACAGCGAACGTCGTCGTCACGTCCATCGACTTCGAACTCGCGAGGCGGCATGACGTAACGCAATCGGGCCAATAGTCGGCGAATCGATTGAACACCGAAAAAAAACAACGCGCAAGCCTCGCAGTCCACAGCCGTCAATTGACGAAGAATCCACGCTTGGCGGCAAAGCTCAAACGCGCGAGGGGAATTTCTCTCTATAGTGTATCTCGTTCTCACGCTGATATAATACAGTTGCGACGACACATCGTGCGCGGCAAACAGTGAGAATGGCTCTCTTCCGGAAATTCAATGGTAAGTACTCGTCAGTTGACGATTATTAGCTGTACTGATGTGTGCCGCGACTTTCTCTCTCCATCTGTCTAGTCTATATTTTTATTAGTTTACATTATAGCTTAATTTACCGATTTTTTATTTGTTATTTTATTTTATATTTTCTATTTTACTCTTTTCAGACACTTGTTAAAATCTCTATTATTTTTATTGTCAAATCAAGTCTTCTTCAAGAAATATTAAGAAACTTATTTAGTATTTTTTACTAATAGTCATAGCTCTCTATTTTCGTAGAGATTATTTTTCCACATCTAAAATATTGAAATATGCATTTAATTGAATGATTAATATGTGATGTTCGAAATATGAATCGAAAGTATATCAATTTCAATCTTTGCTTTTGAAATGTCGATATGGTTCAATATCTTTGTCGATATATATTGACAAATACTCTTTGGACTTTTCGCAAGCACTCTTCAGTAAACAAATTCCGAAGTTTCTCATATGCGTTTCAGCATAGTTAATTATAGAATATGAATAACAAATGAATATTAGATAACTTAGCTGCTTCTAAATAACAATTTTACTTGCGTATATATTAAAAAAATAATACGCATTGTAATATGTAATGTTTATTTTTTAATTCGAGGAAATATCAAAAATTTTTTCAAAATCTACAAATACACAAAAAAGAATGATTTTTCTCAAAATCATTGTTGCAAGGAAAGCTGTGTGACATAATTTCCGCAAAGGTTACATTATCAGTGACACAGTCTCTTTGTACAAACTCCGCGTGTGTAAGTGATAAGCATCACGAAAAGTGATAAGCATTATATAACTGTCTGCGTGCAGGTCGTGTAAAAATTTCAGGAAGAGATATATCCAGCGCATCGTAATCTTGCTATTCATATGACTTCGCGACTCGTCATTCTGCGATCTAAAACGGAAATTCAAATTAGCAAACATTGCGCATACCATTACGCAGCTGTAATGCATATTCGTCGCACGCGGATCATATTTTTTTTCGAACGTACAAGCACGTATCGACTTTGTACAGGGTACAATCGTAATACGAGCTTCTAGTTTCCCATTTGTAAAAATAGACATGTTGCTTGTCAAATGGTTTGGCACATGTTCTGCCTTTAAAAAAAAGAATGAAAAACACGAACTAAGGAGAAAAATTTATCGATCGTGTACATGAAGTTAACCTTGATGATGCAAACGATTTTAAATGAGATTGTCATTTAATAAAAAACTATTTTTATTATTAGAGATAACTTTACGAAAAGATAATGCTTCTAACTGCTTGTACTTTTTGCATTTTTCTGCATTACATATTACATACATTTGGCAAATAAATTTTTACATATACACAATTAGAATTTTCTTAAAATTAAATCTATTTAAAATGTTAAGGAAATTAATTTCTTGTGTGAGGTCCTGAAAAATTTGATATTTGACAGACTTTTTATTAATAAAACAAAAGTTATTGGAAGATTTTGATATTATATGCAGTATATTACGCAGTCGTATAAATGGCTTGTTAATGAGGTAAATGACTCGTATTTAAATATACATAATACATATGTATATACGAAATTGCTTTAAATGTTGTACTTGTAAAAATGAATTTGTCGTTCGAACTAAGACATTTTTCACATTATAAACCATAATTGATATTTTCTATCTATCGACTTATGATTATCATATGCGTAATTATACGATAAAAAAGTTAAAAAAAATAAATTATGCAACTCGAAGAGCGTGTTGATCTTGAAATATAGTTTACTTCGATGTTTTGCATAATGATTTTACATGTATTTATTTTTTTCTAAAATGTGAACTATTTTTTAAGATTATATTTGTCATTACATTATATACATAGCTAAATAACGCAATACCGTATTATATTTGTAACAATGTTTACATGTGTACATTTAATATATTTCGTTATCTGTGTACGCACACATAGCTACTGTACTAAAATCAATAACTCGAAAAATTCAATTAAAAAAATATATAATAAATAAGAAAATTGATATACAAATAGAAAATAAAAGTATATTATAAAGAGATATTGCTTTGATTATGTGCTCATAATTCATTAAAAACAATCAATTTTACAAAAAATATTATTTATATTTTTTAAAATTATCATTAATTATAAATTACATTATAGTGTTTCTCATTATTAATATTATTTTCTAATCAATAATTTTTTGTAATTAAAAAAGAATAATAGTTGTATATTTTCAAGGATTTAAAAAAAAAATTATTCAAAGAGATTTAAGATAAATTATAATCTCTTAAGAGTATTCTCTCTTATAATCCCATTAATATATCTATTTATCATTGAAAGTAATACCACAATTAAGTAAATGAGACTACATCATCTTTATTATCGGTATAATAAAAAATTAATTTATTTCAACGCTTTTTTTTTAATAAATAATAATTTAAAATAATAAAAAATTGCACTAAATAATAAAATAACATTTTGTAGAGAATTTTAACAAAAATGTTATTTGCTTACTATTATTTATATGATAAAAATTATGTTTGGTCATCAAATTTTTAGAGATTATTTAGTTCTATTTATCGATATAAAAATTTATGTGTGATTAATCTAAAACAATTCATATCAGTGATATATTGTTCATAGAGGAGTGCAAAATTGTGGAATAAGTTTAATCTCTCTTTCTCAATAACAGAAACGTTACTTAAGAATCAAAATTATTACATCGTGTGATATGGAAAGAAAAAAAGCTCGTATCATGAAGCACGAAGTAGTATTATCGATCCGATGTTCTTTCATCGTAATTATCAGCAATCCAATAACACTATACACAATCGTTAATACGAGAGAGAATGATTGTTCGATCAGGCACGTATAAATACTTCGAATAAATAAGCTTTGTGACCTTCTAGAATTTATAACTCTATGCTCTAATGTGTTTCCTTGAACGGGATTCTCTTAAAATATGATCAGGATTGATCGCAAGCATTAATAAATTATTTAAGTACATTTCTATAATTAATTTTACAATTTAATAGACTATCAATGCGAATCTATTGATATATACTTATATATTATTTTTATTAATTCGTTATTCTTTTAAATATATTATAATATTAGTAAATAGAAATATATATGTAATATATAGAAAGATAATGTATGAAGTAAATACCAAAATTATTATTATAGTAATTTATTTTTGTATATATTGTTTTATATTATTAATTTATAATTTATAATATTAATTCTCATATTGTTAGTAATTTTATTTTTTGGAGTGTTTGTTTTTTTTATAGCAACACACAATATCACAAGTCGAACACGCAATCGCAGCTGTTTTCGTGGATATTATTACATATAATAGAATATGAGATGTTTACTATGTTAGACGTCATTCATTTGTGATTTAAAATTATTAGGTATTATATGCTTAGAGATGCAAAGGTCAAATTCTAGACTTTGACAGCGAGGCAAACGCAGAAATATATGTATTATGTTCATGTATTATGTGTGTACGAGTGTTTCAATGAATAAATGAATATTATAATAATAGAAAGTTTGTGCAGGAGAAATTAATAATTCTGATATTAACAATAATAATACAATTTAATAGCAATACAATTTAATTACTTACAATTAAAATCGATTAATTGTAAGTAAGAGAGAATGAATTTTTTTAAATATTAATTTGAGTAAACATGAGAAAAACTGCAATATTTTTCAACAAATATATTTTAATATAAAATTATTAAAAGTAATCACTATTTATTCAATAACTATAAAAAATATTAATATAATTTTATGATTATATTAATGTATTAAAATATTATACCACACATATTTAGCAAATTATCGCAATTTATCTCAATTGACTCTTAAACAGCAGGTATTCCTATGTGTTACAGAGAAGATCCCTCGGAGAGGGATTTTAGGAGCGATGATGTTTTTGGCATGCATGTTTTCGTACGTCATTCGTACCAATTTATCCATAAGCATTGTCGCCATGGTAAATGTTACAAGTAAGGACGGTGGCGTTGGTCCAGCGTGCAGTGTGTCGGATATAAAAAGCAATAAAACAGCCCACGTGCTCAAGGATGTAAGTTGATTCACTCGCGCGAAATTTATATAGAAACAAAATTATCCTATAAATATATCTTTCTTGTATTTATTTTCTTAGTTTGGAGAACGTTTCGAATGGAATCAACATATCCAAGGGCTGCTACTATCAGGATATTTTTATGGCGTTCTACCGGCTAGTGTACCAGCTGGACTCTTAGCCGAAAAATACGGAGGTTCTAAAGTGGTGGCGTAAGTATAATTAAAAGTAAATTAATAACTAATTAATTTATCTGAGGTAGCTGCTTATTATTCTTGGTCTTTTATGACATAGATTTGCCACGTTAATACCCGCAGTATTAAATCTTTTGATGCCATGGGCTGCTACTGTTCATTATGGTTTCGTCTTTGCACTTCGTTTCGTAATGGGATTTTTCGGAGTAAGTTGCTTAATCATCTTGTATATTTTTTAAACATATTGTGAGATTGCTAAGTTTAATGTTAACATGAATTCTTCGTCTTCAAATACTATACTTAGTTTTGTGAGTTTTACATCTAGTTTTAACTATATAAAGTATTTTTTAGTCATTTTTTAACAAATTTGAATTAAAATTTTTTTCTCCATATAATTAGTTTTATCTCATTTTATAGATCTCTTATATTTCGATATGTAAATCCTTAGTAAGAGTAAGATTAATTTTAGGGCGCAGTTTATCCCGCTCTCCATGCGATGATTGCTAGATGGGTACCTCCTGGTGAAAAAGGCATGTTTGTGTGGACCATGCAAGGTAATTATATATATTATTCTTTTTTATTTTTGTTAAGGTAAAATGTTTTCCAGAATATTTATAATCCATGTTGTTTTATTCAAGGTGGTCCATTCGGAACTGTTGTGACATTCGCTTTATGTGGTGCAGTAATCAGTGCTTTTGGATGGAAAGCTGCATTTTACGTCACGAGTGGGCTCATGTTAGTTTTTTATGTTTTATGGGTATATTTAATATACGATACACCGGACTCACATCCTGGAATCACAGAGAAGGAGAAAACTTACATAAGAGAACAAATTGGCACTACTGTTTCGAAACAAAAGGTTGAAATGCATTTTTTAAATAAACTACAAAATGAAAAATAAAAACGAATCATCTAGCATATCATTATTTTACACAGGTCCAATTACCAGTGAAAGCAGTCGCCACATCTCCGCCGTTCTTAGTATTGCTATGGGCCCACTTTGCGAACATGTGGGGTATATATTTCATTGCTACAAACGGACCCAAATATACGTTAGAAGTCCTTGGTTTCAACATGAAATCGGTATTATTTTTATGGTGAATCTATTTCGCGAAAAAAGTTTCGATTATGGCATTATATTTTTATCTCGTTATTACTAAAAAAAGTTTCTGTTTTATTTATAGGGTGGCGCAATAACTGGATTACCTTACATAGCTAGACTGGGCGCCGGAGTGTTATTCGCAGCAGCGGGCGATTATGTGCGAAGGAGGAAGTTTTTGTCTCTAGGCTGGATAAGAAAAATATTTATGATTTTCTGTAAGTAATCTGGAATAATCTGTATTAGGAGATGTTGTAATGTGTACATATATGTATAAACAATTGTTATCTAATCAATAATTATTTTATATTACATGAACAGCTCATTTGGGACCTGCAGTTTGTTTAATAATAATGACATATGTCGGTTGCGATGCCACAGCTGCGATAATAATGTTAATATTGGCGTTGGCTTTCAATGGAGCTGCGTGTCAGACTAGTTTACAGAACCATCAAGATTTAGCACCAAATTATGCTGGTTCTCTGTACGGAATTATGAATACATTTGGTAGTTTCCCTGGATTCATCATTCCACCCATTATTGGCGCTTTGACCAATGAGAGGGTACGTTATCTCTTTACATTAATATTATGTTTCATATATATATATATATATATTTTCTAATAATTTGTTTACATGTTTTTCAATTATAGAACGGAGTTGACGAATGGCGTATAATGTTTTGGATATCGGCGGTAGTATTTATATCAGCAACGATACTCTTTTGGCTATTTGGATCGGGAGAAATTCAACCATGGAATGACACTACTCATACTAAGGTGCCTACTATTGCCGATGAGGAAAGGCAGATAAACGAAACAACGACGAAAGATACGATGAACGAAGATACTGAAGCCGAAGAAAACGAACGTCTCTAGTAATTTAGAAAATGAAATGAAGGTGATGTGTGTCCATGTCTGTACAAAAATTAATAATCCATTATCGAAAAGAGAATGCATTTGAGATTGATGCAAATTTTAACTTCTTTGTCAAAAAATGTCACTGTTAAAGCATATTTTGTACAGCAATTACAATTAATATTTGTATAACCTCCAATTGTTAAATAGATACAAAGATTATCGTCCTGTTAATGCATACTGAAAAACTGAAATGGAAGAATTAAAATGATGTACAGAATATTCAATTATATGTTACAATATTCGTTTAGAATATTCGCGCTCTCCAGTTACAGATACACATTGCTAGAATATCACGACAGATCTTTTATATTTAATCCGATTTATATTTTTTAGATGCGCGCGAAAAAAGTTACTTGCTCTTTTTTTTTATTGCTCGTATAAGACTGTAGAATGTTTCAGAAGATAAAACACGTTTTAGATTTTATACATAATTTTCACGCATTTTTATCGTCTCGAATATTTAATTATAAGTATTTATATATTTGATATTACGCTTTTTTTGTCACGTGTACTACTTACACTTTAGAACGTCACGGTCGTGTCATCAGATGCCTAAAAAAATTATATAGACGTGGTATTCAAACAATGTATCGAAATGTAAGAATACTCTGTAGTGCATTTTTTGATTTCGTGCCAAAGTACATATATGTTATTATTCTCATTGAAAAGTCGATAGTTAATGGTAGGTTGAAGAACCTTGGCACTGTCTTCGGGCCAATAAATGGCCGAGGTTAAGGTAGATATTATAAATAATATTACGTCAGATATATAAATCGTGTATATTTCTCATTATACACAATGAAGCTTTGCGCGAGTCGATTTCATATATAACTGTGATACATATTTATTCGCAGTGATTTACGCACACACCGATTTCCAGTTTAATTGCGATCAGTGATCCGCAGATCATCTAATACCCTAATTTATTCGAGAACATCTCGAATAAATTAATCGCATTATGGGATCTTGCTTTTACGCAATAATTCCTTGGATGTCCCATTAATGTATAACGAGAAATACTTGTATAATTCTTTCGTCTTTCACGAATGCTCGAATCCCAAAAGGTCATGGTTGCGGTGATAAAAGTAGTTTATTCTCTCTAATTTCCATTCGTAAGAATTTTTTTCTTGTCCATCCAAAGAACAACTGGAAATTTTAAAATCGACTCGTCTATCCTGATAAAAACATCGCATTCGTAAATAAGCGAAAAAGAAATACATTACGTTTGTAGATCATGAAGAAATGTACACAAATGTATGAAACGTGCAGATGCACGTTTTATTATAGCAAAAAATGGAAAATAGTAAATGTGTCGTTCCTACATTTGAAAAAGACGATCATCGTTCAAATCAAACTATTTCGACATAATATTTGTTGTTTTGTTAATAATATAATGTTACTACGCAAATAGTTACGTTAAAAATCAGTGTAAACAAGTGTTTAGCAATAATATTACGCGCGTAACAATCATAAAGAAAAAAAATACATAAAGATACAACTCGCTGTTTTAAAATAAACAAATTGTGCTCATATATGTCATAACGTTATTAATTGTCGAGTTGTATACGTTATTCATAAACACATTTTAATATGTGTTTATTAATTAAATCAGCATTTGTTTTACGGATTTCACATACTGCGCATCGTAGCAAATTATCGTACGTGTATAACAAATAATCGAATCATATATTTTTTGTGCGATTTCTCATTATATGAAAATAAAGAAATTCATGTGTCTTCACAAAAATATAGTCAAATTTATTATTATTTATTAGATCAAGAAGAGCTTTTATCTTGTGTTCTTAAAATGATTTTATATTAATAAACAAAAAGAAATAAACGTTTTTATCAATTTGATACAATTGCACTCACATTTTTATACTCGTATATTACCTGCATTTTCAATAAGAATTTATATGATTTCTATATCTTTTTTTTTCTTATTTTAAAACCAGCAAAAAGCTATTAATAATGCTTTGATGCAAAAAGATTAATTTACCCAATTTTCACTATTATATTTGTCCTCGAAATTCCGATAAAGGTCGGGTAGGAGTGGCTCTAAATTTATCTACTCGTGGCCTAGCACAAATCTGACTATTATTAATAGACCGCCTACAACGTTGATCTAGGTTCAGCAACGTGCAATCGTCTACATTGCAAGCTATATATTCATCGTTCAAGTTATCGCGAGTGCAAAACGTGCTCTTCAATATCTGCAATGCTCTTATTGCGATGCTAACAGTAGTTGTGTTACTAGCAGACTCTGTCAATGTTAAAACAACATATTTTTTTCATTATTGTAAATTATAAAAACTAAACTAATTACCAAATAATGTGAAAGGTAAAAAATAAAATTAAATATTTTGTTGGAAACAATTTTTACAAACTTTGAAAGAAAATGTGCAGGATACCTTTGAGCGACCATGATTTCGCTAATGTACTATCGATGATACGGGTCCATTCACTGATAGAATCTATAAACATTACATATTTTTTATGATAGCAAATTATAGAAAAACATGAAAAAGAGAAATCTCATGTAATAATCAAATTGCATAATATATTTTTTATATGCGTATTTTAATATATAAAGCATGTAATAATTTATTTCTTGCATAATATTATGTATGCATAGTAACTACAATAAGTTATATTCCCTAACAGCATATATTCGAAAAATGTTCAGAGGACATGCAGAGAATATTCGAATGTCCTCTGAATATCCTCAGAATATCCTTCGACCGTTTTTCAGATATGTTGTGCTGTTAGGGATTATAATTATAATGTATTTTACGTACAATTAATTATTCATATAAAGTAATTATATATTATGTTAGGCTTAAAACGTGATTTTTCAAATTTTTTTATTATTTAACTGAGAATCATTTCATAGACGTATATCTATATTTTGAAGCCCGCTCTTTCAATTTTTAATATAAGTTCCACTCATTAGAGCGATAATTAATTTTTTTCAAATTTTTGTTTCCAATTTACGTTTTTATTACGTCATTATGTTAGGTATTGACACGTGATTTTGCAAAATTTTTAGTATTAAACTGAGGATCATTTCTTAGACGTATTCCCAAAAAAATTATTCAAATAATTTTTTTATTCTCGATAAATATTTTTTGATAGAAATCAGCTGATAATTGTCAAAAATATTAATCAAGTTTAAAATATTTAAGCTCTTTTTAGGGAGTGATATGTCTACTATGTATGATGTATGTACGCATGTAATAAGGGACTGAAGTTGTAATTACGTACAATTAATTATTCATATAAAAAGTGCTTTCGAATGCAATGTACTGACGTACCTCGAGTTTGGATGTCTTTTTTCGGAGTCATGAGAACGTTAATAGCCTTATTAACAACATCGCCCGTTTCTTCGGGTGTTACAAGCGATGAGGACGATTGAGTAGTGGTCAGTCTCTCAATCTCTCTCGTCATCAAGCAGGCTGGTTGCAGATGCGGATTCTTCGCTCTCTCCGAAGCTGTCGCGACGACGTAGCAAGGATTGTATGACAGCAGGATATCCTGCGTACGGAGTAATTTCGTACTCGGGACCGGCAAGTCTTCCTCTTTTTGAGCCGCTACGCACCAATGACATATCGATTCCCTGGCGCAAACTGAGCATAAAATCTCTTTAGATTCCTTGATCCTCGCAACTTCAGGTACTCCAGCGAGTCCCGTCTGAGTAGCAACAGTCTTCGTTGCCTTCTTTAGCATAGACTCGACGATCTTCTTTCTTCTTCGGTCGAGTTTTTGCTCAATGGAATCGGCTGTAAAAAATTATAAATAATTTCTTTAGCAAATTATAAATAAATAAAATGTGTGCTTTTTAGCTATAAGTATTTCGATTGTAAATAATGATTCAATTGTAATAAGAAATAATAATTTCTCTCTATGCGTGCAAAAAATGCCTTGTATAAATTCACTAACGTTGTTTTCGAATTTTGAATGCAATCGAGACTGTCTGTTGCACCAATGAGTTTAGGATATTCTTTACAATGCTTTGTGCATCACGAGATATCTTGTCGCAAGTCGAACGCAATAGATAATCCATTAGTGGCAGGACGACGATCGACGCTTCGAAGGGGTCAATTATCACAGGTATCTTCAATTTCCGTAGCACGTCTTCTTCCGTGAGATCAGGAGACTTATAACTGGCCACAGTTTGAATCAATCGATCTGTCATTGGGTACTTGAGTCTATTCGCTCCTTTCACGATTATTTCGTCGATCAGATCGTCGATTATAATCCGAGACCCGATCCTTCTAAAGCATTCCTGAAGACAGCTTTGCACGAAGCTCCTTGTTTCTTCATATTCGGCCAATAATTTGCTGTTCGAGTGCTTAGGCTTGCAAGTCAACTTAGTTTGAGTTTCATTGTCCAACACGATACTGTCGGTGTTGCGATTATATCGTAATGCGGTTTGCGTTTCTTGACACGTCGTTTCAACGGAGATCTGATCTTGAACGGGATCAGATATCCAAAATGCGCGCGACAGCAGGAAATTTAGAACTTCGAGAATTATTGTTTCTTCATCATCTATGATATTTCTCGAATAGAGATTTTTTTCATCATTTTCGTACGTACGCGATAAATAGTTCACTGCTTCATGCTGCGATTTTCCAGGGGCAATTGTTATCATGGTCTGACTCGAATAATTGTTCTTGAATACAGGCATCGGACTGGTACTGATGGAAACTGAAAAAAATCTGAATTTCTAGATTTATCTAATTTCATAAATCTACTTATTATTTTTTAAATATTTTAGCTTTATCTCTGACCTTAATTGTATGCATTTTAAAATAATATATATAATAATGATATAAATATGATATTAAAATAATATAATATAATAAATAATTTAATAGATTTTAAAAAATTAGTTTATATATTATTATTATTCTGCGAAGTTATAATTATTTCTAAGAGGGTATAGATAATATTTATTTTGACAAAGAAAAGCATAAAAATATTTTTGTACACTATTTTTCTTATCATATTGTGATGACTAATAATTAATGTATAATATTTTAATATTTAATGTTGTACACAAATTTAATTCAAATTTCATTTAAAAGTAAAGAAAAATTAATATTTAATTATATTTTTTAACTAAATTTAACTTTATCTCCAGACTGCTCATTTGACTAGAATTTAATCTATTAAAGCTCTTCAATTTCTCCAAATTATACTCGTATATGTAATAAATTTTGGAATTGATAAAAAATCTTATAAATACATATTTTCTCTTTGCGCTATTGCTTACTTATGTGTTCAAAATATTTCGCAGGCGGACAAGGGCTACTCATGTACATCGTTTGTGATGCTTCATGCTTATATTCGATTGGTATACCCACTATGGGGACACCCTGAAGAAACGTTTGATTCTCTGCATCTCTAGTGGATTCTTGTTCTAGTTCCTTGACGTTAATCAAATGCTTAATGAGCAGAGGTGAACGAAAAACAAACTCCTCCTCGCTCATGTCCTTTTCGAAAAAATCTTCAACATTTGCTGAAATTTTGCTCGTGCTCTTGATTTCTCGAAGTTCGACATCTTTGTGTTTAAGCATAACATTTTCAACATCTTCCCTTGGTGTAACCGTGAATAAAGTTTGAGCCCATGATGTTGAAAGAAAATATTTTTCTTTTTTATCTACTTCTTCCATCTGTGAGATGTGAAAGAGTCTGTGAGATTGTATACTATTTCTTTTCTATTTTCTTTCTATTTTTAAAAATCTTCCGTGTGTACAATGTATAAAAATATCTATTCAAATATATCTACTTAAGTATAGATATATTTAATTAAATATCTACATGTATACCTATATATGATATATATATATATATATATATATATATATATATATATATATTTATATTGTTAATCATTTCATTATTTAAAAAAAATACATATTTTATAATGTGATATATAATAATATAAATATAAATTAATAACAAAATAATAATTAAAAGTCAATTACTTCTGTTGAATGTGATAATTATTATTTGATCACACGTCTCTCTCTTGCGACTTACTGCAATCCCGTATTGATGTAAAACGTGTTGCATAATAGTGTAATGACATTGCAAATTTTGTACAACTGTTTAACACGTTAAATTACATTTTACATCAAAAAATTTTTTGTGAACATTTAATCATTTTGAGGGTTACGAAAGAGAATTGCATTAAACGAAACACCAAACGTCACGACTCATGGCTATGACTAGATCTTATATCTTGTGTACTTATATTTCAACAACTTCAGTCCCTTTATTACATGCGTACATACATCATACATAGTAGACATATCACTCTCTAAAAAACTTAAATATTTTAAACTTGATTAATATTTTTGACAATTATCAGCTGATTTCTATCAAAAAATATTTATCGAGAAAAAAAATTATTTGTATTATTTTTATCGGAAATACGTCTAAAATTTGGAAAAAATTATCTGTAATGACTGGAACTTATATTAAAAATTGAAAGAGCGAGCTTCAAAATATAGATATACGTCTATGAAATGATTCTTAGTTTAATAATAAAAAATTTTTAAAAATCACGTTTTAATACCTAACATAAATATAATTGCTTTCTATTTACATCAAAACTCAGATAAATTTGATGTCTGTCTTTCTTCAACATCCATGTTAAAAAAAGACAAAAGTAAGATTTATCTGATATGAGTTTTGATGTAAATGGAAAGCAACTAATATGATATGAAAATTGGGAAATTGGGAACTAAAATTAGAAAAATTAATTATAGCCTAAATATCTGAAATTAAACTAAACTATAATTATTTAATTAATATTTTACTAAACTATAATTATTTAATTAATATTTTTGTTTTATGCTTAGCTTTTACTCTAAGATCACCGATGAATTTTTTTAATTTGCAAGGGACGGGGGTTTTCAAGCTGGAATTGAATTTCTTATAAAAACACATTCAAATAAGACCCAAGATAAAGTTAAAAATATTTAGGTATATATAGGAAAAATATAAAAAATAATATAATTTTTTTATTATATAATTATTTTGTACAATGATAATTTTATGTATATAGTATAATAAATGTACTTTTATAAGAACATTGTTCTTTAAGAAAAAAGAATATTCGCTGAAAAATTAAAGAGCTTTTCGATTCACTTTAAGGATAAATGTTCTTATTTCCATCGGTTGTAAAAGAATATTGATCATATTGTCATGAATCTCCACAGGTTGTATGTCCTCTTCCCTACTTAGAATATCGTTTGTCTCTGGTTCCCATTGCATACGATTATTTTCGTTTAACAGCTGGTTAGCGCCTAATGTAGTTGTTTGGATCGATTCAATCGAGAAAGTTGAGAATAGATCCTATCGAGATATAATAAAAAAATTAAATTTAAAAAGTTTTTTGTTATAAATTAATCCTTTTTAAACTACACAAGTTTTCAGAGTACCCAAGTAGCAAAGTGACGTCAAAATGACATACGTTTGTTATCTGAATATGTATCGTAATTATTATGTGTATAAGTATATATTATGTATATATATTTTATGTATATATGTATATATGCATGTGTATATATGTACGTATGTATGCATATATGTACATATATAAAATCAGCGCGTATCATAAAACATTATATTAGTTGTAATAAAACAATATAGTTAAATATATTCAACATATAAAATAAAAACACACCTGGAGGTTAACTTCCACCGGTTGAGATAATTGTTGCGCCTCACCGACCTCGAAGATATGCTCCAATCTCAGCAGGATTGTATCATCTTTCCATGGTTCTAATGTAAGAATATGCACATTTGGCGGTAGTGCCTTAGTAAGACCGGTCGACTGTGAAATAAATGTTATATATATATATATATATATATATCTAATAAAAAAATCACATTTGCTTATAAAGTAATTCGTTTCTGTGAATCTTATAAAATCTATTAATCATTTTTTGTTGTGTTAGAGAATAAGGATACATACGGAAGATTTGGCGTTAGCACGTATCTCTTCGATATTTCTCAAATTAATGTTGCCCAGAAAATCCCCTAAGATCCAGGGATGTAGAGTCAATTTGAGGGCCAGTTCTTTTTCCTTCAATACGAATTCATCCACATTTTTTATTTTACCTCCAAAGAGATAATGCGTGCCTCTTGCTACTAAACCTTCGCCAAACGCAGTTTCATTCAACGCTTCGCCCACGCCGAATGCATCATCCTTGAGAAGCCTTCGATGAATCTAGAAATAATGTTATTTATTACACATGCATTCTTGCTTGATTTCCAATATGTTATATATTTTAAAATATTTATCATGTTATGTAGTGTGGAACAGTAAGTCTATATAATTAAGGTCAGATGAGTTTACGGAAAAAATATTAATTTATATAAGGTATATTTTAAATCAAAATGTATTAAGCAATAATATTATAATTATATACATTAATCTTATACTAATTTAAATTTTATCAATCACAAAAATTGATCAGTTGAACATATTGACATACCATCAATTCAACGGCGCCATCCTGCAAACTACTTCCGCCCTGAGCACGATCATTCAGAACACTTAACTTTAATTGTTTCTCTTCATCCTTGATTGAGATTTTACTAGTCACCGGATAATAATTCCCAGATACCGGTTCCTGCACATCCAAATCCCACGTTGGCCGATAATTTCTCACACGCTTTAACATTTCTCTCCCATTGCTATCTGTGTAAAATACGCTGTCCGTTTTCAAGTTGCTTGAGTATCTCGTGACGATTTCTTTGCCAATCTTATCCCTGAAGATAATTTACAATATCATTTTATAACTCTTAATCAATCTTTGGACATTTATTTAAGCAAAACCTATTTTTTTTAAATAATGCATTTTATAAAAATATATATATTTTTTATTATATTTTTATAAAATACGCTATTTAAATAATAGATTTTGCTTAAATAAATGTCCAAAATATATACATATATACATATATACATATATATAATGGGAACTGTAATTATAATATATAGAATTTAATATTAGTATTTAAATATTATGTTATATACACATATATAATATAATGATATAAAAATATATTATATATATAATATTAAAAATTGTATAGAAAATAATTATAAAACCAGAAAAAACTGCAATTTAAATTCTATGAGAAATCCAAGAAATTCACATGAAATAAATATACTAAATTAGATATGACAATAAAATAAAATATTATAATAATACTCTATAGGTATCGGGCCAATGAGCCAATCGAATTCGATGTGCTGTTCTGCTGGATAAATTCGAACTACTTGACTAACCCACTCGTTTATCGTATGATGAAGTTCTTCCACGACAGGACCTGTAAAAAAAAGTAAAAATTTCAAACATAATACGAAATACAATTTAATATGAAAAATACATTTTTACGCAAGGTAAATAAATTCTGCATGCAATACCTTTGTAAATTTCGTACGATCCAGTGTATTTAAAATTTTTGGCTGATACTTCTTTAGGTCTAAAAATGTACGCCCCAGATGATCTATTAACGAAGACTTTGTTGTTACCTTCGGCTCCTTCATAGTAATGGAAAGACTGTACGAGTTCCATGTCTTTCTGTTTGTTCCAACGTATTATTAAGTTACCGTCATTATTAACGGATATATTATATAACTGAAATTTGCATAAAAAGAAATTCTGTCAAATTATTTTCATAGTAACTATATTATTAATCTTATATTTTGCTTTTCAAGATTAACTTTGCATAATCAATCAAAAAAACTGATTTTATTCTGGAATTAACTAATGATTAAATATGTGTTTATTTTATCTATTATAAACTATTTTACACATATTTATCAATTGTGTGTCTATTAATATTAAAAAAAATTTATATATTAAATTATATCAGAAAATTTTTTCTCATATATTTTAATATTTAATGTTTTAAATATATTAATTATCATAATATTATTAATTAATCAACAATAAAATTTAATAATTAAAAACAATAAAAACAAGTAAAATAATTAATCAGTTTATTTAGCTTACAGTGTAAAAAAGTAACTTTAATAATTTAATTTATATTATTTAAAATTGATTCACACTTATATATTTATTTATTACCTCGCTACTTATGAATTCCAGTGGTTCAGATTGTACTGTCATTTCCTTATGCTGAATTCTGGAAATAGTATAGAGCGTCCAACCGAGGGCAGGAACGTCCGTTGCACGGAAAACAATCTCATTTGTCGCATTACTCAGCCTTCCTGGGATTTTCTGTATTCTTTCGGGAATCGGAACTATCTGGGGTGTTATAGACTGTCCTGTTCAATTCCATAAAAGTACATTATGTATTGTGCAAAAATTATTAATTCAATTATTTTATATATTTGTCTCATATTTCTTTATACTTTATATGTATATTATTTTGATGCATATATTTCTCGCTTTCTATCTTAATTAATACGTACCGATACTCGATAGAACCGAATAAGAATTGTCTTTAACAGGAAGACGAACATAAGTTGAGACAGGTCTACTTAGAGGATTGTACACTGCAACTACGAATACGTTATTTTTCTCGGAAAATGCGCACGAGCTAATGTTCAGCTCCAAACACGTGAAAATCTGGAAGGATGGTGTCGAGCTGTTCAATAATCCCGACCATTTCCTGTTTCACCAATATATTAATAAGATTGACTTTTGTATGATATCGTGCAATAGAAGCTTATATAATGCATGTAAAAATAATTTATAGTTTTTTCAACATATATATATATATATATATAATGAAAATAATATTTAGTTGAAAGATTTAGTCAAGTTAACAAATTTTTTTCAGTGCAGAGACTTACCCTATAGCCTCCGAGATCATGTCTCCAGCGTCAGCCATACTTTTGTACAATAAACGTGCATAATCGTCTGCGACAAATTGCTTCTCAGTACCTGTAACAGCATCGTGATGCTGCATTACTCCCATCGTTTCGCGGAAGTGTTCCAAGTTCTTATCGTGATTCTTCAAGTTTGTCAGAGCGACGAGTTGTTTGCTTGTCTGAAAACAAATAATTTATCTGTTATATCCTGCGAACGTAACCCATAGATAGATATAGAGTCTGAATATTTAATCAAATTATAATTTCTGACTTAATTTTATACCTGTAACAAGTTATTTCCCATACGCTCGAAGTACTTTGAAGTTGGTCTCGATGAGAAGTAGCCGGTCCAATAAGAATGAGGATCGCTCGCATACGGGAAGAAATCATCGCTCTTCGTGGGCCATTGAAGTTGCTTGTCGTTTAGGGCTTTTAAGTAACACGAGGGTGTCGAATAAATCACATTGACTCTTGAACCATTGCGCTGATTTGTGTATCTGAAAAAGTTATAGAAGAAATCGTGTTATAATATATTTATATAATCGGGATATTTTATTTTCTTACTTATAATATAATTGCAATCCAAATTGTATTATTTTATAAAATTTTTATTATGGTATCGACAAAACTAAAATTGTAATCACACACAGAAATATGATTAATTTAAAAAATTGATTAAAAAAACAAAATTCTATCCTTATAAATTTTATTAAGCACTAGACGACACAAGAGCGCGTTTCGCGCGCGCTTTTGATATTATTTCTATTATTTATTTTACAATTGTCAAATTGTTAATCTTCGCGATGACAGTTGCTTGATGCTACGAATATGATCATAATTTTATTTCGCCGAATTTCTATTTTGACTATTTTATATATACATGTATCTCTTTATATATTTTTTTCTTATTTCGTTTAATTTAATCGAATATAATTACGTGAGCGAAACGAAGTTATATTATTCTTTGATAATACAACTTTAAATATTGCAACGCAATAAAATTATTATTGCAGTGCACGCATAGAAATATATTTATTAATTATACGTGATTCATAAAAATTCAATATCAAAATTTTTAGCAGAAAATAAAAAATATAATTTTTTACAAGAATCTCGATCAAAATATCTGCGCTTCTATTAAATTCATGTGTCTGTATGTGTTTGCTATGCTGCAAGGCTCGTGCGAAACTGATTACGTGATTAGATTAATATACCCTATACATCTATTATGGTGCGCGGCTCGCACGAGACTGATTCTCGTGCGGGGTATCGCGAGCGCGGGACCGATGGTCACATGACCAGTAGTCACATGATCAGTGGTCACGTGACCTCGGTCTCGAGTTCGCGATACCTCGAACGAGAATCAGTCTCGCGCGAGCCGCGCAACGTGATAGATGTATGGGGTGTGGAATTCCGCGCGAGTCTAATAAAAGCGTACATATTTGATCACAAAAGATTCTTGTAAAAAATTTTATTTCTTTGTTCGTATTTTCTATTAAAGATTTAAATAAATTTTTATGCGTTGTATAATTAATTAATATATTTTTTATGCATTGATTGCAATAATAATATTTGCATGCATTGCATGCGTCGCAATTTTTGAGATTTTATTATTAAAGAATAATATAACTTCGCTTTGCGTGCGTAATTACATTTGGTTAGATTAAACGAAATGATATATATATATATATATATATATATATATATATATATATATATATATATATGTATACTACATAAATTTAGTATTTATAAGCAAAAGATTCTGTAGTGCTTGCTGAGAGTTAAAATTATATATCTCATCATTAAAAAACATTTATAAGACACATCACAAAGAAATTTCTCGTATCTCACCTGTTACATGATGCATTTTTTTAATTTCAGAAAGACTTCTGAGATCTTCATATTGATTTCATATATTTAAAAATTATTTATAATTTTGTTTTGCTTATTTAAATTATGAATTGCTAAATATATCTCTATTTATCGTAAGCAAAACTTTATATATATATATATATATATATATATATATGTATATATAAAAAGAAAACAAAAAATATTTTAATATTTTACTTATAATTAGTATTATATTTACTTATATTAATTATAGATATCTATACAGCCATAAGACCTAACCGGTCAAGTGCACTCTCGTACGAGATCATTAAAAAAAATAGATATCTATACAAACTTTATTCACATATAATGAAATCTATGCTCGATAAGAATGTCTCAAATGACCCCAGAAATCAAAGTGCGGATTCTACCTTTGGTAGAATTAATTGTAACTTACTTGATCAGTTTGTCCAAATTATTGAACCACATATCAGCCTGTTGATAATTAAAGTCATCCCCCATGGTAAGGATAATGTGATTAGTTCTGTAGGCACGTGATTGATTTTGCGCATACGTCAGGAAAAGCTCCACCTGCATATAGCGCATAAATTTTACTTACCGTAAATGAAAACGACGTTTTATTCGCGTCGTAAAACTCGTTTTCCATCCTTTCGTTTTTTCCTATTAGCGATATCGTCCTTGCAAGATAATTAATATCGCTTTTCTGCGAGTTCGCAAACGTCACTTTCGAAGAGACGTGTGCGAATTATGCGTGTATATAAAATTGTAAATTTTCGGTTAATACCTTATCAGCTTATCCAGATTCATGAAGTACATTTCCGCGTGCTGATAAGTGAAATCTCCTCCCATCGTGAATATGATATCATTCGTACGGTAAAAATTAGCTTGCTCAACCGCGTATCTCAGAAAATCATCGATCTGGCACAGAAATAATATTTATAAATATATAAATATATCGCATAGATTATGATTCTCCCATAGAATAAATGTTTTAAATTATTCGTGACTCGACTGTTGTTTTGTCAAATAAATAATAATTACGATTCTTTAAAGTTTTTATATATATTGCTTTTATAGCCTTTGTTAGTAAGAAAATCTTGCTAAATCAAAATTTGTGATTTTAATAAATTTTTCTCTGAGCTAGATAAATTTACAAATTTACAATTGCTGTGTCAGAAAGATTTTAAAAATCAACCATTAATCATTTCTCTCAGGCAAGTAAAAGAGTCTCACATTTCTTTCTTGTAAAAATTCTTAGTGTAAAAGTTTTATTATTAAAACTAAATTTTTTTTCAAGTGGAAAATATTTTCTTACTAAGTATTTATAGCATTGTTTTTTGTAATTAGCGTTACTTTTTGTTTATTAGAAATTGTTATTAACTTGTCGAGAATCAATTAATTGCCATAAAGCATCGTGTCAGTCTTATCATTAACATTTAAAATGAGTTAGTGTATTAGGAATATGATAACGACCATATTGACAATTTTACATACCTTTTTATCAATATTGTAATCCGGGCTATCAGGGTCATCAATTATTGGGTCGTCTTGGCATAGAACATCGAAACAAAATCCTGGTGGTGGACTGTAAGTGTTGTACATTGCAGCCGTGAATAAATTCGCTCGCTGGCCTGAAAACAATAATGTTATGTGTTGCAATTTTATCATGTAAAATTTAAAATTAATTTTTTCTTAACAAAAATGTCAAGAAAAATTATTGTTCACTTCTTTTCCATTTTTTATATATCTTTGTATTTAAATCTTAAAAAAAAAAATTAAGATTTTATTAATTATTAAGAAAACTGATAATAATAATATTAATATTAATATTAATGTCACTTATTTATCAAAAATTTTATTTTTAAAATTGGAGTTTCAAAGTTGAACTTGTCTTTTACCTAAACTCGGACTGCTCTTCCAAATAAATTCCATCGATTTGTCGATTAGTCTTTTACTCTTATCCTGATAATCGATGCGACCGAATAACATCCCGTCGAATCCCATCTGAGCGAAAAGAGAAGCCTGTTCTCTGGAATGACCGAATGGATCTATCTGCCATCCTATGTGCGGCCTGGCACAGCTTCCGAACGTGTCATTAAGTCGCCTAGGAATCGACGATTACGTTTATGTTAACACTTACAAATTAGTCGATTAAAATAAAAATTATTATTATATATTCAATATATTCATTGGTGTATTATAAACAATATATATATTAATGAGAAAAATATCAATACAATTTTCAAGCAGTTAAAAAGTGATAAAAATAATCTTGAAAAAAGATCCGGATTCGATCTAGTCACATTCAAGACCTTTTTCATCTATATATTTGAAATGATAAAAACACACCTGAATCCCCATGTAAACTGATCGATTATTGAATGATAGTGAGCACAAGCCTCATCGTTCATGCTCCATGCTCCTCCGATTATTTCCAATCGTCCTTCATTAATCAACATCCTTACGTCGGCCTGTACTTTTTCGTCTTGTTTTAACCACCATTTCCATAAGTAAGAAGTCTCCACGTAAATAAATCTGTAAAATTGATTGATATGAAATTTATACTCTTTTTGAAATGTTTCTATAACATGAGGAGAAATTCGTAAGAATATTAATAAAATGTTAAAAAAGTCTTTTCATAAAAAAAAACATATTAACATGTGTTGGATGTTGTGTGAATTTTTATCACGTCGAAATTTATATTTATATTGGCTATTATCAAAGACATTATTTAAAATAATTATACCTTCTGTTAGAATCAGCTAGCAAAGCCTTAATAACGCTATCAAGAATATACTGTACGCCGGCCAGTTGGATCTTAGAGCGACCTTAAAGAAAATAGAGAATTATTAATGTTAATAAAATATAACGTTCAAAAATATAGAACATTAATTTTTATATTGTCTATAATTTTCTCGTTATAATTTTAATTTTTTTATTTACTCACTTCCATAGTAATACTGATCCACAGTTTTTAGCCAACCGACATCGTCGTGAGTATGTGAAACCAGATGAATATTAAGTTTAGACGGATCTGTGGCATGACATGCCTGAAATTCATAAAATATATGTTTAGTATACGTGCTTGTAATCACTAAAAATATATATTATTTTTATCACTCGAGATAGCGTAATTAATTCCTTTCCCACAACATGCATATCTAAAAAATGTTCGTAGAAGATATACCAAAGATATTTTTAGGCGATAAGATTTTGAAATATCTTCTGACGACTTTTGGACGTTTTTTATGTATGCTGTGTAGAGTTAATTTAAAAAGAATTTTTTAATATAATATTTTTTAGAAATATAATATATAAGCAAAATTGCTTTTCTTATTCGCGTATGTCATTATTCTCATTATCAATCAATTTATGCGTGACAAGCTCATATCCGCCATTTATCAATTCAAGTTTATTAGTTATATAATAGCAATAATTTAATTCAATTTTTTCAGAATTTGAGATAATAGAATATAATAGATCTAAACTTAATTTTTCAAGTCTAAAATTAATATATTCAAATTTTCAACAAAATAAATTATTATTGCATTTTAATTTTAATGCTTTTATTTTGCATTGGTACTCTGTTACAATTGACAGACAAATATGTTGGTTATTTCATCGAAAGTATCAATGTTTTAAGCTAAAGTTGCTCACGTAATTTATGCATTTATTTATATTTCTTCTAATTTTTGTCACAAAAATAATCATGACAAAATTTCAATCACGATTCAAAAAATAATTATAAATGTAAGCATTAATTAAAGCAATATCCTATACTCTATATATAATAACAGACGCGTATTCGAATCGTTAACAAGAAATTAGTATACAATTCCGTAGAAACGAAATTGAGATCCGTCGCATTCCTCGTTGCTCCAATTAACAGTTAATTTGCTCGTACCTTATAGCCGCAATTCTCGATGACAGGCGGCGGTTCTGTGGATCGTGGTATTCGCGCCGCATCAACAAAGTGTTGCGCGAATAAAAGCGACAGAGGTAGAAGCAAAAGTTCGTGCCACAACATAATTGAAGGCTGCTGCTTCCTCCGATACGCAACGTATGTAACTCACTAATGAGATAACTGGTGCTGTCGCTTTATACTTATACTGTTGACCAAGTGTGCGTCATTGTGATAGCGTGTCCAGCACGACGAATAAAAGCAGACTGATACAGAATCATGATGGGCATGAATACAAAGGCGTAAGCATCGATTCGATGATCTTCATTGAAATATATTATTCCTTTCGAAGCACAAAAATGATTCCTTTTTTATTCAAAACAATGTATTTATGTCATGTACAAAATTCTTTCTGTAGCATTTATGTTGTAATTAATGATAGAATTTGCACAAATCATATATATATAACTAAACAGTATAAAAAAGATTAAAAGACATCTTAAATAAAGATATCTAAACAAAGATAAGATGTTTTTTAGGAATACGAATATACAAATATGAATGATGTTCCTCTCAATATATATATATGTCTCGCTAATAATTTGTCGCTAAAAAATATCCAAAATAAATTAAAATTGGCGATTATATATACGTATATATTTATATAAAACTTATCCATATATATATATCTGTGTGACTTGATTTTTATTAATTTAAATCTTCTCTTGTTTTCTTATTTTATAGATTTTATATATCAAAGAACAATTTTATAAATTTCTTTTTATTGTTTTTATTTGCATCATTTATTTTTTAACAAAACTGAAAAAGCAAAATTTTATAGCAGATTAATTTATAATATAAAATATAAGAATGTTCAGAAATTTTTTCCACATTTTTTTAAATAATGAAAAAGCTGATCTTAATTAAAAAACTGTTTTTAATGAAAAAAATTTATCAAAAATTAATATTTTATTGATATCTTATTTATGTTTGAGAATATAATTATCTATAGATAGGATTGTTGACGTATTATTGTCAGATGTTATCGTTTTCAATGATCTAATCTTGACTTGTTTTAAAATTGTTACGTAGAAACGTGCTATTTTTTCTTTTTGCGGGAAACAAAGTACACCACATAGACACAATAATTCTGTAAATAATATTTATATCGATAAATACACATTGATATAGTATATACATCTCGTAAATACGTATCAGAAGCGCGAATGATAAAGTTTTAGTATTCAAAAAAATTTTAAATAATCATATTAATGATTGCTTATTAATAAGAAATTTTATGCAAATAATAAATATTTTTATGAGTAGCAATATAATAATAAACAGATTAAAAATGTAACTTTTGATATGTATATTTAATTCTTATCTGTAATTCATTTCAGAGCGCGTTTGTTGTCGTCACTATCAAGATGTATCTACCGGAAATTGAAAATTTTATTTTTGATATGTAAATTTAATTATTATCTATAATTAATTTCAAAGCACTTGTTGCCGTTACTATCAAGATCGGATCTTCTACATCTAACAATAAGATTAGGAGATATACAGAGATAAGAGATATGGATAAAGGTTATCGACTAATCACAGCGAAAATTAGGAAAACAACATATATTTATTTGCATAATATAATAAAGTAAAATGCAATAAAATGTAACACTGTCAAAACATGAACAACGCTAAATATCTTAATAGGGGGTAGAAGAGGTAGAGGTATATCAAACAAAACGAAATTCCAAACATATCGTGAGTATGTCAGCGCCGTTAATCACGTAATCAGTAATGTCGCTATATTTATGAAGTATTATTTGAGTGATCGGAGCAGATTTAAGTTATGGCGCTGATGGTGAATGAATTCCACAGTGCAAAAACACATTCCGATAATTTTTGATGCCTTGGAAGAATTAGACTTGCGATTGATTTTTCAATTCCTAGAAAAAAAATGGTTTAATATTGTTTAATTTAATAAAATTTTATATTTAAAAATCCAAAAGATTTATTAAAAATTTTGCTTGCTTCAACTGTTATTTAATTAATAATAAAATCAAAATATTCAGTAGAAATGATACTAGAGTGTGAAAAAATCTATGTGAATAATTTGTAATAATTATGTTTAAAGAGATAAAGTGTTTTATATTGTATGTCCGCATTATATAAATATCTTTTTTTTATATTTTATAAATTAATTCATTATTGCATAATACACACATATAGATTATTTATATATAATGCAGATATAGATAAAATCTGATAACACATATATAAAGAAATTAAGTCATGATAATTTCGCGATACGTACTGCTTGTGTAAAAGGATTCTAATAATAAGATTTAAAATGATACTCCTAAAAATCAGAGTACATAATCTCCTGTGGTTTCTCGAATTTAATAGGTCGATAGAATGTAAGTGATTGATTCCATCCACGCGGTGCCGTATTATAATTAGTCAAATTATGGAGGCTGGCCAATTTCGGTCCAGTGTAATTATTATTCTCGTACAACTTGTTTCCTGAAAATTGAAAGAAACGTCAGATATAAATTTCTAGAAATATAAATATCTTAAAGAATTCATTGAGTTATAATTGAAATCGATATAACTTCAAAAATTATAACTTTCGATACGAGGACGGAAGAGTATTTTATATCACTCCTCGTATTTTCATTATAAAAAATAAATATTCATATATCTAGCTAAAATTATATCGATTTCGCTTCTTGAACTGCAAGAAAAAATTTTATTAAAGGGCGTCGTATATAAATCAAACCTTATGCAAAAAATTATATTAAAAAAATTCTTTTCGTGTCCTTGTATTTTGAGACAATTTTGTGTATCTTTTTAATACACAAGAAAGATTTCGTACTTCTTCACATAGTATCGCAATATGACTTAGTCTTAATTAAAATACATTTTGAAGTACTATCTAAAAGGATGTTAAAGATTGTTTTGCATATTTCTTTAGCGATGAGGATTACAAAAGGAGGATTACAAAAGCGCATGCGTGTTAACTTGCCTAATTCCGGGTTAACGTCACTGAGTTTGCACTCTGGCGTAGCGGTGCCTAAGAGATTATCCAAAACTGGCGTGCTACGCAGGTGCTTCTTGGTCTCGAGTATATCTTCCTGCGAAGCGACCATCGAGAGCATCAGCGACTTCGCTTCGGCCGGCATCTCAGTCTCGGTGTTAACGAATCTCGAATCGATGCCGTTCGCATAGAGCCCTTCCAATTCCTGCGAGGCGATCGAATGACGCCGAGTATCCGAATATTCGTCCTCGAACGCGAACGAGTACTCGCTGCTGTTGCAGCGATTTAACAGAGCGGAATTGCCGCAATCTATAGACCCGGCCACGTTCGGATACCCGTCAATTTCTTCCTCGGAATCACCGGTGTCGTCCGTCGTGTATTCGCTCTCGTCGGTGGAAACGTAGCCGTTGCATCGGGCCTGCAGCTTCGCCGATGATCCCTCGTATTTCTCCCGTGTATTGTAAAATTGTCCGTTGCATTGGGGCTGCAGCTTCCTTTCGTAGTTTCCACGTGTGTCGTATAATCGGCTGTTATATCGGGACTGCAGTTGGGTGGATCCTTCGTAGTTTTCGCGTGCGCTGTGTGATTTATTGTGAAATAGTTTCTCGATTCGAGAGATTTCGCAGCTGATTCTTTAATCTCTTCTGTCCCGAGATGGACAGATTATCTATATGTATTTTACAACTGCAGAATTAAGCGAAAGACACCTTAAACTTCATTTAAATGCACGCAACATTATGTGAATTATGTCTATTACATTTGCGATTAAACTATTTATTAGAAAAATATTACTAAATAAAAAATGAAAAATATTATACAATATAGAACAAATTAAGTTTCTATGATGTTTCCAAAATAATTATGAGCGAGACATTTAAATAATTTTGTTGCGAAAAGACGAATCAATGCTATGTATCTCGCGATAAAAAAAATGAAAATTATACAACTTATTAAATTATCATTTAATTTACTCCGAGAATCATTCAAATTCTCACCGTGCGTATTCCTCCTCTCCGTTATCATACTTGGCAGGATTTCTCGTCTCGAAGAAACGCGCTATGTCGTTATCCAAGGGACACTGTTGTACGATTGGAATGATCTTCGGACTGATCTGCTTATACTGCAGAATTGGTCTGCAGGTCTTCTCGAATTCTTGTATCAGTTGCTTCACTGGTACAGGAGTGTACTCCTTTTCTTCGTTATCATTCTGCATCTGGCCCTGTTGCTTATTTCCGATCTTATTGTCGAAACGTTGCTGAATTCCCGCGTCTTGATTATCATAGCTCTGCGCGTTGCAAAAGTTGGATTTCCTCGGTGACGGATAATGATTGTTAATGTATCTGTTATTGTTATTGGCGACAGCGCGATAATTGGCGATGTTAGCGCGCCGATCGTTAATGGATTCGTAAGCGATACGATTAGATTTCTCGACGATGGATGATCGAGATTGGTCCAGAGGAAAATCGGAGTCTGTGCCGACCGCAATTTCTCGCAGATAAATCTTTTTCACCTCGCTCGAGTGACCGCATCGATTAGTATTGCAGCAAGATCGATGCCTGTCTGCAACTCGCAAATTGAAATTGAAGCAACAAAACGTAGCAGTTATAAAAAGCCTTGCTGTCAAATCTTGTATATATAAGCAGCATCTTTTGCCAAAATTAAAAAAAAAGCGTACTTGAAAAGATCACACACAAAAAATATACATACATAATTAGTGTTTATATAAAAATAAAAAAGATGTTTTTTATTTTTATAATTAAATTTTAGCTCATTTTTAGATTTTTTACTCGGTCTTATATTCTATAATATTTTCTTTAAAGGCAAACTTTCAGATTTATATTTGTTTTTTTCTTCAAAGTAATATATATCCTTTTTAATATAAATATTCTAGAGTTATTTTATATGTATCAGAAAACTTAAATATATCTTTTTAATTTTTGTTTGCTTGGCAACATGAACACTTTAATGTATTATTTTATCGCGAGATTTAACATTTACTTTAAAATGCTTATTTAATCTTTAATCGATCAGTCAAGTTTGAAAAAAAAATAATTGGCAGATAGAGTTTATTGTTTGTTTTAGATATGCCGTTAACATGTCAGGCGCGCGCGTTTCACGTCGATTAAATAACATCGATAACGCTTGCCAATTAGAGCATCAAAGATCGTTCAACTCGAGCTTCAACTGACCGTTCCAACATTGATCTCTATTTCGGAGACGTGTCAAGTACCATCAACATTCTAGAACACTTCCCTATATTAACGTGTACGTCTAGTACAAAAAAGAGGACGAGTCTCTTCTAAAAATTTTCATATTTAATCAATATAAAATTGTATAATTATTATTATAAGTTATATTATAATTAATATTGTTATTATTATTATTATTTGTGAATATTAGCGGTATTTTATATTAAAAATATTTTTTAAAACAGAAATATCCTATGTCAGGATAACTGAAAATTTCTAGCGTGATTAAATCTGCTAAACGAGAGGTCACCTTGCATTTTCGGTGTCATTATTCTGTCAATCTCATTTACATGATACGCACCTGTTATTGGCATATTCGCACTCTCGACGGAAATGTCCACTGTAAAGGGATTATAAAATTGTTTATCAGTGCTTGAGATCGGCGTATAAGGTGTCAACGATGACAACGTTGCGACTTTCGCATTACCGTTAATTTCCTGAAACCATACAATGCAAATATTTTTTTATAATGAACGTAAAATGTCATATTATTAATTTTCTGAAATTACAACTTTTACAAAAGACATTATAACTCTTATCCTATAATTATAGTAAAATTTAATTGAATTTTTCAGAACAATTTTGGGAATTCAAGAGTAAGAGTATTTTATTTATTTAATTTAAACTTTTTTTCAGTGGGAAAAATAAGTTTGATTGATGATATAATAACAAAAAATTATTATTTTATGGATGTACATAAAGAATTAAAGTTAGCATGCAGTGATAATTTTATGCGAGAAAGACTTAGTACCGCTTTTTCCGGATACGTTGGCGTTTTTGGTGTGGCAGGAGTATTGGGTGTCTGTGGTTGTTCTTGGTCCACTACCCACTTTTCTGATCTTTTTCTGCGTTTCGCAAATATTTCAGCACCTACGAATTGTTTTGCCAACGTTATGTACACAATATATAATGCGTATATCATTTGGAGTTGGAAATGTTACAACTCTCAACAAAATTTCATTTTATATCATATTGTTATATCATAAATATTTAAATTAAATAGAAACTTAAATAAAAAATTATATTTATATATATATAATGTGTAATTTTATATGACATAATAATTTTATTATTAATTTTATCGTAACTTCTATACTCATTTAAACTACACACAGCACTTACCACGTCCTCTTTGATTATTCAAATCGCGAACAATGTCGAAAAGTTTCTCAGGATTTTTTGGTACCGGCGCGATATTGACCTCTTCGCCTAAGGCCTGAATACCCTGAATGTCCAACACTTTTCCGCATGGATTCATCACACATTTAAGGGGTAGTTTGTCCTATCGACAATAAGAGAAATTTTATTTCAACGCATAAGCTATAATTATATCGAAAGTTTCAAAGATATACAATTGCACACTCTTTACCTTATGAATAGTTGTGATCGATTCCTCTTCGTCCTCGACACCTGCGAAATGCTATCTATTATCACTGTATTATATTGTACAAATGAAGAAAGAAATGAAAAGGTGACATTCAACGATACTTTTAAATTCTTTTTATTTATGATTTTATAAAATAAAATTTAATTTAGATAGACTAATATCAATAATAAAATAAAAATGAAATAAAAATATAATTTAATATCTAAAAAGATATATATGCATATATTAAAAATGAATATAGACTACTTAATTTATTCATTAATGTTAAAATTCATGAGATTAATTGATCATGATAATTAAATTATCTTAATTATAATAGCTAATTTTTCTTAAAACAATGCAGTCTGATAATTTCACATAACACGAATATAAACATATGACGAAAATACGATAAGCATGCTTTTATTGTAGAAATGAATTATTTAAAACAAATTTTACGTTGCATACCATTTCCGTCGTGGATCCATTTAACAGATCGCTTTTTTCTATTCACGTACATCGACTGCCCTTTACTCTTGACGTTTTTCACGTCGCTAAGCGAATGCGAAATCCGACGTGCAAGTTCAACCTGATCCTCGACTGTAGGATGTGTCGGTGCGTAAAAGTACGAGGACGCAAACATTTTCTCTGAAAATTAATTTTTCACGTTGTCCTTAAAATCTCGAATGTATCCTTTTCTTCTGAAAGCTTCATAAATCGTATTCTAGCATATGAATCGACTGACACGTTTGTCATTTCAAGAAAATTTCTTTTAAAATATATTTTTTTTATATATTAATTATAAGAGAACCTACTGTTTTTTGATTGCAGTATCTCATTAGAGTCCGATGCCGGAGTAAGTAACTTTTGCAAGTTAAGTTTCGGGATAGTCTCGCCCCCTTCCTGCAGTTAAGAAATAACCATCGTTCAAATAGAATCAGTAACATTATGTAAAATATTTTAAAATTATATTATTATATTTCCTTTATCTCTGAATTTTCTTACCAATCTCCATTCAATTATCTTTTAGTCAAATTCCCGAGAAATCAACATTTTAAAAAGTTATATTTAATTAGCAATAAAGAACATTTTAATAAAAATAAAAATTATTCCAAAATCTAAATTTTATATGAAATTTAACTAAACGAAAGTTTAAGGTTTATCCGAAATTGTTCAATGTTAAAAGTTATACAGAATAAGTATAAATATTTAATCACGTTTGATTAAACAAATATCGATTCAAAATTCACACAAATAAAAGAGCGATGATTTGCTTATATATATAAAAGTGATGTAAAATAAAATTTTAAGGCACACTGAGAATTGAATATGCTTCTTCTTATTATACAAAGCTTCAAAGGCTCGACATGTTAACACCGTTCAACTCACCATTCAAAATTCACACAAATAAAAGAGCGATGATTTGCTTATATATGAAAAAGTGATGTAAAATAAAATTTTAAGGCACACTGAGAATTGAATATGCTTCTTCTTATTATACAAAGCTTCAAAGGCTCGACATGTTAACACCGTTCAACTCACCATGCCGAAGTGCAATATTTTTGAAGTGAGATTCTCGAGGAAGTTCCTTTTGACTGGATCGTGTCTGTCGGATGGCTTGTAACCGCGCGAACGAATTATAACATTGTCCGCGGATACGCTACGTTGCAAACAATTCTTCTCCTGTACGGAAGCTTCGCTGTACCTCACGCTAGACTTGTACTCGGCATTCTTGGTGCACCCGTACGACGTGTTGCTCAGAATGTTGAGCTTGGCGTTAGCCTGTCTGCGGACATTCGAAACGTTCGCAACACGATACGAATCCTCCATTTACGCAAACTCTACGAGATTTCGCGATGATCGCATAAACGTAGAGAATTAAATACAGAAAGTTTTGTAGCTACTGTAAAAAGTAGCAGTATTTCTCGGAAATTATTACTTTAGATAAAAAAATAGAAACATAACTCCTGTTCTGAATTAATTAAACCTCTATTTTAATTACATTACATGAGAGATCTTTAATTTTAATCAATTTTCAATTTTTCTTTTTAATTTTATTTAAATATAGAGATTGAAAAAATATCTAGAGAATATTTTTTTAGTCTTTATTGAAAGGAAAAATTGTAAATGATTTAAAGATTTCTCATTTAATATATTAATTTTTGGTGAATATAAAATGTTCATCCAAATTATTAAAATTTATGGACAAATTCTCTGGATTAATTATTTCATCATGAGCGACATTAACATTAGTTCAACAATTATTGCCAATAATATTGGCAACCAATGTGAAGAAATACAAGTGTAACGTTTATAAAAATGCATAGAGCTGTTTCGTAAATAAAAATAAAAAATGATTAAAAACACATTATATTTTCATATTTTTTGTAAAGAGTAAATTTTCAGTATTAATTAAAAAATTATTGCTTGATATTACTAATTAATTTAAAGAATATTGTTTATTTTGTGTAAAAGTGATCGGTAGGATTTTTTAGTTCAATGATGCGTCTAATCCCTCATAAAATTTGTTTATTATTTTAACGTGAGCGAGCGATGGAAATTTAAATCCAGCAGTTAAAAGCGAAAACTCGGTTGAAGTTTACAACCGATTTACTCGAGATTTTCACTTTTATCCAGATCACTGATTGATTGTACAAGATGTGCGAAAGAAAAACACGAAATTCTACCTCGGCCGACGTACTGTGAAATCTGCCAGAGCTTTTTTGACGACGAGAAAATTGGTTGCCTTCCAAGCAGCCAATTAATTCCGCGTCGCAGTATTGGCAGTGCTACAACGAGCTCTGTGTAAAAGAAACGCTAAATTTATCTGTTGTAACGTAATACGCAATAACAGTTCGAGTTCTGTTATCCTCACGACGGAAGCGCGATCGGGAACCGTATTTATTCGAGATGCGTTGCGCAGAAAAAATAATAATGTAATGCTATGTACGATAAAGTTGACGTCTCGATCCGAGATTGCAATTACATAGACGTCGTCTATGTAATAATTGCATTTAATAATAAATTACTTCCTCGTATACAACGAAATGCTTTGTTTAGTTTTGTAAATATGTTAAATTAATTTAATATATCCAATATTTAAGTTAAATGCGAATAATATATACGAGTTAATATTAATATTGATTTATAATTATTAATATTTGATTCTGAATTTTTTATACTAATATGTAAGTATGCTTCACATATTTGTTTGCTTTCTCTTTCAATTGTGTTAATTCGTATTAGGAAAAGTAATATGACGCGGTTCAATTCTAGCCACGCAATGGAATCGATACTTTGCTTTAAATAGATTGTTTGGTGGATGTTTGAGAGTTTCAAAGTCGGTCAAGCTGTTCGCGGTACTATAAGCTTTTTGGCAGACTGAAATTTTGATAAAGTTTTAACAGATCAAGAAAAAAATAGAATTTCTTTGTTTTTATAATTTTACTGAAGAAAAAAATGAAAATAATTTATTCTCCATAATTTTCCAAAATAAATCTTTTCTATGCATATATCCTTTAAAATTCGGAAGTGCTCTTTAATTTCTCTCATATTTTCCGCAACTATGATTAAACCTTTTGGATAAAGTATTATCGTATGATTATATGATGTTACATTCAATTCATCATTTATCAATTATGAAATAGTAGGCATATTAGTAAACACGATTGACATTTATTTTACACGCTCTCGCAAAAAAAAATTCTCTCTCGCACACAAACGATAAGGAGATTAGTAAAAACAAAAGATGAAAAAACCGCACATGACTCGATAAGAGTTTGCACTTTCTCCCTCTCTCACGATCTCATTTTTTCTTCAGAAACATTGCAAACAGAGATTTTACTTATCAAACGACGATCTCCTCATCGCGACGTACGCACACACACACAGAAAGAGAGAGGGTCAATCGTGTCCCTTCTTCGCCCACACTTTGTTTTCCTCCTTTCCTCACGATTTATTTTTCCTCTAGCTTTACGTAATGCGCGACACCTCGGCCTAAACGCTTTGCCGAAGGTGGTCCGCCTAAATCCACGACGAGGGCTCCCTCGTTACGAGAAGCGAATCTCGCATCTTGCAAAATACTCCCTGGCACACACTGACCGTTTCAACGCGAGAGCAGGCAGTGGACCAGGAGTCGTCATCATCTCATCGCCACCGCCACCGCGACTCTCTAGAGCCAACGGTTACGGACCGATTCATTGATATAAAAAGAGAAGAAAAGCGAGAAAGAGAGAGCGAGAGAGCCGGAGGGAAACAAATTTATTTTTATATCGAGCAAACTGCAGCGCGAGAATCGTTGCAAATTCTATATGTCTTGCAGTCTCCAGCAGAGATTTCTGCCAAAGAAAATATCATTGTCCGATACATCGCGGTATCGATTCGATTTATCGCTCGCTTCGCCTACAATCCTACATACGTGATAATTGATATCTTCCGGAACGGATCGACCGGTTGGCGAGAGAAATGTCACTTCCGTGGTGAAGGCTCTCGTGTCTTTCTCTATTTCACGCGTACTTCTTTACAGCTCTACACTGCTGGCTGCTATCAAGAGTGTGTACGCCTCGCAACTTCTCTTCGCCGCAATGATCCGTCGAGCCCGTTGGCCGGGTCTGCACTTACATGCGACGAATTACAAACACACGGCCGGCGCACACGGTGCTTTATAATAGCGCCCAAACCTAAGCTATACAGCGTCTTCTCGTCGACTGGCTTGGGACGCCTTTCGGTAAAAATAGATCATCAGAAAGCGACACCTCAAGACTCGAGTCGAGCCAACGACGGTTGTCCGTTGCAACGTACCCAGCGAACGACAAATTGTTCGAGTTGTTCGAGAGTTCATCGTTTATTAAACGATCGCTCTAATAATCTATCCATTCTAACAACCTAGCTTCTCTATATAAGTGTTCTGGAAATACTGAAATATTCAAGTGTACAAACATTTCGAATAAAATTATTCATTGTGCTTTCAAATATTTTTTTTGTAATATTCGTCTCTGAATATTAAGAATACAATTCGAAAAAAGAGAAACATACGTAGACTATTCCATAATTATTATAATTATAATGATTAAATTCCCAATTATTAATGACGGTCACTAGTATTTAAATAGGAGTTTTGGAAATAATCGATCAAACTAGCAAGTAATAATAATCGTTTATTAAATTTCACGACGTTTCGACCATATGGTTGTCCTTTGCAAGTGAGAAAGTAAATTTAGTAATAATTAACTCATCATACAGCAATAATCATCAATTTTTAGTGAGAAATATACAAGTCAAAATTAAAATTAAATTGAAATTGTGAGACAGCCACAACAAAATATCCCAACAAAAGATCGTCAGATTCTTAACCATATGATCGAAACGTCGTGTTTAATAAACGATTATTACTTGCTAGTTTGGTCGATTATTTCCAAAACTCCTATTATAATTATTATTATTATTAAAAATAAGATATAATACAGAGAAACAGAAAAGAAATTGATTGTAATGCATTTAAGAATATAAATGAATATGTATTATATGTATTGTTTATGTAATTGTTAACTTGAAGTAATCTTACATTTACTTTCAATCCCAATCATGGATATCTTGAACAATATCTGTATTTTCTTTTGGCAAATCATCATCTTTGATATTGTTGACTACTTTTTTTTTCTTTTTAAGCTTTTTCGTCTTAGTAGGTAGCTTTTCTGTTTCCGTTTTATCGCTTCCGCTTTTGGTTCCTTTCACCCAAAATTCGAGCTCACTCTCTTCTTCGCTATCCTCAGCATTTTGTTTATCAAGTTTCCGTTTTTCCGATTTTTTCACAACAGGTACATTAAATTCTTTTTCAGTCTTGTTGAGAAGTTGAAGTTGTAGTGATTCGTGAAGCTTAATCCAAGAGGCACAGAATTTAGCTATCGCTGTGCCATCCGTCTTTATCCTATTTTCCCAATTTGTTATTTGCATCGTATTTTTTAAATCAATCGTTACTTTAGCGCGCTCATTCTCAATGTACTTTCTATTTTCCTCGATCATAGATAAAAGCTGTTTTATTTTCTTGGAATAAATTGCTACATGGCACTTCTTCAGAAACGCCTTTAACTAGAAAGCAAAGAATATATTAATTCTCTAGAATATCTATAATAAAAATTATATTCTTAAAACTTTTTTATTGTTTTTACGTACTTGTATTATACAGGGTATAAACATATCAGGGAAATATAATTTATGGCTTTCATTTGCGGCATATTGCAATATAAGTTGATAAATGTTTTCGATAATACTATCCTTGAAACCATTCTCTTTCAGTTCTGATTTTGACATTCTCAGTACGCAAATAAGTGGTATAGGTTTCATAGAAACTGCCTTGTGCTTTTTATTAAAATCATAAGAATCTAGAATCTAAAGAGAAAAAATTAAATATAATTAAAATACAATTTAAATTAAAATCTTTCAACATTTTGTCATCATAATTATTTAAGTTGATAATAAATACCTCAAGAACGAACGGCAAGATAGGTATAAACGTTCCTGTCTCCTTGGAGATTGTTATTAACATATTTAAACAATGGAATCGTAATGGATAGTATTGCACAGTTGGGCAAACTTTTATTGTTCCACAAATAATCTGTTAATAAATAATATAATGTATTTATATGATAAATGATCATACTATTTTACTAATTATATTATTTTTCTTTATTTTAATATTCATTTAAATACCTGGACTAATGGATATAATAAAGATCGTAATATTGAATTGTTTTTCAATCTTGTTATTAATTCTGTCCAATAGTGTAAGGAATTAATATACTGCCAATTATATACAGCCTCAAAGTTTTCCTAGAGAAAAATAAAATTTTAGATATTCATAGTAAAATTTAAAAAATATAATTATCACTTTTAATAATTACCTTTTTCTTTAACGTTATTGCATTTCTTAAATGAATCGCTAATTGTCTGATATACAAAAAAGCATGGCTATATGAAAGATTATGATCTAGTAGATATATTTCAACCAAAGATTGTCTCATAAAATTTATTCCTGGTAATGTATTGGGTGATACAAATTTTGCATTCTGAACGTATTTTATATACATAGTCTAAAAAAGAGAAATATTAATGATACCTTGAACATAAATATTTTTTTACATCTTTTTTGTAACTTTTTTTATAACATGTTGATCTCACCTTTAACAGCTTCTCAAGTGTAGATTCTTTGTGACTGGTTGCAATACGTAAAATATTTATAAAAGCTACAACACGAACAGTTTCTTCTCCAGTTGACCAAAACTTCAATAAAATCCTTAACAATGGTTTAGTCAAGGACGAGAATGATTGTGTGTAAGGTAACATTTGACGAAGGTGCTTTAAAAGCACTTCGAGTATACTGGAAGATGTTACACTTCGCAATAACTGTGAAAAAAATGTTTTTAATATATATATGTACATGTAACATATTTATTATTTATTTGTCCTATACAATAAATAAAAAATTTAATAATACATACTGCAATTAAATCTGACAAGTACGATTTTAAAATTCCTCGTATTTTTCTAAATCTTTTAGATTTATGTGGTTCTTGCGATTTTGGATCCAATTTTAAATAGCGCTTAAATGCATCAGGCAAGTAAAGTATACATAGTTGCACCACACCATTAAATACTAAAAATAATTTTTGGTAGTTAACAAGTTACACTTAGAATTATATTTAAGAAACAATAATGGGCTCGATATGTAAGTTAAAACTTACTCGCACTTCCTTCTACTTTATATTGGATGTTTGTGTCAGGATCAGATGAAACTGCAACACTGTTTAAAGCTGCATGGAACGCTTCTACAGCACGTTTAATACTAACTATTGATCTATAAATTAAAAATAATATAATTACACTTTATAATAGAAAATATAAAACTTTACACTTTATAAAATAAAATAATGCAATTACACTTTATTGTTAGCTCAATAAAAAAATGAATAAGAATTTACTTGTCTGTTTGTATTTCTTGTTGCCAAGTTTTTAGTAATTGTATAGTGATCTTCTTAGAATCACCTTCAACTTCCTCTGGTTGGAAATCACTATCATCACTAGCAATCTAATAATTCAACATAATTCAACATTATTGTTAAATATAAAAATACCAATTAAAGTTATATCTAGAAAAAAAGATATACCTCAAGGTTTTCATCAGGCATGTGTCTATTATCATCATCACTCATTGAAGAGTTATCGTCATCTTCATCATCTATGTTAAAGTCCAAAAGATTTTTGTCATTCTCTTTCAAATATTTATAAAATTCAGGATCAGTATCTTTCAATTTCAGCAATGCTTTTTTATGTTCTACAGGATCCAAGTTACTTTCACCACTATCGCTCTCATTGTCAGCCTGTTCATAATTTTTATCACCTGCGTAAAAGTTTAATGAGGATCCACAATTTAAAATCTAAGAGAAATCCAAATATTATATAAATCATACCTATATTTTTAGTTTTTTCATTATTATCTCTCTCATTATCACTGTCTGTATCAGTATCTTCAAAATTTTGGCCAAGAAACTCTTCCGTAGTTATTTTGCTTAAATCTCTTTTATGTTTTTCTTTCTTGGTAATTGCTAATTTCTTTCTGTTGGATGATTTGAGAGATCCTTGACTTACTTTCTTCGGTTTCATTCTTTAAGATTTATTTAAAATCTAGAAATTATATAGAAAACATATTTATGAATTGTAAATATAAAATATAATTAAATTATACATGAATAACACATGAGGTTAGGATATATGTAATCTTTTCATTCTTTCTTTTTATTTTAACTATCAACTAATTATATATATGTATATTATAAATATAATAAAAATTCTTTATTTGTATTCTTCATCTCTCGAAAAGCTATTAATAAATCAAGTATACTAAATATACTTACAAATACACAAAAGTATACTCAATTGCCACGTGCTCTCGTGCTTCACAACTGACCTGACTCATTCATCCACATCCACAACTCCCCTGCGCACAGAACAAAATGCGCACGCGCAAACTTCAAGTTTATATGAATATATTTGTATAAATTTCCATCAAATATAAAACAGTTATTATTAAATTTAATAATTAATTATGCCTATGAGACAATTTATTAAATATATATTGATATATTATATAGCAACAAATTTTTGCTTTACAACTAAATAATAATTTATTATATAAATAATATAAAAATAAAAGTATTTTAGATATATAAAATATATATACTTTATATATATTATATACTTTATATAATAAATATATATATTTTATATATAATATATACTTATATATAGTATATACTTTATATATTTTTTAATATTAAATATATAGAATATATATTTATATATAATGAGTGTATATATACATATAATTTTAATTCGCCGAATTTCAATTATGTGTATATAACTTTAATTACACAGATAGCCACAGTAATTATTATGACATCATTTTGATGTCAAAATGCATCATTTGCCATCAAAATGATATGTCATAATAATTACTGTGGCTATCTGGGTACCGAATTTTTATTAAATATACATAAATTTAATTCGCTGAATTTTTATTATAAATCTAATTTAAATTCGTCAAATTTTTATTATGCATGTAATTTTCATTTTTTACTTTTCATTAAATATATAATTTTTTAATTATAATAATTATAATAATGCAATAAAAGATATTATTCCATATCTATTCAATTCTAATTTAACTTATTTATGTGCATAAAAAATTATAATATAGAGATACTGTATATATATATTGTATATACATAAAAATTATAATTTAGAATTGAATAGATATGGAATAATATCTTTCATTGCGTTATTGATATTTTTTATTGCGTTATTGATATATTCAATATTTTTCTTGCAAAAGGAAAAATTATTTTATCCATTTATTAAAAATTTTCATAATAAGAATATTAAAAACCGTTATTGCTTGTTGTGAAGCTATAAAAATAATTAAATATATATATGCAAAATAATTCTGTGGATATATCCTCTTTAAATTATTTGTTTTATTTTGATATTTCTCAAATTAAAGCATGTGATTCAATTTCATTTAACTTAAATTAATATAAATTATACTACTTGATAGCAAATTAATTCATGTGTAATGTAATACCTATCATAATTAATTTGATAAAATTTAAAATATATATTTACACATATTAATGAAATAACAATAAAAATTAATATTACAAAAAAGAGATAAAGAAAAAATATCGACTTTATATAAATATTTATTTAAAAAATTAATTATTTTTATTAATTAATTATTCTTGACGTATCATATGTTCAAAAATATATAATTGCAATAATATTCAAATTTGTAGTTAATTGGTATAACAATTTTCATAAAAATATTTTTTATAATTCTTTTTACTTCTAAAATATTCTCCCTCTCATTGCATATATGCTTATGATTGCAATGATTAATTATTAAATTATTTGTGAAGAATCTATTTTATAAATTTTAGACTTAAATTTAAGACATCCGCATTTTTATCCTTTTCTTTTTGACATATTCGTCGATACATCAGGAGAGAAAGATCGCCAACCAGTTAGAAGTAACGGGTACGACGACCGCGTTCTATAAGGAAGGCAAGGACCGTGGTTAAAAGTTGCGTAGACTTGTGAAAGAAATCGAAGAAGCAGGAACCGTAAACGATCTCATTTCTCTGAAAAATCTCAGTCGTGTTAAAAGCAAATGCGCGCGGAAGGTTCGATCTCATTCGGTTTTGACAGGAATATGTCGCTTCTAATCATTCTGCTGAGTGCTAGCGTTCTTTTAGATTGCTGTGTATTCAGTGTATCAGGTAAGTCAATTTATATTGTCGATATAATTATTTATTGCTACGTATTAAGATAAATCAATATTTTCTCTTGTATATCACATCTCGTGTATCATATAGAAAATTTGTTAATTAAATTGCATTTATATATATAAAAGCTGCAACTATACACACGTCAAAAATAATTTTTATAATTCAACTGCAAATAAAAATATAATTAAATATTTGTTGCACGATTTTGAAAATTCAGCTATACAGATATACCGCGCACGCATGCAAAAATGTATTATAAAATAAATATTTACAGTTTTCACGTCACTCTGAAAAAAAAATTATTATTTTACTTTAAAATAATATACAAATCGGAAACTGTTTTCCTTTAATGTTAATCTCATTATATTTATAAAAAAACTTTTATTTTTGAAAAAGTATTATATTTAACGAAAATTTTTAATATTGTTACTGCAATAAAAATTTTCTTGCAAACAACTCTTTCTCTTTCACAGAGGAACACAAAAAATTGACAACTGATTATCCATTAGATGCAATAAATACAAATACAATGAATGCGCCATTAACACCTTTGCCAAAGAACGAAGTACGACAATTTCAAGGAAATTATCCTATTTTTCCATTTATACCTGGATACAGACCGCAAAAGTAAGTTTAATTGAAAATTCTACATATAGATTAACAATATATTATTCATATACATATATATATGCAGGAAATTTTTATATAAATTTATATATATATATATATATATATTTTTTTTTTATTGCAATACTTTTGTATTATCGATTTATCAATAATATTTGATACAATACTAAATATTATTAAATGTTAGATATTTAACGTCAATAACTTTTTTATTTTTTTTTTTTACAATTTTATACTGTTTTTTCTATTAATAATAAAATACGAAGATTATTCCGAAATTTTATAGATTGACAACATTGTTCAGCACAATGAAAAAATTGTAAATCAATACTAATAATAATTTATATAAACTTTCAAAATTACTCTATTTAAAATAGAATACATAGAATACGGATTCTACTTCTGAATCCCAATATGTATCATTAAGGGCCGATTTTTCTAACTTCTCGGTAAGTTTTACTACCTGATAGGTAGCACATTTTCGTTTCTTTTCAGATAAGTTCTAAAAAAGAGAAACAAAGATATGCTACTTGTCGGGTAAAACTTATCAAGAGTTAGAACCACCGGCCCTAACAATTTTTTATGTTATATACAAAAGATTGTTTTTTTTTCAAGTTATCAAAGCAAAAACTCGATAAAAATGTTTAGTATATACCTATATACTTTAATTCAATTTAAGAAAAATTTATGAATCATAAATTTTAGTTTAAATAATTGTTTTTAAGTGGCAGAAACACTTTTAAAATCAAATAAAGATCACTATCAGATGACTCTCTCAACGCCAAACAAATTTTATTTCATATTTCGAAATATAAGTTTGAAACACTTTAATTAACTCATTCTGTATGTATCTAGTATTTTATATAAATGTTGATTATTCAATAATAAAATTGTTAATAATGTGCATACAGTATATGTTGTAATAATGTTGTAAATTCATGGTATTAATCAATTTACTGATTTATTATATATAATTTATTACATATTGCATATATGACATACATATTGCATTTATTACATATTGCATAATATTGTTAATATAGAATTTTTAAACCGCTCTTACATTATCATTGGCATAAAAGAGTTATTTTTAAAGTCAAATAAAGATCAGATAACCCTCTCAACGTCAAACAAATTTTATTTGATATTTCGAGATATAAAAGTTTTGTAACACTTTAAGTGACTCATTTTCTGTATACATTATCTATATGTATACAGTATTTTAATTATATAAATGTTGAAAATGCAATAATAAAATAATTAACATATCAGTATTTTATCATTAAACTCTCTGATATAATAATAAATATGTATAAATTAAAAAGATAATGAAGCCAATATATATATATATGATATATTACGAATACTATTTTCGTTACAGATGTCCCCTGTGCGACAGTTCGGTTTATCCTTACTGCGGCGAAAAATTATTACATGATGCCTGCTGTTGTGTCGATTCTCACGATCTACCTTATCAATGTAAATTAGCGGATTGCCGATTTTTGCACGCCAATAGTTGTAGGGAACATCGATTAATTGCAAACTGTTGCTGCAGCGATGATTATCGCGCTGTCTTGAAGACTCTCGCACAAAGCTAAATCTATTATATATTCCATAATTTATCGCTTGTGACAGAAATTATTATTATTAAGAAAATAATTAATGACAAATAAAATGTGAATTTTATGCTTTGTCTGTACTAAAATTAAATAATAAATTGTTATAAAAAAGTAAATAATATATAGAAATTAACACAATAAATAAAGAACTAAAAAATAGAAAACAATGCAATTACAATAAGAATATATATATATATATATTGGGTTGTTCAAAAAGTTATTGCGTTTTTTTCATTTGATTTTCAGGTGCGTTTATTTAATATACGTAATGAACATTAATCAATAATATATTGGCCGTTTTGTTCAATGACCTTTTGCCATCTCTCGGGCAATTTCATAATACCGCGTTCATAAAACTTCCTATCTTTCTCTGCGAGAAACTTGTCAAGGTGCTGTTTGATGAGGTCTTCAGAAGCAAACGTTTTACCGTTCAAGGAGTTTTGCAAGGAGCGAAATAGATGGAAGTCTGATGGCGCAAGGTCTGGGCTATATGGTGGATGTGGCAACACATCCCAACCAAGCTGCAATAATTTTTGCCGAGTGACCAAACTTGTGTGTGGTCTCGCATCGTCGTGGTGAAACACCACACCCTTACGATTGATCAGCTCGGGACGTTTCTGTGCGATGGCATCACTTAATTTCTGTAGCTGCTCACAGTAGACATCGGAATTGATCGTTTTATTCTGTGGAAGCAGCTCATAGAAGACTGGTCCCTTCCAATCCCACCAGATTAACAGCATCACCTTCTTTTGGTGGATGTCCGCCTTTGCTTGCCTTTCCGGTGCTTCATCTCGCTTACTCCAACTCCTTTTTCGGCTCACATTGTTGTAGACAATCCATTTTTCGTCGCCCGTGATCATACGCTTCAAGAACGGATCGTTTTCTTCGCGTTTGGTGAGTTGATCGCAGACGTTCATACGCTTTGTCAGATGAATTTCTTTCAACTCATGCGGTACCCAAATATCGAGCTTCTTCACGAAACCAAGCGATTTCAAATGTCCATGAACACTTCCAATGGACACTTTTAGAGCGGTAGCAAGCTCCCGAACCGTTGAATGCTTATTTGCTTGCACCAATGCCTTGATTTTATCGTCGTCAATCTCGGAAGGCCTACCGGAGCGATGAGCGTCTTTAACCGAAAAATCACCACCACGGAATCGGGCGAACCAGTTCTGGCACTGACGTTTTTCAATGACATTTCTGCCGTAAACTTGACGCAACTCTTCCCTTGCTTCAGTTGCTTTCTTCCCTTTTTTAAAGTAATAAAGCAAAATATGGCGAATATGCTCTTCAAAATTCTCCATGTTTAAACTACAATTGCAAGCACAAAACTCGACTAAATTGCGTCAACTTTTTTTTTGGTTTTTAGGTTAAGTGTCAACAACAAAATGTGCATAAACATTTGACATTCATGGCACGCTCAGATACAAATAAATGTGGACAGCGCTATCTATTGGAAAAAAACGCAATGACTTTTTGAACAACCCAATATATATATATATATATATATATATATATATATATACATACAATTATTATGATATAAAATTAAAACATTTTAGAATTTTTTTCTCTAATGATTCCTCTAATATAATTCAATAATAACATTATTGTAGAACATTTTTTACTCAAGAAAAAAATAATATTAATTTAATTAATTATTTTTATGTCTATAAAAATATCGACATAAAAAATGACCAATATCTATAACTTTAATTTTATTGTGCGCAGGTAAAATTGTTACTAGTTTTTAATATAGTTCTTAGGCATTTTGTGAATTATGGATTATTTAGGTTCAAATTTCTAAAAATCTAGGAACTAGAAATTTAAGCGTCCAATTCTAGAAGCATATAATTTTAAAAACACACTAATGCACTGGGATCGCAAAGATATAATCTCGGTCGCAGGAGACTCGACGGAAGTGATTCGTCTTCCCCGATAGAACGATCAGGAGAAATGCACGACAGAATAAATTGCCATGCTTAGGGTCGGTTGTTCCAACTCTTGATAAGTTTTACCCGACAAGTAGTCATATCTTTATCTCTTTTTTTAGAACTTATCTGAAAAGAGACGAAAATATATGTTACCTGTCAAATAACACTTATCGAGAAGTTGGAAAAATCAGCTCTTAGCCGGAATCCGCGCGTTGACCCTCGACGAAACGGGTAGTCGGTTCGTGGAGCTCAATGCGTCAAGGTCATACACGTGTCGTGCTTCGTACCCTTGATCGGGCACGTGCACCCCCACTTCTCGCATTTGCGATGACTAAGTATGAATTTGCGTTTCCGAAACGCCCTCGCTGTATCGTTCCGTCATCAAATGTCATAAACCGAATGGAGGAAAAAAGCGTAATTATGCGACGGGGTCTACAATAGAATCATAAAGTCGTAAATCGTAAGAAATTAACCAATCATAGTCGATTATTCTCATACTCAACTGTCATTATAGTCAATTTCTTACATTCTTATGTTTACAATTCTACGTAGACCTCGCAGAATATTCGTAAGATACAGTACCCTCCATAAGTTTGGAGACATTTTACATTTTACAGAGCGATCTGTGTAAACTTTTTGTATCAATAAATCGTGAAATATTTAAATGACATTTTCATTTATGTTATATAAAAAACATATTATATAAAAAAACATCCCATTAAGTTTATATATATTCTTGTATGTTACGAATATTTCTTTAGAGAATTTTTCTCTTAAATTAAAAGGATCCTTTTGACAGATCTGTGCAGATATTTTGTATATAAATAAATTATAACATAAATAAATCATGAAATATTTAAACATTATTATTATTTATAACAGATCGCTGCCATGCAATTCTGTAACTATAAAATGTAAGGAATAATTATAATCCTAAACTTATGGAGGATACTGTATATATATAGATGTCAAATTTACATCATTTTGACTTATTTGTTCTTCTCGGGGTTATGCGCAATCTTCTTAAATTGATAATAATAAATAAAAAATGATAACTTTTTTTTACATTATGTGATATTCTCATCCTATCGAAGATTTCAGTCAAATCGCGATGATCAATGAGATCATTAACGATATCGACTGACAATAGCTCGAATACTGGCATTTCAGCGGCGTTAAACGGATGATTTTATTTATTGATATAAATGCACATCGGATATCCGATATGCATTTATATCAATAAATGAAATTATTATATGATTCATAACGCGATACGTAATAAAACTCAATGATGAAAAGATCAAGGTTATACACACGTGTCTCAGATAATCTATGGCACTGTTATTATTTTTGATGCCACTTGGCTTGAAGTTTTATATAGAGGATATATGTTGAAAGATTTTCTCACAAAAATCTCCCCCGAATGTGGTCTGATAAAGACGTGACAGAATGGTTCTTCGCTTATTTGAGAAAAAAACAATATTATTTTTTCTCATTAATATAATTGAATGTCTAGACTGTCTTATTTTTGCAGATTAATTATTGCGTATACAAATCGGTATTTTAAATCTTTGGAACTTTTATCTATCAATAAGCTTTTATTTCTAACAAAAATTGAAAATGTGTGACAGTGATTTAATAAATTAAATTGATAAAGAGATTACATATAAGATTATATACTTATAAATTTTTTGTGATTCACCTTTGTTCATTTCAAAGTGCGAAGTAAATCGCAAATTACATAAATTCTTTCGTCGCATTTATCATTCTATTTACTGAATCCGTCCTCTAAAATATTTATATAATTAGTCATTTTCAATGAGAGTATAGTCTCAAAAGTCACATTATATCGCTGACGTTTTAACTTGGTTTTAATTGCGAAACAGTTGACACATCGATGGTTCCTTGTTTCCAAGGAAACAGAAAATATGAATAAGTAATTTTGATTAATTGTATTATCAAATTAATATAAATAATTATTCTTATTATCATTTTTAATATTAAATAGAAATAAACTTAAAGAAAAATAAATATATAATTTTCTAAAAGTAGTTGCTTATAGGGTGAAAAAAATAGTTAACAATTCACTGAGAGTGCAACATCAATATTAAAATTATTTGCCGCGTCAAGGCAAAATTATTATATAATTTGTTATTATATTATTTATTATAATTATTATATATATTTATAATATATATATTATAATTAGAGTAATATATAATTATATTATATAATAATTTATTGCCATTACAAACATTTTTTAAAGATTTTATCTTAACGTTTATACGATACTATAGGTGGAATATTTGTACATATACAAAAAGACTTGAAATGTTAATATTTCTTTCGATATTGAACTTTGTGAACATGATGTATAGATTTTCCGAATACACTGATCTCCTACTTCCTTTTTATGCACGCGCGGAGACTCAGGAATGCAGTCGCTACCTGAAAAACCATGGGAACCTCAAGGACAAGAGTCCATGGATTATAAGTTTGCTCTAGGACGACGATCTCCTTGAGATACCTTAAAATTGAACGCAGCGAGTTTCACCTTTTCTTTTTTTTTACCTGCTCTCTTAAGAAAAGTGTTCTTCTCTTTTTTTGACTCACATCATCGTCTTCCCTTTTCCGTCAATCTTTCTGCCTTTCTTCATTTATTTGTTTTTGAAATTGGAAAATTTTCCAAGAGATGTCCTTTTTAGTTCACTTCCATTTTCGCATTTTTTAATTAAATGTTTTTTATTAAATGTTTTGTCATTCTTTTTTTGTACAAGAGGCACGAACTGCAAAATCAATTTCTAGAATTCTTTTTAGAATTTTATAAAAAATTATATATGCAATATATGAAATACTAGACAAAATGATTTATAATACTTTTATAATAAAAAAATATATAATATAAAAAAATCACCATCAAACAGCACATTAATATTTATTCTACAATATAGTTCAAATTCCTGCACGATTCAAATAAAACACAGATTAAGGTCAAGAAAAACAAAACTTCCCAGTTATATTATATATTATATTATAAAATAAAATTTATATGTTCGAGAAACATATTTTCA